GGTCGGGGGTCTGTAGCCGGTAGTTCGATGACTAAGCCAACGCGCGTCGTCAGCGTCGGCGGCGGTGGCGCTCCTCTGACGCACCATGGATCTCTCGTCCATGATGAACCAGATGCGGGCGGGCGGCCCCGGCAGCCTGCCCACGGGCGATGTGCCGCAGCAGGACAATGCGGAGACCGTGTACATTAGCAGTCTGGCGCTGCTGAAGATGCTGAAGCATGGCCGCGCGGGTGTGCCGATGGAGGTCATGGGGCTGCTGCTGGGCACGGTCGTGGACGACTACACCGTCTCGGTCGTGGACGTGTTCGCGATGCCGCAGTCGGGAACGGGCGTGAGTGTGGAAGCGGTCGACCCCGTGTTCCAGACAAAGATGCTCGACATGCTGAAGCAGACGGGGCGCTCCGAAGTCGTCGTCGGCTGGTACCACTCGCACCCCGGGTTTGGCTGCTGGCTGTCGAGCGTGGACATCAACACGCAGCAGTCGTTTGAGCAGCTGAACCCCCGCGCGGTGGCGATTGTCGTGGACCCGATCGAGTCGGTGAAGGGCAAGGTGGTCATTGACGCCTTCCGCCTGATCAACCCGTCGACGGTGATGCTCGGCCAGGAGCCGCGTCAGACGACGTCGAACATTGGGCACCTCACGAAGCCGTCGATCCAGTCGCTCATCCACGGCCTGAACCGGCACTACTACTCGATCGCGATCGGGTACCGCAAGACCCAGCTCGAGCAGGCGATGCTCGGCAACCTGCACAAGCGCACCTGGACCGAGGGCCTGCGGCTCGCCGACTTTGAAGAGCACCAGCACGCGAACCAGGGCGCGGTCAAGCGCATGCTCTCGCTCGCCGAGGCCTACCAAAAGTCCGTGCAGGAGGAGGCGCCGCTCACGCCCGAGCAGATCAAGACGCACTACGTCGGCAAGCAGGACCCCAAGCGCCACCTCGAGGACGCCGTCGAGGCGTCGATGGGCGACCAGATCGTGCAGAGCCTCGGCACCATGATTCTCGCAGAGCTCTAGATACCTGTAGTGTACTGTACAGCGGTGCCAGGCCGCCCTCTAGCGCAGCGGCACCGCGCGCGCCGCCGCAGACCGCGTCCGCTTCGCGAGCGGCGCGGCGTCTTCCGGCGCCGGCCGCTTCGTCCCGCTCGTGCGGGACAGCTCGCCCATGAGCGTCGCCGCAAAGCGGCGCAGCGTCAGGGCCTCGTCGCGCAGAGCGCCGCCCTGCGGCGCCGAGGCGTCCAGGTACGCATACAGCGCCTCGGCGAACTCGTCCAACGGGCGCGCCGCGTCCATGAGCCGGCGCGCCACACACTCCTGCAGCGCATGCGCACCGCTCGGGCGCTGCAGCACATGGTCGTGCGGCGCGCGAAAGTGCGTATTGCGGGGATGCTCCCGCACAGCCAGGAGCACCTGCGTCATGACATCGTACGCCGCCGCGCCCCGCGGCNGGCGCCTGGGGCGCCGCCGCGCGCGGCGCAGGCACCGCGGCGCGCTTGGGCTCATGCTCCGTCTTGGCGAACGGGTTCAGACGCGCGCACAGCGCGCCTAGGCCGGTCGCCTTGCGCGGCGCAGGCGCCGCGGGGATCAGCGCGGCCTGCACGTCGTCCTCGTCGCTGTCGCCCGCCGTCCACTCGAGCGGCGGCATAGCGCGCTGCGGCGTCGGCGACGGCGGCGCCTCGAGCACGGGCGACGCGGTCGGCGAGCTCGACGGCGGGGACATCGGCGCCTGGAACGGCGACTCCGCCACGGGGCCCATCTTGCTGCACGCGGCCGGCGCGGGCGGCACCCTGTCAGGGAGCCCCGCGCTGCGCTCCCGCTCCAGCACGCGCGCAACGTGCGCGGCACGGGCGACGGGCCCGCGCGACACGGGCGTCGTAAAGAGGCGGTCATCGAGCTTCGGGTCCCACTGGACGCGCGCATGGTCGCGAGGGCGCGCGGCCTCGCTCGGAACCCAGCGCAGCGTCACAAGCTCCCTGTCCCGGAGGAACGGCATCGCGTCCGCCATCAGCAGCGCACCGCGCTGCTCGCTGTTCGGCGGGCCGATCGACGCCTGGCACGCCACATAGAGCTGGGGGGTATGGTCGGCCGGGACCTTGAACAGCTCGCAGGCCTTGGCCACGAGATCTTCGTGCCGCTCAGGCATCGCCGTCAAGAACACGCGCGAGTTGAGCGTCGGGCCCTTGAGCAGGACGGCGCGCGGCGGGCCCATCGCGGTGCGGGAGAAGAGCCGCCGCGCTCGGCCGTGCCGCAGGGACGCGACACGCCGCAAGGCGCGCGCAGACGCAGGTGGAGGCGTGCCGCGATTGGTCCGCGAGGGGCCCCTATGGCGCTATGCGAGGCCCTCGGCGCGCAGCAGCACCAGGTGGACATAGGCCATACGCCGGCGCGCCTCGAGCGGTGTCCACCCCAGCGCGTCAGGCACGGCATCGTCGGCGTCCCAGGGCGCAAAGCCAGGCGCGCCCGGCGCGCCGGTGACCGCGCCCTGCTGCCACGCGCCCGTGCTGGCGGGCACAATCTCTGCGAGCAGCGAGGGCGGAAGCATCGTGCGGGGCACGACGGTCGGTAGTGTAAGCGGTAGCGACGCGGCCATGGGCACGAGCAGAGGCACAAAGTCCGGCGGTAGGAGCGTGAGAAGTAGCGAGCCCAGGAGGGACGAGTCGGGCGGGAGCTGCGTGAGCGGCAAGTACTGGATCTCGACCATGCCGCCGACGATGCGGTCCGAGCCGACGACGACGTTCCCGATACTGAGCACGCACTCGTCGTGCTCGCCGACCGCACTGAGGGCGCTGCCATGCGCCTGCAGCCCGCGCAGCCGCACATGGAACGAGAGGCCGTCGAGCAGGACCTGCGCGCCGCGCTGGACCCACGCGCCGGGGCCCGGCGTGCCGACCGCCGAGCCGAGCGGGCCTGGCAGGTTGCTGAGCCGGAGGAGCGTCGGGAACTCGGCGCTCATCACGCGCGCGTGCCACCGGCTCGACGGCGCATGCGTGCCTGTGCGGGCCATCTCGGCGCGCGTGGGCTTCGACGTGTCTTCCGACACGACAAATACATGCTGCGGGTGCGCCGTGTCCGTCACCTCCCAGAGCGTGCGCCGGTGCGCCTCGCCAGGCGCCTCGGTGCCGGGCGTGCCATGGACGCGGCGGTGAGGACGGAAGCGGATCCGCCAAGGGCCAGCCGGCTGCGCGCCATGCTGGCTCTGGAGGTGCGCGGCGACCGCCGAAATTCCATTGGGGGGCAGCGACGACACGCGCGCCGTGCTGCGTCAGTCACTCGTACGTACCCCGTCACCGCCATCGTGAGGCCGGGGCGAGCGGCGCTGCGGCGGGTGGAGGTGGCGACCCGCGCCCCTCGGTCGTTCGCACGGGCGCCATGCCGCCGAAACGGCCGGCCACGCACGCGGAGCGCGCCGCGGAGCTGCTGAAGCGCGCGCGCTCTGCGCCGCGCGCGACGGAGAGCACAGAGGCGCAGACGATACCACTCCCCCGCCTTCTTCATGCGCTCCATACGATGGCGCAGGTCCCGGTCGCCGAGGCCATGGGCATTGTGCGCACGCTCGTCGCAAAGCAGCGGCATACGCGCGCCCACTTGCGTCGCATGTCGGCGCCCGAGCTCGAGCACATCGGAGCGCCATGCACGGGGGCCACACGCGACCGCGTCGTGCAAGTGCTGCAGGGCCTGGCGCGCGCGGACGAGGCGGGCGGCCTGACGGAGGCGGAGCGAGCGAGTCAGCAGCAGCGCCTGCGCGAGGACGTGCAGCTGCGGCGCGAATGGGGCAACGCGTCGAAGGAGACCGCCGTGGGCGACGACGACGAGAGCGACGACGTCTTTGATTTTCACGCCGTCCTGGACGAGCCGGCGCTCCGTGGGCGGCACGTCCTGGTCAACCGTGCGCCGGTGATGACGGCCTGGGCGGTGGTCGTGCTCCAGTGCCTGGGCTTCCAGGTGCAGGAGGCGCTCAGCCTCGCGCACTGCTACGTGAGTACGACGGCCGAGGCGCGGGCGCAGACGCTCCGGCTGCCGACCCCGGCGCCGGCGCACGTCACCAGTGCGAACCAGCCGCATGTGGACTTTCTGCAGGTGTGCATCCCCGTCATCCAGCTGCGGCACGGGCAGTACCGCGGCCTGCACGCCGGCGAGGTGGTGCCTCCCACGCGCGCGTTTGACTACCTGCGGCGCTCCATGTTCCAGATGCTCCCGCATGTGATGGGCGCACTGACCCTGCTGGCGAATGCGTACATGGGGCCCCACAACGACGCCGACGCCCTGCAGCGCCAGGCGTATGCGCTGTACGTGGACTTTCGCCCGGACACCCAGGGCGCCTGGGGCAAGCGCGCGCCGCTCTCGCTCGATACGATCCTGGACCTGCGCGCAGGCGCCGCCCAGGCCGCCGGCGCACGCGAGGCGTCTCCGTCCGAGTCCTCCGAGGTTGATACAAAGGCTACGAAGCCATCGCCGGCACGGGCGCCGGCGGAGCACGGGGCGTAGCCTCGGCACGCGCAGGCGCGCGGAGCAGCGCATCGAGCACGTCCGTGGCGCGGTACAGTACCTGCGTCGGGTCCGATTCGGCGGCGCGCTGCACCCGCCCGAGACGCTTGCCGGACGCCTGCTGCTCGTTCCATGCGTACAGCGGGTGCTCGTGTGGGCACAGCACGAGGGCGCGCTCGAGGTACCAGGCCTTGAGCTCCTGCCGCTGCTTGGGCACGAGGGGGATCGGCTGCAGGCCCATGACCTGTACGACCGCCTGGACGCGGCCCTGCACAACGCGGTTCGCGATGATATGCATCAGCGCATCGCAGCCCGCGCCAAAGCCGACAAAGAGGACGCGCTGCGCGGGCGACAGGGCACACACGTGGTCCCACACGTACAGGGCCTGCGCCTCGAGCGTCGCCTTGTGCGGCTGGGCGTCCGGCCGCGGAGGAGGCCGGTCGTGCTCGCTGTTGCGGAGCGGGCGCACCGGCACCGGGAGCGCCGTGCACAGGTCCACGCACGCAAAGCCGTGTGTGTGCGCCCACTGCACCACGGCGTCCGCTGCATCCGCGAGGAAGAGGGGCGGGCGCTGAGGATCGTCGGGGTCGCCGATATGCCACGTGCCCATATCGTGGATGAACACAAGGAGCGTGGATGTGCCGGGCGCCATGGCCGACGGCGTCACCAGCGCCTGGTTGCGCCGCAGCGAGTCGCCCACGGCCGGCAGCGGCATCATCTGGTGGTCGGCCCACAGGCGCGCGGCGCGCGCATCGAGGTATAGGTCACTGGCCGCCCAGGTAGCGCCGCGGACCTCGCGTGGCGCCGGGGCGTAGTCGAGCGAGTGGCGCATGCACGCCCAGTACGGCGCCTGTGCACGGACGGCGCGGGCCACGGTATCGGCGCCGGCCGTGCTGCAGGCGAGGCGCGCGGGCCACGGCGGCAGCGGGTCGCCCAGGAGCGTTTGCGTCACAGCGAGGGCCGAGGAGGCAATGGCGTCGAGCGTGTAGCCGCCTTCCAGCGCAACGACGAGCCTGCCGCTCGCGAGAGACATGAGCTGGTGCGTCATGTGGGCGTAGCCCGCTGGCGACACGAGGCAGCCGCCGAGGAGGTCGCCCGCCGCCGCGTCGAAACCCGCGCTGACGATCACCAGGTCGGGGCTGAACTCATACGCAATGGGCATGATGCAGCGCTGGAACGCATACAGATAGTCGGCGTCGTTCATGCCGCCGCACGGCCACGGCACATTGACCGACGTGCCCCGCGCCTCGGGGCCGCCGACCTGGTCGTAGTGGCCGAACGTGGTGCCGGGGTAGAAGGTGCCGTTCTCGTACCGGTGCAGCGACACGTACAGCACGCGGTCGTCATCCCAGAATGCACGCTGCGTGCCGTTGCCGTGGTGCACATCCCAGTCGAGGATCATCACGCGCTGCACACGGTCGGCCGCGCCGGTCGGCCGATTCAGCAGGGTCGTTGCAGCGACCGCGACGTTGTTGTACAGGCAAAAGCCCGTGCCCGAGCCGGGCTCGGCGTGGTGGCCCGGCGGACGCACAATGGCGATACCGTTGCGGACGCGGCCGGCGGCCACGGCCGAGCATGTCTCGATCACGCTGCCGCACGCGAGGCGCGCGCAGAACGTCGAGTGTGGGTTCAGGTAGAGCGACGACCTGGCCTCCAGATCCTGGCTGTACGCCTTGAGCTGCTCGACAGGCAGCTGCACGATCGACTCGAAGGTGTCCCAGAGCGCCGCGTCGTGGACAGACTCGACCTCGTGGCGCCGCGCCTCCCGCGAGGGGATGCGCAACATGCGGTCGATGCAGCCGTGGCGCTGCAGCATTTCAAAGATACGCGCGATCCGCTGCGGCTGCTCGGGGTGGCTCTCGTCGGCCAGCGTAGCATGCATCATCATGCGAGCATCGTACACGAAGCCCGTCGAGCTGACAGGAGGCCATGGTCTTGCCGCAAGACCGATCGGCGCACCCTGCCGCGGGTCCGTGGGGGCCGCGAGCGGCACGAAGGAAGACGGTGGCGGCGCAGCAGACATGGGTCGACGGACAGGCCGTCGGGGAGGCACCGTACAACGACACGGGCGACACGCCCTGCGCCCAGGCCGTCCGGGGGCATTTTCTGAAATACTACAAAATCTCGCTAGGGCGACACGTCCCCCCGCGCGAGGGCCTCGAGGAAGGGCCGGAGAAGGGGGCCCTGCAGCTGCGCTTTCGCGTGCTTCTGCGCTGCAGAGCACTGCAGGAGGAGCTTGGCAAGCGTCTGCTCGCTCTTGCGCGATGCCTCTGCACTGGGCACGCCGTCGCCGAGGGGCGGCGCTTCCACAAAGCGGCGCCAGGCCGCCGTGAACGAGGCACGCACGTCGTCGGCGAGCACGGTAGTGTCGCTGTCCACGTAGGGCCCCAGGCGCACATGCGCGCTCTCGACGAGGAGGCCACGCAGTGACGTGCGCATCTGCGGCCCGTCCACGCCGGTGGGCGGGGCGTCGGGCGTCGGGCGCGGGACCTCCGACGGCAGCGCGCTCGTGGGATCGTCGTCAGACACGGAGGTGAGCGCGCCGGTCGTCGCGAGGCGGCAGTCGGCGCGGAACCACTCGATGTGGCACCACAGCCGGAGCCATGCGCCCTCGCCGCGCTGCTGCAAGAACGAGGCATACGAGCGCCGCAGGGGCGCCTGGGTCAGCACGTCGTGCAGCGTATACGACGCGTTGGCCGCGGGCGGGTCGCTGGGTGGCCCAGGCGCGTGCTGTGTCTGTGGCTGTGTGGCGCGCGGCGCGCTCGCGCGGCTGGCCGGCGTGATGCGTGTCGAGGTAGCGCGGGAGGGCGGCGCGAGGTCGGGCGAGGCGGCCGGGGGCGGGCTCGCGTCGACGTAGGAGCCGTATCCCTCGAACTCGTCGAGGCGTGGCGACACGGAGCGCATGACGTTGGTCGGGTGGCCCTGGAAGAAGGCGGTGGGGGGCCGCTGCTCGGCCGCGAACATGGTCGTCGGCTGCTCGACCCAGTCGACCTTCCACGCGACGGTAGCGCCGCGCTCGGTGATGTGGTACGTCTCGCCCTCGACAAACGTGCCTTCGCACTCGGCGCCGTCGACACGCAGCGACGCGTCGACGCGCACCGTGGCCACGCGGTTCGAGCGGGTGGGCGGCAGGCCCGTCTCCGGCTCGAGCCAGCCGAGGCGGACCATATGCGCCGCGAGCACGATGGCCTCGTCGACCGACACGAGCGTTGTATAGTTCACAAGCCATGCGAGTGCATCGGCAGAGGTAAAGTGCGCCGTCTCGTACATCTGCCCCGTGCTGTCGCGTGCATGCGTCGCCTGGAGGGCCATGCCGAGGGCGTTGGACTCGGTGCGCCGCGGCGAGAGGCCGACCATGCGGTGGAAGACGATGCGGACGACGGCGTCGCTGAGAAGCACGTCGTCCTGCTCGTCGCGCTCGAGGAAGAGCAGCTTATCGCACAGCTCATGCAGGTTGAGCAGGTTGCTCACGCTGCGGGTCGCGATGCCATGGCGTGTCACGAAGCGGTCGATCAGGTGCAGGCCTTTGGGCGACGGCGCATACACCTGGTCCTCCGTGCTTTCCGTGCGCTGCAGCAGGGCGGCGTCAATGAAGGCCTGGCAGATCCGCGCCGCCGTCTCGCTGTTCATGGTGAACGATGTTTTGGTCTGGCTGAGCGAGAGCATGTTGTGCATGCCGTTCGCCGAGTCGCGCACGATCTGGACGAACTGCAGCGCCTGCATGCGCTGCACAAGCGCCGGCATCACGAACGCGAGCGGGTACCGCCAGTCGGGCCAGCGGTCGCACAGCGAGATGATCACGGTCGTGAAGAGGCCGTGCAGGTCGCGGCAGATCGGCAGGCCGTCGCGGTTCACGCGCATCAGCCACTGCTCATTCGACTGCAGTGCCACGGGCTTGGGCACCGCGCCGCCCGGGCTCGTGGGCCGCGACGTCGGCTCGGCCTTCGCCCGGCCGGCAGCGCTCGCGGGCCGCGCAGCGTCGTCCATGGCGTCAAAACACAAGCGCGGTGGAGGTGGAGACTATGGCCAAAAGGGGCGAATTCGTCAGTCGGACGAGCTGCAGCCGCGACAGCCTGGCGTCAGCCGCAGGGACGTACCGCAGTGCACACATTCGACAAAGGTGCCGGGCCGCAGCTGGGCGCGCGGCACTCGGCAGATACACGTCGACCCCTCGTAGTTCATATCCTGCGTGAGCAGCACACACGTACGCGCGACTGGATGCACCGCACACAGCACAGCTTTTCGTAGCCGGTGCGCTTCCACTTGGCGATCAGACTGCGTAAGTACATGGCACGTACGCTGCGTCCGCATATCCCTGCTCGAGGAGCCAGTCATACAGCTCGCGGCTAATGGCCTCGCGCTTATAGTACAGGTCGTATATGTAGCGGGAGCGCAGGTGCGTGACGCGCAGGATGCCCCACACGCCCTCGGCCTTCCGCTTGCCCTCCTGCGACTCGTTTTCGGCATCGCGCATCTTGGTCTCATACTCCTCGAGGATCGGCTCAATGTCCTCAAAGCCCGCCGGCGGCGCGCGCGTGCGGCTCGTGCGGATGCGCGGCATGGTCGCGGAGAGGGCCTTGTCCACGTGATGCGGTGGCGCCGCCGCCTCGCTCCACGATGTTCACAGGCCTGGGTACGTCGCGTGCGCTGACGCAGTCGAGCGTGTCGCGCGGATTGCGGACGTGATTCCGCGCGATCCCACGAGCGGCTCGTACTCCCTTGTGATTGGAGATGCGGCCGCGATTCTGGACGACGCGCATGAAGGCGACAGCATTGCGGTGAATGGCGTGTGCCTCACGGTGACCCGCTTCGACGTGCACGCGCACGGCGGCTGCTTCCAGGTAGACGTCGCGCCGGAGACGCTGCTTCGCACGAATCTGGGCCACCTGAAGGTCGACGATCGCGTGAACTGCGAGCGCGCTATGGCGCCGACGACGCGCTTTGGCGGGCACATGGTCCAAGGGCATGTCGACACGGTCGCGACGCTGCAGTCGGTCGTGCCGAACGAGTCGGCCCTCACGCTGACGCTGCGCCTTGTGTACGAGCCGCCGCGTGCAGGCGAGGCGACGCTGCCCCTCCCGTCGACGCTCTCGCCGTACCTTATTCCGAAGGGCTACGTGACGCTCGATGGCACATCGCTCACGCTCGTGGACGTCTCGCCGCCCACAGGCGGCGCGCTCGGCGAGCAGGACGACACGCCCGTCGCCGAGACGGTCGAGTTCACGGTCATGCTGATTCCCCACACGCAGGAACACATAGCGCTGCCGTCGCGTCCGGTCGGCGCCCGCGTGAACGTCGAGTTCGATATGGTCGGCAAGTACGTGTACCGCTCGCTCGTCGGCGAGTTGCGCCGTCTCGGCGACGCAGACGGCCCGGGCCTGACGACGGCCATGCTCGAGCGCCTGGTGGGCCGGGCCCTGTCGTAGCTTTCTACTCTACATGTCGTAGCTGCCGCTCGGCGCGGCGCACATCGTGCTCGTCGACTTGGAGGCCGTCGAGCCACGTGAGCGCGCCGCACGCCATGCCACACAGCCCACGGTACACCTGCCGCTTGTGCAGCGTGGCGCGCGGGAGCGTCGCGCAGAAACGCGCATCGGCCGCACGGAAGAGCGCCGTGGCTCGTGCGCCCTCGGCGCCTGGCGCCTCGCCTGGCGCGGGCGCCGCTGGCTCGGGCGGCAGCAGCATCGTGCGCTTGTGGAACTGCGAGCGGTCTGCCAGCGCCTGTGCTGCCCGCCACCGCGCCTCGACGGCCTGCTCGAGCGCGGCTGCCGCGTCTGGCTGCACAATCGCAGGGTGCGGCACGGGCGGGCCCCACTCGCACGCGCCGGGCGCGCTGGCCGCGCCCTCGCTGGGCAGGACGAGCGGCGCATACAGGCCCAGTGTGCACGGGTTGGCGCGCACGTCCAGCACGCACAGCTCGCGCAGGCCATGTACAGCGTGCACCACGTCCTCGAGGCGCGCAAGGCGGCATCCCACGGCGCTCAGGCGCTTGAGCCGGCGCCATGGCGCAAGGGGCGGCAGGGCCGCCAGCGGATTGTGGTCCATGTTGAGCGTGCGCAGCGCCGGCGTGCGGGACAGCAGGTCCGTGGGCAGCGCCGTGAGCTGGCACCCGGCGAGCTCCAGGTACACGAGCTCGCTCAGCGTCGACGTCGTGAGTGCGAGCGGGCCAAGCGCATTGCCTGCGAGGAACAGGCGCTCCAGCCTGGGCGGGAGCGCCAGCGGCACGGCGAGACGCCCGCTCTGCTGCCGCAGCGAGAGACTGCGCAGCTCGTGCGCCGCGTCGAGCGCTTGCACGGCACGCAGGCGGCAGCGGTCCGCATACAGCGTGCGCAGACGCGGCATGCACGCCACATCGAGGTGGTCCAGGCGCGCATTGTCGCTCAGGCGGAGCACGCGCAGCTGTGGCAGCGTGCGTGTGAGACGCAGCTCTGCGAGGTCGTTCGCTTCCACGTCCAGCGTACGCAGCGCCGCGAGGCTCTCGAGGCCGCCCAGGTGCGTAATCGCATTGTTGGCGAGGCAGAGGTGCTCCATGTGGGGCCACCGCAGCGCCTTGAGCTCCATGGAGCCACCGATCGCATTGTGCGCGAGGCTCAGGCGGTGCAGCGCGGCACAGGTCCCGAGGCCGTGCAGGTCGCGGATTTGGTTGTGGTCCGCGCGGAGCTCGCGCAGGCGCGGGAGGTGCTGGAAGGCTGGGTCAGTCGCGCGGACGTACGTAAAAGGGACGTGAGCTCATTGTGCGACACGTCGAGCACCTCGAGGCGCTGCAGGTGCTCGAACGAGGCGAGCTCCGAGAGGCGGTTGTGCGACGCAGTCAGCACACGGACCGACGGCGGCAGGCCCATCGCAAACGCGACGAGGTTGTGGTCTATCCACACTTCCTCAACCTGCGGCAGGTGCTCGCTGAGGCCGATGCACGACTCGAGCCGGCGGGCGCGCAAATCGATCTTCTTCAGTGTCGCCCAGTCGGGCTCCCACGGCGCCACGTCCGTGAGCAGCTCAACGAGCTTGTCCTTGGTAAGGCGGAACGATGCATTCGTCACGACGGAGCGCTCCGTGTCGGGCGGCGGCGCGGGGCGCGCCCGCACAGACTGCGTGAGGTTCATGTGCTCCAGTTCCTCCAGCACGTGGTCGAGGCGTGCAGTGCGGGGCGTGAGCTCTGCGACGCGCGATGGCAGCTGGTCCGCAAAGCTAATGGAGCGCGACGCGGGGCCACGGGGCGTCTCGCCCAGCGCCGTGCCGCCCTTGAGGATCGAGCGCGGAAACGAGCCGCTGCTCGGCGCGCGTGGCGTTGATCCCGAGCGACGGTATGCGAGAGGGAAGCGGCGCTCGTTCAGCGCGTACGAGCCGAGGCGCATGCGCTTGTTCTCCCGCAGGTCGAGGTCGGGCATCGGCGACGACTCGTCGCGCGAGGCCTCGCGGCTCTTCTCCTCGGCGAGCTGCTCGAGGCCGCTGCGGACGCGTGCATCCACATTCATGTGGATGAGCCGCAGCGGAACGGGTGGGCCGCCAGGCGTGCTGGGCGGCGGCCGGCCGTGCGACGCGGGGCGTGGCGGCATCGGCGTCGAGGTCGGCACGTTTCGAGCCCGGAAGGTAAATTCGCGCTGCGACGGCACTGGCGCGAGGGGCGCCGCTACAGACGGTGCCTGCACCGCCGGCACGTCCTCGTCGCGGCTCGAGGGGCTCGGTGTGTGGAACATTTGCTGGAGCTTGAGCGGCGAAAACATATCGCCGCCCATCCCGTGGAAGCGGTCGCGTGCCGGCGTCGCCTTCCACGCAGGCTGAAACATGGGCGGCACAGTAGACACGTCGGAGCGATGCACGACGGTGCCATAGTCGGACGCCGCGTCGGACATCGCGCTGGTAGCACGGCGCGTCCGTGTAGTGGGAGGGGCGGCGGCGGCCCACCGGGGGGATGATATCACGTGACCAACACACGCGACGCGTCGGACCACGTGCGGTGGGCGTGTGTTCTCTCCTCCCGACGGTCGACACGCTTGGGCGATGGATGCGTCCACGCTCCGCGCGCTGATAGACTCGTCGAGTCATGAGCTCGCACAACTGCATGAACGTCTCGGAAGCGCGCCCGAGAAGCTGGAGGAGGCGATGGCCGCGCTGACGACGTGCATTCACGAGGCCATCCATGCGCAGGTGCGCCGGGTCGAGGCGCAGGTCGCCGACGTGCAGGCGGCGTGCGCGGACTACCACGAGCGCATCGCGCGCCTCGGTCGCGCTACGGGCGCAGTGCCTGCGCTAATCACGCCGACGATGCCGCTGCTGGCCCAGCGCGACGCACTCGCCGCGGAGCAGGCGCGTCTTGAGTCGCTGTACGCGGCGCAGCGCGAGCAGTGCGATGCTCTGCTGGGCCAGGCCCGCACGCTGAATGCGTGCATGTCCGAGGCTGGTGGGCCGCCGCCCGCGACGGACGCGGAAGGCGACGCCCTGCGTAACGTGTCCGCCGAAACACTGCGTCAGTGCGAGGCGTACCTGCAGCATGTCCAGCAGGTGTACAAAACACGCAAAGTGCAGATGGAGGCGCAGCTCAGCGAGATTCTCCAGCTGTGGTCGGAGCTGCACATTGCGCCGCAAGTCGCCGTGCACGCCGGCCGTGCATCGGCGCTCGCCGCGCACCCCGTCGAGAGCGCGTTCCACCTGGCGATCCTGCATTACACACAGCAGGTCCCCGTGTTCAGCGCGGATGGCGCCTTTTATGGACAGTTCGACGTGCAGTCGCCTGGCCCCGCTGCGCCTGCGCCTGCGGATCTCAGCATGGCGCTCACGGATACGCCGACCAAGTCGCACGGCGAGCCGCTGCCGCTACCCGCGCAGGAGAGCGAGGCGCCTGCGCCTGCGCTCCTGCAGCCGAGCGACACGGTGCTTGAGCAGAGTGCGACGCTGCGCGAGTCGCTCGAGCAGGAGAAGACTGCGCGCGAGTCGAGCATCCAGTCGTACTACGACGAGCTGTGTGAGCTGTGGATGCGCTTTGATGTGCCTGAGACAGAGATGGACGCGTTCGTGCTCGACCACCGCGGCAGCACACTGCAAGTGGTCGATGCGTACCGCACCGAGCTCGACAAGATGCGCGCGCTCAAGTCGCAGCACATGGCGCTCTTTGTGCTGAAGACGCGCGAGCAGATTTGGGAGCAGTGGGATGCCCTGTTTATGAGCGAAAGCGAGCGCGAGTCCATGTTTCCCGCGTACTTTGTGCCGCTGCCCGGCGAGGACGACAGTGCGGCGCCCTCGTTCGACTGGGACGAGCTGCTCGCCGAGCACGAGCAGGTCTATGCGCGCCTCGCCGAGATGCTCGAGCAGCGCGCGCCGATCCTGAGCCTGATCGGGCGGTACCGCGCGATCTGTGACGAAGCACGTGCCCTGGAGGAGAGCGCGCAGGACGGCTCGCGCCTGCTGGGCCGGGGCAACCGCGGCGACCCTGGGCGGCTGCTCCGCGAGGAAAAGATGCGGAAGCGGGTCAAGGTACAGAAGCCCAAGCTGGAGCAGGAGCTGCTCAAGGTGCTCCCCGCATGGGAGGCCGAGCATGGCATCCCCTTCCTCATGGACGGCCAGCGCTTTATCGAGTACCTGCAGGACCAGCTGGGCGGCACCAAGGAGAATGCGCGCGGTGCACACCGCGCGCCATCGAGCGCTGGTGCGCGGACCGCGAGTCTGGCCGCATCGCGCGCGGCGAACGCGGTGCCGGCCACGCCGGCGACGAACGTCAAGCGCGTGCCCCGCACAGGTGCTGCGACAGCGCGGCGCGGCGCTACGCCCGCTGCCGCACGCCCCCGCGTCGCGTCGCACTCGCGCAACACGCCGTACGCGCGCGCGCGCGATGCGCGGCCCGCGCACCGCCTCGACGAGACTGCAGCGCCCGCTGCCGACGATGCACCTGTCGTCGAGGCCAGCCCACGGACGCCCAGTTCGTACCTCTCGTCGTCGCTCCACCGTAGTGCGACGCCCGCCCTGCCGCGCTGGTAGCGGGCTTGTAGATACCCATCCGCGTCTCCACATCACACACCTCCATACGGCAGGCGTTCCCCCGTCCACGATGAGCGACGGCGCAGCGGCGCTGGCGGCTGCGTTGGCGGACGCGACGCACGCGTCGGGCGTGTCTGTCACGGAGCTATGTGAGACCAAGATCCGCGAGGCGGATCATGCGCACGATGCGGCTGTGCAGGCGCGGCTGCCTGTCTGGGAGGCACTCGCGGCGCAGGGGCGCACGTCGCGGCGGGACCTCGCGACGATGCGCACGGCACTTGAGCAGTTTCATACGCAGCTCCAGCGCGCATCGGAGCATATTGAGCAGCTGCAGCAGCGCTTCAATACACTGGAAAAGCAGCTGGACGAGCGCGAGACGGACGCGGCTGCGCTGGCCGAGTGGCTCGCGACAGCTGCGCTGCCGCCGCCCGTCGTGCGGCTCGTGTGTGAGACGGCGGTCAGCGCGGATGTGGCGGCGTGGGTAGATGCGGTGCGCTGCGTCGATGAGCAGCAGCGCGTCGTGGCCGCGTACGAGGCAGCCCTGCCGACGCCGCCGCCGGAGAGTGCGCGCGCCGAGGTCGCGGCGGTCGCGGAGCAGTGCCGCACTCTCATGATCCAAAAGATCTACACGCACCTGCAGGCGCTCTGGGAGCCGATCCGCACCTCCGTCTCGACGACGCTGCCGATCCTCCAGTTCTCCGTGGTGCTTCCCCACAATGAGCCGCTGTACCACTTTGTGGCGACGCATGCGCCGCGCGTCGCGGCCGAGGTGCAGCTGTCGTACGTGAATGCAGTGCGGCTGTACTACGAGGTGGCGTTCCGCCGCTACGTGCGGGAGCTCAAGCGCATCTTGCACCGCTGGAGCGAGCCGGCCATGCACGTCGCGCAAGCCGCGCGGTACCCGACAGCGGTGTACGCGCAGGAGCGCCAGAAGTATGCCCAGCCATCCACCGACGATGCAGCGGTCCTCGCGTACCAGAGCGAAGACACCGCGTTCGTGACGTGCCCTGAGCACCTCTTCCACACCCTCGCGCTCGTGTTCCTCGATACGGCCTGCTCCGAGTACGCCTTTCTCGCGCGCTTCTTTGCGGGCGTCGGCATGCACGAGAGCCGCGCGCCAGGCGCCCCGATGATGCCCCCCTCGAGCATGCTGGGCCTCACCGCGGAGCAGAGCCGCACGCAGGGGGCGACGGTCACGCGCGAGACGTGGCGGCAGGCGATGGAGCCGCCGATGGCCCTGTGGGCCGAATTCCGCCAGGCTGTGCTGGCGCTACCGAACCTGCCTGTGCTTGCGCTGCTGACCATGGCGAACCTGACGCAGGCGCTCATGCGCGTGGCGGCCGCGCGCCACTGCCTCATGCCCGAGCTCGAGTCGGCGCTGATGCAGCACGTGCTCGAGGCGTGGCCCCTGATCGCCAAGGCGCTCAACGCGGAGGTCGAGGCGCTGCAGGCGCTCACGGTCGGTGCGCCTGCAGCGCCTGGCGCGCCGAGCACAGGCGCCGGGTTCCTCGAGCGCTGGGTGTCGTCGCACACGGACCTGAGTCGCGGCCATGCGTGCGAGGCACTCACCCAGATCCTCACGGCGTATGCGCAGCTGTTTGCCGGCGTCACTGAGCTCGCGACGCCCGAGCACGAGGTCATGCTGTTGGCGGGCCTTGGGCGTATGCACACGGAGCTGGCCCGCCTCGTGCGCGAGTACGCCACGTACGAGTACGGGCGGCACTCTGACCGCACGAGCCCTGCCGAGCTGTGTGCGCTCGTGCCCCGCGCCCTCGCTGCGCGCCTGCCCAGCGAGGCTGCGCACGATACCCACGCGGCCGAGGCGGCCAAGTGGTCGGCGCTTGCCGAGACGCTACGCGGCGAGGCGGCCGCCTAGCTCATACAGCACTTGTAGTCCTAGGAGTGCGCCACTGTCACACGCATCTGCCCAGCACGTATGCGCAAAGTCGATGAGGCGCACATCCAGCACGGGACCGCCCGTCGCGAGCCGCGCATCGAGGGCAGCGGCATCGCCTTCCATCACCACAAGCACGCTCGCACTGCGTAGGCGGAGTGGCATCGCCGCCAGGGCCTCGCGCAGGGCGCCGAGGCGCGGCAGCAGGTGCGTGCGCACGAGCTGGGCGCGTCGCGCATCGTCCGTGCCGAGCGCGCGGCGCAGCAGGTCGCACAGATCGCCACGAGTGCGGGCGGCGCGGCCGGGCTCCTTGCCTACGAGCGAAAATGCCTGCGTGCGCTCGTCCCACGCACACCAGCCGGTGACACGGACCCCGTGCTCTGCACTCGTCGTCTCGCGCGCCTTGCGCTCCATCTTGGCGCGCTTCTCTGGGGTCACTTGGGGTGCCGTCTCGTCGTACAGCACTGTGCCGAGCTTGATATCGCACACGTTCGCCCGCACAAACGGCGCCGTAAGATTCTCCAGATACAGTGTGTACGCCCCACACGGCGGGGGCGGCGGGAGCGTGCGCTGGGGCCACCCTGGCAGCCAGTGCCCTTGCTCGTCGGCAATGCCCCAGCAGGCGGGCATCCACGCCTGGAGCGCCGCGGCCGCCACGCTAGGATACGGCGCCCACGTCTCCTGGTAAAAGTACGCCTCTGTCGCGAGGCACTGTTTGACGACCCAGGCACCGTGGGCATGCACCGTGCCTGGGTGGCCGCCGACCTGCAGCATAGTGACGAGGATACCTATGGGAGAGCTGCCTCCACAAGGACCGGCGCGGCGTCCGGTGCGGCGGGCGGCGGCGCAGCGGGGTGGGGCCCTGCGGCGCGCGCCTTGGCGTGCACCTTGCGGTGCCGCGCCATCTGGTCCGGCCGCGTAAAGCAGCGTGCACACTCGGGGCACCGGAACGGCTTATCGCCGCGGTGCACGCGAATGTGCTTATTCAGGTTGCTGCTCTCCGAGAACTGCTTGCCGCAGCCGGGGTACGGGCACTTGAACGGGCGGTCGCCGGTGTGTGTGCGCTTGTGGATCGTGAGGCTGCCCACGACACTAAACGCCTTGTTGCAGCCAGGGAAGTCACACTTGTACGGGCGCTCGTTTGTGTGAATGCGCATGTGCTGCGCCAGGGTGTTGGCCTCACTGAACCGCTTGTGGCACTCGGGGCACACATAGGGCCGGTCGCCCGTGTGTGTCTGGATATGCCGTAGCACCTTTTGCTTCTGTGTGAACTTGCGCCCTTGCTGCGCGCGTTCACAGCCGACCCACCCACACTCGTACTCGGTCTTTCCGGAGCCAACATGCACCTGCGCGATGTGGGCTGTAAGTTCGGCGTGCGTATCGAAGCTTTCGGTGCAGTGAATCCAGCCGCAGCAATGCCGCTGGCGGCCCTCGGATGCGGGCGCACCGTGCGCAAGCGCCTCGGCCGTGGGCGCCGCGGGCAGCGCGGGCCACGACGGCGCAGCTGGCGGCGCCATCCATGGGGTCGACGGCGCGGGCGCGAAGGGCTCGACGCTCGGTGTCCACGGCTTGCCGACGAGCGGGGAGGCCATCTGCGCAAAGTGGTCCTTTTGGACGTGTGCTGCCAGCTCCTCGAGGGTCGACATGCACACCTGGCACTCGGCCCACTGGCACTGGAACATGCCGCGGAGGCCCGTGTGGTGCACGCTGGGGGACGAAAGTGGGGAGAGCAGGGAGGCTGGCGTCGAGCATGCCGTCTCACTCGATACCGAGCCGTCCGACGCACGGAACGCGGGCGTCTTGGCCTCAGACAGGGCGGCTGCCGCAGGAAGCGCACACGATGCGCCTTTTGGTGGGCAGTATGCGCAGCAGTGGTCCAAGAGCTGTCGCGCATGCATCATGTCGAGCGCGGATGGGTCGTCAGGGGCCAGCGATGTGGCGGACGGCGTTACGAAGCCATCGCATACACTCACGCAGGCACCTGCATGCGCGAGCGATGGATCCCAGCCCTGGGCGACAGGCATGTGACAATGTGTGTCGATGCCGAGCGCGTACAAATCGTACGAGCATGCTGACGTACAGGCCGCGTGCAGCGCCGGATCACTGGGGCAAAGGCCCGTCGGCGCCGGGTCGCGCCCCGGGGGGCAGCACATGTCATGCGTGCAGGGGCAGGGCAGAACGCCAAACGTCAGGGCCTTGGACACATGGTCTTCCTGGTCGCACGGCGGAAGCGTACACGCTGGGTCGAAGCACAGCGTGGTGTCCGCCGCACATAGTAAGGACGCCTCGCACTCGTGGCACGCTGTGGCATCGTCGCAGGCGGCCGTGCAGTGCATGTCCATACATGGATCCTGCGAACACGATCCGGGCGATACCATACAGGCCAGGGTCCTGGGCGCTGCCCCAGCCGGATCGAGCATGAAGGACTCGTTCCCGGAGCAGCGGCAGACAACCTGATGGACAGCGAGTACCTTGCCGGTGGTGCTGGCCCCCATAATTTGGCAATTGGAACATTATGTCAGCTATGAGCTCCACTTCGTCCCAGGGCCAAAATGGCTTCTTCGTACGCGGCCGGAAAGTGGTCCGCAAACATGCTCACATGCAGGTCAGGTAGGCTGAAAAAGGCCATCGGGTTCGTAATTTCGTATAGCTCGCCTTGAGAGAGCCACACCACTCGGCCGGCCGGCACCAGCACACCACCCTGTGCCGTCTCGCTGCGCAGTGTCGCATAGTCCAGACGCTGCCGGCGACTCGATAAGGTGTGGAGGGGGACGTCCGCGTGGCTCGACGCCGGGATCCACGGCGAGAGGGGCGTGTGCCGCGCAAGTGCTTGCTGTGCGACGGCTTGGTCAAAGCGCTGCTTGGCCTGCGAGAACAGATCGTTCTCTACTGCACAGCGCAGCCGCCAGAACAGCGCCTCAAGCCGGGCCTTGCGGTTCAGCATCACGGCATCGGGGTTCTTCGTGCGGCAAATCGAGCTCCAGTCCCAGAACCGGCGCAGGATATGCATGGATATGTCGTCGTCATCGCGCTTCTGCGTGGGCGCCAGCACCCTCCCGCGGCGGCGACGGACGCGCGTCAGAGCGCCCAGCACACGCCGCAGCTCGCGTACCTGGCCATGCCCGAAGCGCGGGATGATATCACTGCCCAGAATGACGGTCGTGACGAGCGGCACATGGCCATACGATGTACGCCGCTGCAGCGTGTGCGAGAGCGTCGACGGGTGTCCAAACGTGACAGCCCGGATCGGGCGCCCCGCCGGAAAACCATCCTGTGCCGTGGTCCGCCAGCAGCCCTGGCGCGGATCGACATCAGGATTCTCCAGATGGTATTCGGACAGCATAATCGCCGCCGCACTCGCAATAGCTCCACCCAGCGAGTGGCCCACAAATACCAGGCCGAAGTCTTTGTGCTCGTTGAGCGTCTCACACAGTTTCTGGAACAGCGTCGAGCCCGGCGACACGAGCGTCTTGGCTGCTCGCCAGATGCCCGCATGGCACGCATACCGCTCCGCACTGGGGTCCAACTCCATGCCGCGCCATTCGGCAAGCGACGCGGTGATGTCCTCCGTCTTCATGTCCAAGTCCACCACAATGTCCGCAAAGCTTTGGGTGCCCCGTACGGCCACACACACGACCTTGCGTCTCAGATCACGCACCACATAAAAAGTTGGCAGGTACGTCGCCTCCATGTCCAGCGTCTGGATATCTGCATGCAACACGTCGTCCGCATCTAGACGCGTCAGATGCGCAAACGTCTGTCGCGGCAGCTCGCGGCCCGAGGGTGTGAACACCGGCGGCAAATCCACAATCAGCACACGCAGGCCATAGGCCGACATGGCTAGCTGACCAGCCCACTTGATGTTCCGCACCAGGGCCGCCCCATCTTCGTCCCAGAGAATCGCCGCGGCGTCCTGCGGCGAGTCGCGCTCGCGCTCGTCCGAACGGGACGGCTTTACACGCGAGAGTTCAAGAATATCAACGGACTGGCTCGTGACGAGCAAATCCTTGTCGTCATCCTCGTCGTCATTCGCATTCATGCGCGATTTCGGCTCAGTCGACCGCCCCGGCGATGGCTCGGAGCGCTGCCATGTCATACGAACGAGGCCTGCTCCCTCGTGCTCATATTGCCTTCGCGTTACCGCCTGAATGCACGCCAGCTCAAGTATGCTCCGTAAAACCTGCACCGTGCTCAGCCCACGCGGACGCGGAAACAGAGGGATCCCCAGAAAGCGACGCATCGGGTCGCCAGTCCCCTCGTGGTCCTCACGGACCACATGCTCCCACTCGTTCTGGAACATAAAGTAGCTGTCAATGACAATGCGGCCCAAGATGGTCTGCCCAGTCATATTCTTCCATGCCCAACCCAAGAACCAAAACAGGTACGTGGCGCACTCATACGCATCCATCAGCACATCGAGAAGATGGGCAAGCACAAATACGACAAAGTCAGGTACAAAGGTCACATAGGCCAGTAAGAATGAAATGGCCACCCACGCATGGCTTAGGCTTGTCTCGCTCTTCCACGTGGGCGTCGTGTTCTCCGACTTCTGCGAGGGTGTAAAAGAGGCGGGCGAGCCACGCAGGGGCGTGGTGCTTTCCAGCAGGGAAAGAGGCGTCAGCCGCCCCTTGGCACCGGGTGACGGCGCTACGTCCTCCGTCGTGGGCTCAAACTCCGGGGCACTGTCAGCTAAGTTCTCTGCCGAAATGGCAGGCGCTGAGCGACGTATAGGCGCAGATCGTTCAGGAAGAGCCGAACTTACTGCTTCCTCTGTCACATGAGACCCTGAATACCTGCGCTTCCCTAACGGCACCGCGGGTAGCTCAGACACAGGGGCTTGAGCGGCATGGCCACGCGATTTTTGGCGACGCGACTCGGACGCCTGAGCAGAGCGCACAAAATTGAAAAAAGCCGTAAATGTATCCACACGGTGAGCTGGTCGGTTCGCGAGGCGGAGCTGGTCGAGGTATTGGCTTCGCGCGAGTTGTTCACGCATTCGACGCACGCCCAACAGGCCCTCAAAGCTGCGCGCATCGCTGCTGTCATCAAGAAGGGGAGGCGGTAGCATCTGAAAGTCGTCGTTGTCCAGCAGAAAGCCGCCAGGCATCATCAGGGGCGTCCCGGGAAGGTCGTGCTCCCTGCTATGTTGTGCCGAGGAGAACAGCGCGCGGGGTTGGCTGTTACTCCATTGGCGGGCTAGCCACTCGGTGAAGTGCACACGCCATTGATGCAAGGACGGAATCCAGGGGCCCAATTCAGGGATAAAGAGCCAATACGGAAGACTGAACCTCGAAGAGGACGTCGATCTTGACCAACTGCGGTTCGAACTTAAATACGCGAGACGTCCACCGCTGTCTTGGCGAAGAAAGAGCGCACCAATAGCTTCAAGGGCGCTACCCGTGTGATGCTGACCCGCTCGTTTCTTGTCGGACGCTTGACCGGTGCCTTTCATAATGGTACTGACAAGGTCACGAACAGTAGCGGGCAATGTAGACAGAAGGGTATCATCGTTCTCATTCTGTTTGGGTGAGGTATTCTCTTTCTCCCATGTTTGGAAATAGTCGCTCCAAGGGACATTTGTATCGCTTGTGCTTCCCTGACGCGATGGCAGCGGGTGCAGCTGCCCTGAGCGCGACAACACAGCAGAGACCGTGAGGGCTGGATGCCCCTGCTTCCATTCAGGTGGCAGGTTGAGATAGGGCGGCCTGGAGGCACGGTTACTCCGAAACTTTGGCTGCTTGTCGGCTTTTTCCGCGGGTATCTCTCGTTTCTCATCGAGCGGATGATCCGTCGCCACCGACGGGGACTCCTTGCGGGGAAATTTTCTTTGCAGGGGACTTAACACACTCGGAAGAGACAGAGGCTCAACATCTAACATATCGTCCTCGGCCAAGTCCTTGTCCAGGGCCGTTTGGATAGGCGGTGGGGGCCGACGCACAGACACCCCCGTGTCGGGACGATGGAGTGAGGTACCATGCATATCGGGTGCATGGGGGCCCGTGGATCCTGATGTCCGGCTTTCACATAGCTCCGAGGGTCCAACTGACATTCCTAGATTTAAATAGGGGTATATACATGCATCTGATGGGAGGCAGGTGAGATGAAGTGCGACTTGGCGGGAGGATGTCGCGCGTGCAGGGCCCGATCAACCATCGGGCCAACGGGTGCCGGTGGCTTTTACCGAACTTCTCGGGCCTCCTGGCTATCTACGATCCTAGCTCGGCAAGCCAAATGGATTTTCATTGCTGCACCAAAGAGAGGTCTATGTGCAGCAGGCGCGGCTAATAGAAGGCGAATACTATCAGCCTGCGACAAGCCTGGGCCACCTCCCACGCGTGGTCAAGTAGCATAGGATACAATTCCACTTCAGGTAGCTAACGCAAATGCATTTCACAGGGAATCATCAAATTTACGCCACAAGAGTCGAGGCAGTCGACGACTCGTACTTGAAGGTAGGCGGCACAGCACCGACAGTCTTGTAGTAGCGAGTCAGACGGTGGATACGCGACTCGATAAGAATGAGACGGAACTTGCTGTCCATATCCTTGCGGTTGCGCTCCAGGTGCTTGCGCACACTCACAGCACGCTTCTGATAGGGTTAGTGACCACGTCTTTGTACATACAATCAGGTGGTAAAGGTCCTCGGGGATCTCAGGGGCAAGACCCTCGCTCTTGAGAATACGCAGGATCTTGCTACCGGTCACAAAGCGGACCTGGGCAACACCCTGGCTGTCACGGAGCTGAGCACCGATCTGCGAGGGCGTGACACCCTTACGAGCGAGCTTAACAATCTGCTGCACAACCTCCTCAGGCGAAGTCTTCAGCCACGACGGAGGCGAGCGGCTGTACGGCAGAGCCGACGAGGAAATACCCTTACCCTTCGAGTGCATGCGACCCATGGTGTCTGCCCTTGTTAGTTTTCATTCTAATAGATCATCGCTGCTGAGCCGTTTAAAGTGGAAGTACACAGCGTTGAATACGCCGGTACTTTGAACCCACGAAACAAACGGCACAACAGCATGCCACTGACGTACCAGATTCTTATTGACTTGAAGACCTGAGCTGGTGAGGAGCACAAAGGTAGTGCTGCCTTCGCAGCAGAGGGCTGATCGGCTCACGTGGGTTCAACAAATCCACGTGATTCTATCAGGAAACTATACTACACGTGACCAGATATTCGCAGTCCAGGGTTTTCGGACACGGCGCCGCCGGCCTCTCTGTACATCACACTTTGAGTGCAACCTTCGCAAGGTTGGTATCAGCAGAGCGAGGCCTCAAAGAATTTTGTTACTAACACATCTTTTCTGTACAGATGAAGATCAACGTCGCCAACCCTGCCACGGGCGCGCAGAAGTCGTTCGAGTTCATGGACGAGCGTCTGGTGCGCTGCTTTTACGACAAGCGCATGTCTCAGGACGTTGAGGTCGACTCTCTCGGTGACGAGTGGAAGGGCTACGTCCTTCGCATCGGCGGTGGTAACGACAAGCAGGGTTTCCCTATGAAGCAGGGTGTCCTCCTGCCTCAGCGTGTTCGCCTGCTCCTTGGTGAGGGCGACTCGTGCTACCGTGTGCGCCGCGCCGGTCAGCGTCGTCGGAAGTCCGTCCGCGGCTGCATTGTGGGCCCTGATATTCAGGCCCTGCACTGCATTATCGTGAAGCAGGGCGAGCAGGAGATCCCCGGTCTTACTGACGCTGAGAGCGCTGTCCCCAAGCGTCTTGGTCCTAAGCGTGCCAACCGTACGTATGATGAAGATTGCAGATATACTGACATTTTCAGACATCCGCAAGTTCTTCAACCTCACCAAGGATGACGATGTGCGCCAGTACGTCATCCGCCGCACTATTGAGCCCAAGAAGGAGGGTGCCAAGCCTTACACCAAGGCCCCGAAGATCCAGCGTCTCATTACCCCTCAGCGCCTGCAGCGCAAGCGTGACGCCCGCCGCGTGAAGAAGGAGCGGATCGTCAAAAAGCAGGAGGCCAAGGCCGCCTACGATGCCTTGGTCGCCCAGCGCCTGGCCGAGAGGAAGCAGCGCCTGGCCGCTTAAGTGCGTTCAGTATCATTTCCATTCAAAAAATCTGCCGAAGCCGCTCCTAGGCGGCTGTGTCATGGTCGTCGGCAGTATGTCGATATAAGTCTTGGGACGATATCATTCTTGTGGTGGTAATACCACTCGTTCTTCCTGTAGACTACTTTGCGCTGTTCCAATGCAACGCATGTCTTGTCTCGTCTATGTGACTGTGAGTGGACTCGATGCCTAAGGATATCCTGCGCCATAGACAGGGTCAACGCTGTGGGCCGATGTGCAGAGCATGAGGCAATTTCATCTACAATTAGGGACAGTATGCAGACTGGTCCATCTACAGTTTACCCAAAGTGTCGTCCTGGTATTGCGATGAATTGAACGGATCGCCTGTCGTCCAGCGACGATAGAGCAAGGTCTTACACAAGTACTGCGATTATGCCTTGCGACGCTCCAGAAGCTGCTCCTGCTTCTTCTCCAGGAGCTGTTCCTGAGACTTCTTGACACCGTGCAACCAGTAGCCGATAGCGCCGAAAACACCAGCGAAAGCGAGATGGCCACCCGGGTCTAAGAGTCAGTATATCCTGCCAACAGTCACATACTGTCAAAAATGTTGCGCTTCTGAATACCCAGTGCATAGCAGCGGGCCAGGAATCCAAAGCCAGCGTATCCAAGAGCACTCAAAGCAGCAGAGGCCATGATGGTTAGAGTGTGGGCGCGTGCAACGGCGGCGTTCGCGTAGAGCGATGCTTTGGCGGCCCGGCTCGCTGGATAGAGAGTTCGGCCGAATCAGGGTCTCACTAGACCTCCACATGCACTAGCTTGGGGGCACATACGACAGGTCGCCGAACCACGCCGCCGTATGAGTGTGCGCCATCCGCGTTCCCCACTACAGATAAGGCACCCACATAGATGAAATATAGCATAATTAAAAAGATCTATTAGGTGTTGGTGCTTTGTGCGGGCATCCGCCGGAGCCAAAACTTGACGTCTAGCCTCCACGATGGTCCTGCAAAATAAGTACAAAGCGCGGGCGTCCAGAAAGTACAAAGCTGCGCACGGTATCCCAGAAAAGCCAAAGACAGGAAATCTTTCAAAAGATGAAGTAGAGGAAACAAATTCGGTTACCAAAGACAGCGAGCCTGATCCTGTACAAGATGAGGAAAGGGTCTTACACCGCCACCCGCTTAAAAGTAATACCTGGCGATATGAAGAGTCGGATACAGATGAAGAGGCTGAGCCGGAACCCGACATCGATATTACTGGGCTTCAAAATAAAGTGCTAGAAATGGACATTAATGCGCGCATGCAAGGCCAGGTGCCAGGGAGTGAGTCGGAGGATGAGAGTGACGATTGGGATGATCAATCTTCGCGCAAAGCGCAGCTTGAGATCTTAAAGAACGTTGATTGGGATGAAATTCAACGTGAAAAGCAGGATTCAGAAGCAGCCCGAGCATTAAAAGAGCGCTTTCAGCGACAGACGCAGGGTGGATATTCAGCTGCGACCTGGCGGCGCGTGGATGGCTCGCAGGTGTCTGTGCCGCAAAAAGCGCGCAAAAATCGAGTGGCTAGCGACGCAACTTCGCCCCATGTGCGTGCGGCAGAGAGAGTACACAGTGCGCAGGGTACAAAGGCATCTTTGCGCTTTGTACCACGTCCCACAGCAGCTCAGACCGGGTCATCAGCGCAAGACATTGACGACTTTTTACGAGATATCAACGCTTCAGACTCAGCGAAAGGGCCCGCCTCTAGCAGCTCTGCAAAGATATCTGTTGCACCTATGAAAAATGATATGCAAGATTTTTTAGACGATGTTCTTGGTTAATGTGTCCACCAGCTTAGACACCACGCCGTCACGCGCTCCCACAATGTAGAGGGTGTTTGAATCAGTGGCGTGGGAGGCTGTGCAGGAACTTGGATGGGCCTTCCATGCTGTTCATATGCCATGATGAACAGTTTGAGCGTGGAACGGATGGTATCAAGGAAGAGGCGCGTTTTTTGCTCTCCAATGTGAGGTGTATATATGACGGAGAGCTGTAAGGAATCCATAAAAGTCCAGATATGGAATGAGAACTGCAAGCTGCCAAGATGACGTGACATCACAAGACTGACAAACCAGTCATTGACACGAATGGGTTCCTTGTGGCCTGGTAGCTGGTAGGTGCGAGGGAGGAGCTTGTCCAAAATACCCACAGAACTGTATCCTTCCGGCGCGAGAGAGTCGCCCGGGTATGTCGGAAGAAAGAGTCCTGACAGGACAAAGAGGGGGGTGGCTGATCGAGCACGTTGTACATTTTTTTTAATATTCGCGCGGTACTGTGTAGCCAATTTTTCGGTGACGTAGGCCAACACTTTGACTTGACTGAGCTCGTGCAATGGCTTCGATTCATCCACGTCGAGTTCCTTTTGTGCAGGCACAAAGTACGGATCGGCAAGAGGGATGCTTGTCGCAAAACCCCCAGTAGCATTTCCCGCATATCCATTTGGATTATCGCAAAATGGTTCCACAAAATCACATCGGGCATCCACCGGTACTAGAAAGTCTGTGTGTAGCCGCTCCTCGATAGGATACCAGCGCCACTTTTCCAGATAAGCGCGACGGACTTCCATATAGGCCATATGGCGCGCAGCATCCACGATCTGCGTCACAGACCAGCCGTGTGCTCGAGCAGCGCATCGGAGAGCTAACGTTTCTTCAGGTGTAAACATCGATCGCATGTGGAACGTTTCCGTCAACACAGGATCGTCCTTGGGACGACCTTCGTCTAGACGGATCGAAAAGGCCTTCAAAACAAGGTCAATACGCCGAAAGGCATCTTTGACATCAAAAGCATCGAATGGAACACCAAGCATCTCAATGAGAGAGCACGGAAGGCGGTCCAATTCCGAACCCCAGGCCAGCTGTCGCGGATGCAGGGCGTGATCGCCCGGCAGGGGCCAAGGTACTTCGTCCAGTTTGGCTAGGTACTCCATTTGTTGACGCACCACGAGCATTTCTGAGTGTGCATCCGAGATGGTATGGGCACAGTAGACTAGAATACCCACCTTTTGCTGTTCGTCTGGACGGCCTGACAAGACGAGATGCCATTCCTTGGCACATTCACTCACCGTCAACGGTTGTGTCCCCAGCGAAGCCCGCATCACCTCAACACGCTCATCCAAGCTCTGGTCTGCTTCGCTCTCTGATGGGGTATGGACGTGGACAGCACGCTGCGCCCATGCTTCCACCTGCTCGAACGACTTGACTTCGTCATACAACAAGCAGGGAAGAAGCGGGACATTAAAAATATTCTTTTCAATTGTGACGGCCAAAACAGGGTGGACAAAGCGCATATACATGCATGCCAACCGAAACATATCCAGAAACTTGTTCATAGGGAGCGTAGAAGGCAATGCAATCGACGTGACAGTGATCATGTCGTCAGCCCTTTTCGCGTGAGTATCCAAGACGCACCTTCCAGTTGTGTCTGAGCGTCTCTCCTGGTAGAGTTCTCCACCCCATAGTGCGCGAACCCAGCGCCCCTCAACTCTTCCTTTTGAGGCTTTGTGCCAGCGGCAATTGTCAACCTCAAGACGGTATTGGCCCCACGCTTCTGAGAAAGGGGATGTCGGTGGAGCTTTGATATAGCTTGAGTAAACAAGGTCCTGAGTATCTAAATCACTGAGTGACTGCTCGTTCATGTCACCCGGTCTGTCTTCAGCTCCGTCACATGCGGCGCTCATGGCGATCGAAGGAACAAAATGTTGTCAAAACCACCTGGTGGAGCCCTGGCCCCTGCATGGAGAATGGGGTAACGCGTCAGCCCCGGCACATTCCGTTGGTCACGTGTTGGCAAAGCGCGCCGCGTCCCTGACGGGGCGGTTCGTTACTCCCACGATACGCGTCTGGTGGCGGCGCCTCCGTCTTCCGCTGGTGACCATCAGATCGCGATGGATCACACGGGATCGCCACCCTCAAATGGCACTGGGCCAATCCCTGCTATGTATGCTACAAATACACCCAATACATCAGTATCCTTCCGCAATGTGCGACCGTTGCAGACCGCGTTCAAGACCAACGGTCTCGTATCGAAGAAGCGGCGCAGTCTAGGTGGTGATGTTAGCTTGTCTGATATTTGCCGTTCAGGTAATGACTCAGATGCGAAAGGTCCAGAGCCAATGCGCTCTGCACCGTTGCTTTCTGTCTCGGAAACTGGTGCTGACCAGCCCGCTGTGATGGCTCGCCCCCTGCGTGAGGTGGTCGAAGCTGCGATGGCCAACCGTTCTTTCAGTGCTGCTTGTCCACATCATGCGGCCACCATGCCAGATACCCCAATGAAGCCGTCCTTTGGAATGAACACAGCGGCCACGACCGTGCGCATGCATCGACGAGGATGCTCGATGGGTGGCGCATTCCCATCGCATTCTCCCCTCTTCTTAACCTCCCAGCGCTCTCCCAGCGTGTCTATGCAGCCCTTAGCTCCGCAGTCGGAGATGCGACCCACCCATGGCCGCACACAATTGCGTCGCAGTCGGCATATGCGCTCTGTCAGCGAGCGCATTGCCATGCCGCGAGACATGTTTTCCCTCGGACCGCCCAGACGCCTTGAAGACGCTGATGATGTGTTTGATTCGCCCAACAAATCACCGATCAGGACAATGCCAGACTCGGCTATGCAAGATTCACTACCGGCGCTGCGGTCAGAGCAGCCGACGCAAAGCTCGCGATGTGCGGGATTTGCACCCGTGGGCCTAACACAGAATGATCGATCTTTTGAAGATGTGCCCCCTCCTGCGTCGCCGCTTGAGTCTGGTTTCAGCGATAGCGGACCGTCGTCGATGGACTCGCCCAACAACCTGTTTTCTGCGCGAGCATCTGGCGAGCCCCGGCAATCGACACCACAGTGGCATGCCAATGAAAGTCCGCCTCATCCGGTTCCTTTTGATGCTTCCAGTATTGCGCGTCCGTCTCGCGACTATACGCGGGCCTGGGTGGAAAACACTCCTACAGGCGCACGTGGTCCTGCAGGGGCTTTGCTTTCGATCCCGAGCGGTCAAGACGAGCTCCTGGAGGGTGCTCCCGACACTCCTACTCGCAAACAATTGAAGTGGTACGAGGCTGCTCAGTCGCCGCTGCCCCAAAAAATGCACAAAGACAAAACGCGACCGCGGCACTCGCAACCTGTGCGTTTCAGCACGCCTGCTCGACCTAGTGTCAATGTGCTAGGGTATAGCGCACCAGCTGCGCGATACCGCGAGTCCCGCACTAGCCAGTTTGAAGAGCACTTTGTTGTGGATGGTGTCTTGGGAGCGGGTGAGTTTAGTGAAGTGGTGAAGGTGCGTGAGAAAGCTACAGGGTACGTATCTGCCGTCAAGCGCATGAAGCGGCCCTTTCTGGGTCCCAAGGATCGGGTACGTCGACTGGAAGAAGTCGATGTGATGTGTCTGCTGAAGCAGCGTCGCAGCACCTGGACAAACAGTTGGTTTGGTGCCGAAGGGGTAGTTGATCTACTGGATGCCTGGGAAGAAGAGGGCTTTCTCTTCATCCAGACAGAACTGTGTCCGCTAGGTTCCTTGGCATTTGTCCTAGCCGAGTATGGACGCCAGGTGGGTGCACTGGATGAGGCCCGTCTGTGGAAAGTTTTGGCGGAGCTCTCAGCAGGTATTGACTTCATCCATCGGTGTGGTGTGTTGCACCTTGACTTGAAGCCCGCCAATATCCTCATTACTGAGGTCGGCACTCTGAAGATTACTGACTTTGGCATGGCGACGCGTTGGCCACGTTGTACGGCCCAGGAGGTTCTGGCAGGCGCACACCTGGAGACCCACAAGTTTCTTCCGCAGGAATTGTCGGACACGTCTCAGTCACCCTCACTACAGGGCATGATGCCTGGTGCTGCGGCAGTGCAACACCTCCCGCGACGCATGACGCGCAGGCGTCACTCAAGTCCTATAATGGTCATGGAGCGCGAGGGCGATCGCGAGTACATTGCGCCTGAGGTCATCTTTGAGTCCAAATACGGCAAACCTGCCGACATCTTCAGCCTAGGTTTGATAATGCTCGAAGCGGCGTGCAGCGTAGAGCTTCCTGACAATGGCGAGCCGTGGCACAAATTGCGATGCAATGATTTTTCGGATGTCAACCTGGAGAGCCTGAGCCCAGCGATGCAGACGATGATTACATCCATGCTGCAGTCCAATCCGAGTATTCGACCCACAGCGACAGAGATTGTTGATATGCCATCGCTAGCTGTGGTTCGTGCCTGGATGTGTCGTGGTCTTCAAGCCAACGAGCTGGATCAGCTTCCATCGCTAGGCTCCAGCGACGGCCCTGCGCCACCCTCGCTGTACCCCCTACCGCCATCCAATTATTACGAGCCACCACATAATGGCGTGCTTGGATCAGATCGTATGGTGGTACGAATCCGTGGCTCGATGATTCAAGAAGACGAGGTGGCATTTTTGGCCGAAGTCCTGCAAGCGGCGGATGCGCGCGACACGTCCCCTGATACATCGACATCGCTCATGACCGAAGACTCGATCCAGCCGGAGGCGCCGAGCCTACCCATGTCGCCTGTCGTGCAACCCTATGCACCTGTACTGCTTTCTCATCCAAGATCCTTTGTGGATGGGTCGGTATCCACCGTTATGGACATTGACAAAGCGCTTCCCCTAGATCGCTCTTTGTAACATAGGTATTATGATATGGCAGAAATGGCCTCCACTACAGGTGGCCGCTGTACTATGGTGGGGCTGGCCGATGCACGGGTCGCAGAAGCGCATACGACCGCGCACGGCGGCTTCTTCTATGTGCGTGAATTTATATCAGCAGAAGAAGAAGCCTATCTTATCCGCAAAATTGATAGCGCACCACGGCCACAATGGAAGCATCTCAAACACAGGCGCCTGCAGCAGTGGGGCGGTGAACTGGCCGAGCGCACAGGAGCGCTGCTGCCGGCCGCCTTGCCAGCGCATGTGACAGACTACCCGGACCTCGTCGCCCGCATTGCAGCGACGGGCGCTTTCCATGAGAGCCGGCATGCCGCTCCGAACCACTGCGTATGTCTAGTGCATCTGACCCAGCTTGTCAATGAGTATCTACCAGGCCAAGGCATTTTGCCACATACAGATGGTCCGGCATACTTTCCCGCTGTAGCGACCATCAGCTTGCAAGGGCACACACTACTCGACCTCTACGCGAACGTACCTGGAGAGGCGTGTCCGGCGGAGCCTGTTTTTTCTCTGCTGCAGGAGCCCCGCAGCCTGCTGGTCACTTGTGGCGATGCCTATACCCAGTTCCTCCACGGTATTGCGGAGCGGGATGTGGATGAGCCTGTGCACATGTCGCGCATCGCCAACAAAGAAGCGCTCAGTGGTGCATGGCGGGTGGCCTGCGAGCATGGCGCTTTGCTGCGCACACGTCGTGTGAGCCTCACGTTCCGCGACGTCGAAAAGGTACACAAGGGCTTACGTCTCGGGAAGTTACACACATAGCACTACGAGAGCAGGAGCTGTAGCTCCTTGGTGCGCGCCTGGCGCCGGTCCTCGGTGGGCTGCCCAACAGAGTTGGCCAGCTCCGTCTTGAGCTCCTGCAATACCAACAGTTTCTCTTCGATGCTTTGGTGCATGATAAACTTGGTCATTATGACCGGGCGCGCTTGCCCCATTCGGTGAATACGATCCAGTCCCTGCTGCTCTACAGCGGGGTTCCAGTAAGGATCTAGCAGGTACGCACGGCACCCTGACACAAGATTGAGACCAAAGCCACCGGCTCGTAGACTGATGAGGAGGATTTCAATGCGAGGTTCATCCCGAAAGTCGGACATAGCTGCTTCGCGCTCACCGCGGCTCATCGATCCGTCCAGTTGACGGTACTGGATCCCCACATGCATAAGTGCATGGCCTACTCGTTGTAGCATACGCGTCCACTGAGAGAAAATCACCGACTTTATCGGCAATGGACGCTTCGCCAATGGATCACAGGTGCAGACCTCGACATTGAATTCATTGTCGGCCTTGGTCACAACGCGGTGGTCCAGGACTGGCGCCTTGATGTCGTACAGCTCTGAATACATGTTGCAGCGCGAGAATGGAAGGAGGTCACTGATCAGTGCACGGATCTTGGTGCTCCACGACGACGGCCATGTGCCAGGGTCATCGGGATGGAACACCTGGCGGGGAATCATCTCAAGCGTTGGCTCCTCGGGCATGCTGGGCCGCAGCGTCTCAGGAGATAGCTCGACCGCGTCTGTAGCGAGCTCCAACTCCGTGTGGCAGCAGGGACATGTTCCTTGTCCGCGCGAGCGCCACATGGGCTTGCCCATATGGGATTGAAAGCAGGCCGAGCAGACAATGTGCTCACAGCGCGTCACTACTGGTACCCGGGTCGGGTCCCCGTCGTCTTGCGATAGGTCATACGTACATATCGAGCAAATTGCCATGGCGCTAGAGGCCCATATGCGGAAGAGTGTGAGCGCCCGCGCTACATTCAGGCCGTACCGACGGATCGTCTCAGACAGATCGGCCACCTCCTGAGAATCTTTCTGTTGCCCCATGCTTTCGTCCACCAGCTCGGCATGATCACACATCATACGCAAGAGCAAAATCTCGTGCAAGATCGTTGCATAGTTCTGGCCCACAGTGCCATTGGACACATATTCGTTGAACTCGTCGCGGAACTGTGAGTGGAGCTCCTTGTATTTGGTGAGCTCATCCTCCCGAAAGTCTAGTGTGACGATCCGAGTCGATTTGGGCGGAAGTACCAACAAGGGCGTGCCATCTGGCTTCGCATCTGTTTTCATGCGGCGCAGAGTCAGGAATTTCACAATGGTCTGTACACGCGTCAGACTCTCTGGATCGATATCGACCCCTGTGCCTCGCGAGTTAAGACCCAGGTACCGTCGGTCCCCACAAAAACGGCTCCATACCGCCCGATCCATAAACGGGTCGAGGCGCAAAAAACATACGAGCGCGTACAGATCATCGACGCGGTTTTGGATAGGCGTGCCCGTGAGACAGAGTCGCCGCGATGCAGACAAATTGCATACAGCTTTGGCCTGCCACGTGCGCGCCTCCTTGATAATATGGGCCTCGTCAAGCACGATGCGGAACCATTCGATCCGTTGGCACGTGTTTGGTGCTTCCACTCGCAGGCGCTTCGACTCTGGCAGGTCGTCGTCGTCGGCACGTCCAGCGGCCGCCGTCCATGTGTTCTGGTGGCTGAATTCATTTCCCAGTGTAGAATACGTAGTAAGGACCACATCGTGATCGGCGAGCATGTACGGATCTGTCACTCGGCCAGATCCATGGTATATATACAGACTAGGTTGTTGATCCACGCGCCAATGTTCCCGGATTTGAGTTTCCCAGTTCGCAATCACAGTGAGAGGACATACAAGCAGCGTCGCACGACTGCGGCACCGCAATTCCTCCCGACGAGCCTGCTCCGCTGATCGCCGATTCCGCGAATCGCCAATGAGCATCGGCTCATCATCGTCCGTGTCCTGTACCAAGGGCGACGACCCAAAGTCCCGTGCCTCTTTATACGTAGAGGCCACCAGCGAGATGGTCGTGAGCGTCTTGCCAAGGCCCATATCATCCGCTAGAATCGCACCACGGCATAATAGGGGCTTGGAGTGTCGTCTTACACCAGATACCATATTGCGGAATACGTCAATATGATTGTCATGCGACTTGTCGCTGACCCACAGCGACAAGTGTTCAGGAGCGTCTGGCTGAAGCAGTTCTTCCCACTGCCGTTCACGCTCGCGGCCCAAGAGGAACGTGAGGGCTTGCTTTTGGTGCGAAAAAAGAGGTGTGCGGATCAGTGGGGATGGTTCTGTCTCTGTCAATGGCTCATGCGTTTGCAGCACTTTGTACAAGGCCTCTACAGAGGATTTGCCAGAATCCTCTTGCAGGTGCTCGCGTGATGTGACAGCGGGTATCATACTGCGGAAACGGTTCATACGTTGAGGTGAGAGCGCGGCAGGGCTGTCGTCCACATCTTCTATCTCTTGGCGGTGCATCTCGGGCACATGCAGCGGCGGTGCCTCGGGAAAATCGGTCGCACGGTATTCACTTGGGATCTCGAGCAGGATATTTTCTTGTACAAGTGCTTCGGACACATTAGCCACATGCTCTGTGCGCACGAATACTAGTGTTTCAATGTACTGCGAAAATACGCGAGCTTTCAGCTTGTTCACAAGCTTGGCGCGTGACACGCAGTGCACGGTGCGCGATTGCATAAAAGGCGCCAAAATTTTGCTAAACTTGTCCGTCAGCCTTCCGTACTCATTCAATGTGGTAGGCTGCACACCATCATGCCCAGGCTGTAGCGTAGATACGACCATGTCGAGACGCTGTTGTGCCTTGATGAAGTGTGACATGGGTGTAGACTTCTGTGCAGTAGACAAGCTGGCGTGAATGCAGACAGGCCTGAACCCCTTCTCTCCCCAAAAAGCATTATGAGACCAGGCAGGATCCACAGGGGGCGGGTCATTCGGGTCGTCTAGCCGAAGCTCCGGCGGTACGCCGTAGAGACACAGAACGGACGGATATATGAGCCCCAAGCACACCCATGGTTTGGGTTTGGGAAAGACTGGCGTGAAAGAACTCCAGTCTGCGTTGTTGTCCTCGCTGAGGGTGGCCCGCGAGGAGCTTGGCTGGTTCGCACGCGCCGGCGGCATCGAGCTTGACGAGCTTGTGGGCATCACACGCGTCTCGACCAGAATGGGCTCGTCATCGTCATCATCCAAGGTAAGGTCAATGGTAGACGCCTGCGTCCTAGGGGCTGCCCCACCCCGCTGCGCCAAATTGGGTGTCCCACCGAGCATGCGCACGACCAGAACGGTCTCCTCGGCGGTGGCCGCGTGGAGGCTGAGCAGCTGGGCGACGCTTGGCCCTGGCGCTATCAACTCACGTGATATGCAACGGAGTGGCCCCGCCGCACAATTGCGGTAGGGCCGCTGGGTGGCAAAGTACGACAATGGCTCGGCTCACATTGCTACTGTCGGTGCTGCTTCTGAGCCTGTGTGCTCATGCGCATTTTGCCATGCTAAATGCTGTGATGGACCGCGTTCTGTCTTCGGCACAGCATGCCTTCCACCTGCTGGACCGTCCGAATCCAGTCACGCCAGAGCCACTGCGCGAGTGGGTCCCCCACCGGGCTGAGGAGGCCGTGGAGTGGCTCAAGGCTGGCATTGAGACAAGGGGTGGTATTACCTACCAGAATTTGGCGCACCCGTCATTCCCTGACTACAGGCTTCGCGTAGCGATGGACGATGGTGACGAAAAGCCTGCGAAGTTCTGCGACCCGGGCGTGAAGCAAATCAAGGGCTACTTGGACATCCGCGAGGATGCTCACCTGTGGTTTATTCTGTTTGAGAGCCGCTCGAACCCTGCAGAGGATCCGCTGGTTCTTTGGCTGAATGGTGGCCCTGGTTGTTCGTCGAGCACGGGCATGCTGTTTGAGCTGGGACCGTGCTGGGTGTCGGAACAGGGTTTCAACACGGAGTACAATGAGCACTCATGGAACTCAAAGGCGAACCTCCTATTCTTGGACCAGCCGTTGCAGGTCGGCTACTCGTACTCGGACACGAAAGAAAAGATCAATACCTCGGACAAGTCGGCGGAAGATGTGTATGCGTTCCTGCAGCTCTTCTTTGCGAGCTACCCCAAGTATGCAGACCTTCCTTTCACGGTCGCGGCCGAGTCGTACGGTGGCCACTACGCCCCCCACATTGGTGCGGAAATTCACCGCCGCAACAAGGAGTTGGCGCTGGCACCGCACTCGGATGCGCGGCCGATCCGTCTCGAGACGCTGATGATCGGTAATGGCCTGACGGATCCCCAGGTGCAGTTCCCGAGTGTGGTCGAGTATTCGTGCTCGCCGGCTAACAAGTACCATCTGTTTGACCCCTCGAGTGAGGTGTGTGAGCAACTCGAGAAGAAGTCGCGAGTGTGCTCTATGCTGATCGACATGTGCTCCAAGTTTGAGTCACCGCTATCGTGTGTACCGGCCGGCCTGTATTGCTGGGGCAGTCTCTATGGCCCCGCCCAGGACACGGGCGTCAATTTGTACGATGTGCGGCGCAAGTGCGACCGCGAGCAGGATGGCTCGCTCTGCTACCCCGAGATGGGCTACATTGAGACACTGCTCAATACGCCACAGATCAAGAACCAGCTGGGTGTACCCTCCCAGGTCGAGTTCCAGAGCTGCAACATGGACGTCAATGCGGACTTTATGATGCAGGGCGACTCGATGCACAACAGTGCCCTCTTGCTCGAGCCGCTGCTCGCGGACGGCGTGCGTGTGTTGGCGTACGCGGGTGAGGCCGATTTTATGTGCAATGCAATTGGCATCCACGAGTGGGTCCTTGCGTTCCCGAATGTGTTCCATGAGGCGATCAACAATGCGACAAAGACGCCCCTGTTTGCGTCGAGCGACAACGGTGCCAAGCCGCGCAAGGTCGGCTATTCGATTCAGGCCGGCCCCGGTGCTGGCAACCTGACATTTGCGTGGGTCCAGCGCGCTGGCCACATGGTGCCGCACGACCAGCCGGCTGTGGCGCTGCGTCTGCTCAACACGTGGCTCGCGAACGAGCCGCTGGCGGCGTAGGTAGACGAAGTAGTGTTGATCGGGCCCGATACATACACATCGGCACCACCGCGGTCGGCGTCTGACGAGATGAGTGCCGCTTTTAGCGCGCACGCGCTGCGCGATGCACTCACCGCTGCTACCTTTGCATCAGATGCTCAAACGCTGCAGAGCGTTGACGCGCAGCTCGACGCATGGGAGACCGACTCGTCTTACTGGGAGGAGCTGTTGCGCATGGCGCTGGATCCGAACGAGGCGCCCGGCACCACGCTCCGACAGCTGGCCATGATCCGCTTCAAGAACGGCATCACCAAGTACTGGCGCTCTCGCATTGTGAACCGTGTGAGCGTCACCATCAGCAACGCATCGAAAGAGCGTATTCGCGCGAACCTGCTGCGTGTGCTCCACGAACCGGACCGTGCGGTGGCCGTGCAGGCGGCGGTGGCCATTGGCAAGCTGGCACGCACAGACTACCCGAGTGAGTGGCCGGACCTTGTGCCGACGCTGCAGGCAGCGATCGAGTCGTCCGGCGCTGCGATTCACGACGCCGCCGAGGCAGGGACCTTCGCCCACTCGGCGCCGCCGACGCGTGTATTGCTCATTGCCGCAGATGTGCTGCGCCAATGTCTAAAGGAGTTTGAGACGGTGCGTGTCCTGTCTGGCAAGATGCGCATGGCCGAACTGGCGCGCACGCTGCTGCCGGCGTTGCAGCCTGTGCTAGAGCGACTCTTTGAAGATACCTTTGCCGCAGCGGATGCCCAGGTGTGGGCCGCGCAGCCCGGCACCGTGGAGCGTGTGCGAGCGAGCCACCTGCTGCTCAAGGTGCTGCACCGCCTCGCGATGGCCGACAACGGCATCATTGCCTCGAAAGTGTCTGAAGTCGCGCGGCCCAACTTGGCGTTCACCTTCTTTGCCTGTACGCCGCCCCAGCTCGCCTGCGTCCTGCAGCGGCGCACGCAGCTGCTGGGCCACGATGCCATGCTCGATACGGCGCTTACCAAACACATGATGGCGTACGCCAAGTTGCACCTCGCGCTCGTCACGCAGCTGCATAGTCGCGTCGCCACATGGCCCGCTTGGGTCGACGTTGTGGAATGGTACTGGAACACACTCAGGAGCGCTGCGCAGAGCAACAGCGTGGCGCTTAGCCGCGACGACGACGACGTCACTATCATGTACCCCTATCGCTGGATTGTGCTGTCGCTCTTGCTGTTGCGCACATCGCTGAGCCACTGGAAGCGTGAGCGCCCGGCGAAGAGTTGCTTTAGCGGCGCGGAGGGTGCCGTGGTGGAGCTCCAGGTCACCGACACGCTACTTAGCACCTACCTGCGTCTCACACCATCGGATTTAGAGCGCTGGCAGGACGCACCCGAGACGTTTGCCGTGGAGGAGGCACAAGGCGACGCGTTCCTGGATATCCGTCCCGCTGCGGAGCAGCTTCTCATCACGCTCTCGGACTACTCGACGCGCCCTGACGCGCGGCAGGCACCGAGCGTCGCCGAGCACGTGTGGGCGCAATTCGAAGCGTCGGCGCAGTGGCCCACCACACTAGACGGCGCCATCGCGCGCGACGCGCTATACACGGCACTCGGCCTGTGCCGCGACCGGCTGGACAGCGAGCTAAACGAGGAGGCGCATAGCACGAACGAGCGCATGGCGCATGCTATCCGCGATCGCTTTCTGCCGGAAGCCGCGATGGAAGGCCTCGGCGCGCCGTGGCTCATTGTGCGCCGCCGCATCGCGTGGATCCTGTGGGAGTGGAGCGAATATGTGTGGGTCCCGGTGCGTCCGACGGCGTATGCCGTGCTGGTGCAGCTGCTCACCCATGTGCCTGGTCGCACGGACGTGGCAGTGCAGCTGGCTGCCGCACGCACCCTCTCGGCGCTCACCGACGCCCTTGAGTTCGACGCCGACGTGTTTTCTGCATACCTTGGCGATGCCATGGCCGCGCTCATGCACCTGCTCGCGCACGATCTGCAAGAGATGGACAGCATTCGCACGGTGGCCTCGACGCTCGCTGTGGTCATTGAGCGGGTCGGCGCACGTATTAAGCCGTACGCAGGCGCCGTCGCCGAGATGCTGCCGGGACTCTGGTCAATCGAGGACCCCAGTGCGCGCGCCAAGCCGAGCCTGCTTGAGTGTCTGTGCAAGCTGGTCGAAGCGTGTGCGCCGCGCCTGCAGGACGAGCCGCTGCTCACTCACTTGCATGCGCTCGTCGCATACATGGTGCGCGCGAGCCTGGAACCCGAACTGAGCCCACTGGTCGGCTACGACGCGCTTCTGCTTTGGGCGCGCACGCTGCAAGCGTCGCCGCAGCTCACTCCGCCGCTCGTACCGCTCTTGGAGCTCGCTGCACCGCACGTAACGCAGCCGGACTTTGGGCCGCTGCTGTGCCGCGTGTGGGAGGAGTCGGTGGTACTGGCGCCCACCGACACGCTGCAGATGTATGCGCCTGCGATGTACGCAGCACTCGCGAGCGTGCTGAGCGTGCCAGACAGCCCAATGCTCCTTGGCCCGGTTCACGCGCTCGACGCGCATGTACGGGTGCTCGACGCGGCCAGCCTCGGGACTCTTGCGGAAATCTTGCACGCGACGGGCCTAGGCACCGCGCTGTTCTCGGCGCTCTTGCGCGAAGAGTCGTTCCCGATGGGCTGCCACGTCGCGACAGCCGTTGCGCGCCTCGCCGTGTACCTGCCGCAGCCCTACTTCCACGAGCTGGTGCGCGCGAGCCGTCAAAGCAGCGACCTGGCGTGGCCTGCGCTCCTGGAAAAGCTTGTGAACTATGAGCAGAGCATGGCGCTGATGCGCCCACGCAAGCTGCTTGCGCTTGCGATGGCCAGCATCCTGCAAGGCGCCGCAGAGCAGGACACGGATGTGCTGACCTGCGTGCCGTCGATCCTTGGTGCGTGGACCGAGCTGCTGGGCGAAGTCGTCGAGGACGCGCATGGTCATGCAGAGGTATACGAGCGTGAAGAGTCGCCGGACCGGCCGCTGGAGGCGGGCGACGAGGAAGACCTCCTTCTTGGCGACGACCTGGGCGGGGCTCTGCAAGACGACTCGCCTGCGGCCGCCCGTTCTGCGGCATTGCGCGCACGAGACGTGGTGCAGATGGTGCCGCTGCGCCCATGCCTCGCCAACACGCTGAATGTCGTCTTGTCGAAGCATCCGGTGGGCACGCCTCCCGGCGACGTGCTGCACCAGGCGCTCAGCAGTATGGACCCGCTGGTTCTCGACGTGCTGCAGCGCGACCTCAATCAGCCGGCTGCCTCTAGTACATAGGGAAGGAGGTGTCGTACTCGGCATAAGCGCGCAGTCCGCCGGTGACATTGAAGCAGTTAGGCAGAGCAAGCTGCTGCACGGCCGCGCGGGAGTCGTTACCGCGACGGCACACGACATAGATAGGCCGCCCTTGTGCAGCCTCCGTGATGCGCGCTCGCGCCCTCGGGAGATCGCGGCGCATCGAGTCCCAGTCGATGTCTGTGTGAGTGTAGCGACGTACGGAGAGAATGAGGAAGTGACGTGATGGCAAACTCGTGCGAAGGACGCACATCGACGATCAGTGCATCAGTGCCCTGCACATGGTTAACGTCAATGCTCGGCACGTGGATGGGCGCCACTGCAGATGCACAGAAGGACACATAGTCCTCGTCAGGGAGATGCACGATCTTGTTGGGCACCTGATCGGCATCGCCGCACGCTCGGCACGTACGCGTCTGCCGCGGACGCACACGAACGCACCGCACCGCTTGAGTGTCCATCGGCGTGAAAAATAGCAGATTGGGCGTCGTATCACCGAGCCCTGTGAGCAGTTTGATCGTCTCGAGCGCCTGCCAGGTGCCCACAATGCCTGTCACACATCCCAGCACACCGCCATCATCGCAGCTCTGCGTGTGTTCGGGCCGGGGCGCCTCAGGGAACAGGCACCGGTAGCAAGGCCCGCGTCGTCCGTCGGCCAGCGGTCGGTGCAGCACCATCAACTGGCCCTCGTACCCCTGCGCCGCGCCGCTGACGACGGGCTTTCCAGCCAGCACACCGGCGTCGGATATCAGGTACCGTGTCATAACATTGTCCGTGCAGTCAAGGATCACGTCGTGGCGCTGTGCATACATGAAGGCATTGTCAGCGCGCAGTGCGCACGCGACTGCCTCAACATGCACATGGGGCTGCAGGAGTGTGATGGCCGCGGCGATAGAGGCCGCCTTATTCGTTCCAACGCGCTCATCGGTGTGCAGGACCTGTCGCGAGAGGTTGCTCGTCTCCACAGCGTCCGCATCCATCACGGTGATCCATCCTGTTGTTAGTGGGATGCACATACCGACACCTGCAGAGGCCAAGTACTGCACGGCGGGGCACCCAATCCCACCAGCTCCAATGACCAGTACACGCGCATGCTTCAGCTCGAGCTGGGCCTGCGAGCCGAAGTGTGGCAGGATCAGCTGCCGGCTGTACCGCGCCAGCTCCTGCCGTTGCATGTGGAGAAGCTGCGTGACGGTCTTTGTCGCCACGTGCACGTGCACGTGGGACAGCCCATGGATCCACGCGTGGGGATCTCGCCTCGGCCTTGGCTCTACGCTACCGTCTCGACGACGGTCACCTACAGCATGCTCCGTGGCGAAGATGTTGGTGTGCTAGTGCACCAGGCGCTTACGGGGCACCATGCTGTTCTTTTTGCCAAGTTTTTTATTCTTATTCAGTTCGTCTACCAAGTGTTCGCCATATTCGTGTTTAACGGCAAGAGCGACGACCAGGCACGCAAACGCTCGTGGATTATCACGACGTTCAGTGCATTCTGCTCGTCGATCGTCGCTATTCCATTTGCCTTTGACTTGATCTGGTGCCGCTTGGACTGGACTAAGGTTACGCCGCACAGCGAGACCGTGGCCGATCCGCTGGCCGTGTTTTTCCTCGCGTATCTGGTATCAGACCTAGTCACAGGCTTTTTGTGCTACCGGAACCATGTCAACATGTCTAGCGGATGGGTCCATCATACCCTGTATGCTCTATTCACCATCTTTTGGCTGCGCCGCGGCTGGAGCCACGGCTTCGCGACCGCGTTGCTGATGGAGCTGCCGACGTGGATCATGGGCATCGGTAATCTGCATCCACGGCTGCGCTCCTACTGGGCATTTACGATTTCGTTTTTGGCAACCCGTATTGTATTCCATTCCATGCTCATATATTCACTCATTGTCCCGAGCGGTCGCTACGTGAACAAAACGGTACCGAGCCTGGAGCCCTTGGTGTTCTGTGCGCTCGCGCTGCCCATGCACTTGATCTGGGCCTACAAATCGGTACGAGGCCTGCGGCGCCGTATGAAGAAACTCAGAGCCGAGGCACGCGCGCGTGAAGAGGCCCAGCGTGTCGCTATCAGCGAAGCGACGCGCCTACTCGACAGTGCTGACGAGCTCGAGCAAGGCGAGGACGTGACCCACGCAGGTGCGCCCCGCTCGCGCGTCACAATGCCCACTACCGATGCCGCTGCGCGTGCCCGCGATATGGTGTCGCATGCGGTGCGTCTGCTGTGGTACAGTGCGCCTCAGGCTTGGCGCCGGGCGTACCAGGAGGAGCTCGAGTTCAACAAGTTGCAGGGCATCGACCCTGCATCGCTCCGCCACAGCACTCTTGTGCGTCGCGCACTTGCACGGCAACTGCTCCAACGCGACAAACGCGGGCACAATGTGCCGCTGGTCGGCGAAGACGACGAAGACGATCTGGAGGACTGGATGTCGATTACCTCGCTCAACAGCTTGGACCAGCCCCGCGCCCCTGTTGGCCGCAAAGTGAATCTCGGGCGCGGTATCAACATTCATGTACCACGCGAATTGGACCCCATCTTGAACGGCCAAAAGTACGTGGTGAGCGAGTACCCCGTGGACCGTGAGGCCAGCGGCACACGACGCCAGCGCCTGGTAGGACAGATGCGACGACGTTTCGAAGTGGCCCGCCGCGATATGGTCGTCTTTTGAAGGCCCTGTTCTTTGTATTGTAGAGGGCTGCGCCCTCCTCGTCTTTCCATTACCGGTGACGCACGTAGTGCATGTCGCAGTAATCATTACATTTGTTCAATAGACCAAATGGTGCCAGAGCAGGTTTCCATCGTGCGCCTCGATGCGCTCGCCCTTAGTACCAAATATTGTGTCCCATACAGTACTCTGCTTGCCGTAGTTGTACGATTCGCGCCACCCGTGGCGGTGGTGCAAGTCGTGATCTTCGCTAATGAGCTCCATGCCAAAGGGGCGGAGGTAGGGTCCAGTGAGGATGGAACCGTACCAGAGACGGATGCCGCTGTGGCCATGCAGCTGAATCGAAATATGGATGATCATCCACGTCATAAACACATCAAAGGGCACGGGGAATGTGAACCACGTGAGCGTTGGGGCCCCCACAATGTCAAAGACCTCCTGCAACTGACCTGCATAGCCAAGCAGCAATGTCGTAGGCGCCTTGGTCGTGTGGTGCTGGCGGTGCAACTTCCATAGTGATTCGCCCTCATGGCAGACCCGGTGCGCCCAGTAGTAGTAAAAGTCCTCCACAAGCGTAAAGAAAAAGAGCTGCAGAGGCGCCCACAGCGTCATTGAAGGCGGAGCAGCTGGATCGTACGTGAGAAACACGACCATAGCTGGGCGGAACACGAGGCCACAGACGACCTCAGTCACAACCTTTGGTACCTCCGAATACGGGATGGTGTCACGCCCCACGCCACCATTGAAATACCCGTACTTGCGCGCCAAATGATTTAGGAAAGAGACCCAATGGAGACCAAAGGTCAACGAGAAGAGCACAAGACTAATCCACATGGTCCATGACCCTATGTGGTACTCGGGATTCATATAGTATAGGTAAGAACGAAACAGAAAGGGCGCTAGAGCCCATGGAGCCAGGTAGAGCGCTTGGTTCCACTCACGAAACGCAGGTACAGAATCAGTGAGCTTGGTCGGGTGGACATCCTCGGACGCCGGAGGAAGGACGTTTAAGCGCTTGACAATACGATGAAGCAGCGGAAGCTGCGTTTCTTGCGTCCAAGTGTCTGTGTGTGGCGCAGGATACATGAGATAGAGACGCTGCGCTTGGGGCGGTAATTTATATAATTGTTCCTTGGCGATCCGGAGGCCGCATACCCCACGCCGCCGGTTGACGCTCGGACAATCACGTGAAAATCGACCGTGGCGCCAAGGCGCCCGAATGAACACTAGCAATCTACAATAGGTAATCGCCACCATAGCCAACAAGTAAAACCAGAGTAAGAAGGACCGTGGCCAGTGATCCATACGTGAAAGATGGCATGAATGTGGCCCCATTCTGGCCAAATTGAAGTCCTTCAATCAACGAATCCGAAGAGGTCACCGTGGTAGTTGAACGCGAACTCGACGGCGAGGACGTAGGGGAAGAAGACGAGCTTGTAGAGCTCGATTGCAAAGATGCAGAGGAAGACGTCGTGAGTAGCAATGGAACGCCCGCAGAGTTGCGCGATGACATGGAAGAGGATGACGAGGACGTTGACGGAGAGGTCGAAGACGAGGTCGACGAGGACGCGGCCGACGAAGACTTCGAAGACGACGCACGAGCAGGATTCGCCATACCAGCATTAGCAAATGGAGCCTTTACTGAGCCCTCTAGTTCCGAAGAGGCAAACGGCTTGCACTGACTCACAGGCGGCGCAGGCTTGGGCGGGGGTATTGACTGGCCCTGGAGTGTTTGCGACTGGAAGAAAGTAGAAACAACGCCATTCTCCGTGTATACACCCACGATCTGTGCCGAATCGCCCTCGCATGACTCAAAGTCGTTGCCATCGTCAGGCCCAGTGGGCATATTGAAGTTGCAGCCCAGTTCATCGTAGATATTTTTGCAGTAGTCCCATGCCGAGTTGCTGTCCTTACATACGCGAAGACAGTAAGACTTGGGGTCCATAAAGCTATGCCATTCGTGCGCCTGAACAAGCTTGTGCCCAAAAGCATTCGTAAACACGAGACCGCCGATAGGATTTCCCATCCCGTCTTCGCCATGAGGATCTAGCTCGCCACCACCGCCATCACTGTTGATGAACATCTTCGAGAAATCGGCCATGCCGCTCACCTGCACATAGTTGGGGGTCTTGACAAAATGAACGCTCTTGAGTGTGCCCGGCGGTATGACGCGGGTCCCTCGGCCCGACTTTGTGCAATAGCTCACAACCTTCCGCTCAGCGGCGCCAACACCCTCCATACCAGGGCCTGGCGCACCCCATAAGCAAAAGTCTGTTGCAGAGTTCACATACAAGTTCTGGCACTCGGAGTTGGGGTCTGACCCTTCCCCACACGCATTGGTACCAGCCTGACCTTTCTCTGAGATTTTTGGAAGATTAGAACCAGGTACATAAGTAGCCGAATATTGTGCATTCACATTAAAAGCACCGGTAAGCAGTAGTGCCACAGCTACTAGGGTCCACAAGCTTTTCATTGTAGTCCCGGAAGAGAGCTCAGAACGACGCGACTCTGGCATGTGGAGGCGACTCAGCCGGCGCGCGAAAAATTGGGGCGCACGTCGCGAAACCAGCGACTAAAATTACACACGTGGTGAGTGCCATGTGGCCCCACATGGTACAAGATCATCTTGATCTTGGTTTTGTAATCACGCCACGGTATCGAAATGAGCACGTCATTGACGTGCGCATGTCACCATGCAGCGGGTACGACGCTGGGATGTTGTGTGATGATTCGCAATTTGGGAGTCGGGCAATGCTTATAAACGACGAGCAGCGAGTTGCCAGTGCGACAGCTGCCCCCTGCCATGACGAGTGCTCCCTCCAAGATTGAGATACCTCCTTGGAATCCCCCCGCGCCGTCCAAGAAGGACGATTTTGACTGGGCGCCTCTACACACGCTTGACTTGTCGCTTATTACCGGCGATGAGTTTGACCAGGTACCGGACGATCTGGTCAAGCATGTGGGTGATGCTTTCTCCAAGGATGGCTTCATGTATGCGATCAACCATGGCCTTTCTTATGAACAGGTGCTGCGTCAGTTTGCCATTGGCCAGTACGCCTTCGACAATGTCACCGACGAAGAGAAGCAGCGCTGCGTGGCCGACATGCTGCATGGTGGTAGCTTCGTGGGCTACAAGCCTATGGGTCACTGGCAGATCAACGGTGTCAAGGACCGCATCGAGCAGCTCAACTTTGGCTCGCAGACCTTCACACCTGAGCAGCGCCAGCGCTTCCCTACGCAGATGCAGGCCCTGATTGAGGAGATCCATGCGTTTGCTCGCTACAACCACGATGTGATTCTCCGCAAGATTTTGGCGGTCCTCTCTCTCGTACTTAAGCTGCCTGTGCACACGCTCTGGAACCTCTCTCGCGACCATGAGACCAAGGGTCTTGACTTGCTTCGTTATGCCCTATACCGCCCGCCGCCGAAGGAGGATGACCAGGCCCTGGGCGGCGTGCGTCTTCAGGGTCACAGTGACTTTAACAGTGTCACGATTCTCTGGTCGCAGCCTATCACGTCCTTGGAGGTGCTCATGCCTGACAACAAGTGGCGCATGGTCCGCCACCGTCCGAATGCCATTGTACTCAACATGGGTGATGCAATCCACTTCCTGTCGGGAGGCTACCTGAAGCAGACGATCCACCGCGTTATTGCTCCTCCGGAGGATCAGCAGCACCTTAACCGCCTGGGTGTGTTCTACTTTGCTCTATTCAATGACGATGTTCCTTTGGAGCCTCTGGTCCAGTCAGAACTGGTCAGGAAGGCGTACGAGGGCAAAGACTTCTGGGCCGAGCGACGGGCTCAGGGGCTGCCACCGCCCACTGCGGGCGACTGGGAGCGCATGCGTGTACGGGCCTATGGTCAAGGCGGCCAGAAGAAGGGATTGGATGGCCACGACCACGAAAAGATCGCTGGCGTGGATGTGACGCTGTATAACACCGTTGAACAGCCCGTGCCCAAAGTCGGACCGGCTGAGCGGGTGGGGCACAGCCTGCCGGCTGTGCCTGTTGCGGCCAACTAAGTGATGACCTACTATTTTTTCAACACTGCTCCTGTATAATACTCTACTTTGAGCGAACATGACCCGATACAGCCTCAACGCTGTTTGTAGTTGATAGTGCAAATGTTTGTGATGCATCCAGCGGCTTATGTGGAGACGGACGGTCCGCTGAGCCTAACGACGATGTCGTTGAAGAGCAGCTCATCCGCTGCCAAGCGGATCATGACCGAAATGAAAGAGATGCAGGCAGATGATAGCTCCGAGTTTACAGCAGCGCCTCTAGAGGTACGTAAGACGCAAAGCTGACGACGAGGAAAATATCTTTGAGTGGCACTTCACGCTGAGGGGACCTGTCGATTCGCCCTTCGCGGAGGGTCTATACCACGGAAAAATCCTGCTACCTACGGATTATCCATTCCGACCACCGCATATCGTGTTTCTTACACCCAACGGCCGATGGAAGGTTGACACCAAAGTAGGTCCAGATGACTGACGGCTAGGTCTGCATTTCCTTCACTGGTTTTCATGAGGAGAGTTGGCAGCCTGCATGGGGCATCCGAACAGCCCTCCTGGGTGTACAAGCCCTCATGGTATCAAGAGGCGATGAGGCTGGTGCAGGGGCCTTATCGAAATCGGACGAAGATCGCGAGGCACTCGCGAAACAGTACGTATGCGTCGCCTGACGGCGAGATCGCTCCACTGGACCTGCCCCCAGTGCCGGCAGAGCAATGCAGAAATCCTTCAAGACCGCCCGCGTCCGCATGTCGTTTCAGCAGCGATGCTACCTGGTACCCCCAAAGCTGCTGCACAGCAGGAGAAGGGACAAGGGCCGGCACAGGCCGATGCCCGGCCTCAAGATACCACGCCTGCATCCGCCCCGGAGAATGCGCCTATTCCATCACACAATGACAGGCCTCGCGACGAAGAGGTAGACAACGTCGACCGCCCTGTATTGCAGAGCACAAAGCCGCCGACGCCGGCGCCCACGCTAGACGGGCCCCCACTCCCCGCCCCCGGGCTGCCACTCGTGGCAACAGCCCTTCAGCGTCGAGAGCTCTCTATGTTACAGGCCCAGATTGAGTCATGTCGGCGGATTCTGCTGCTCCTAGACTCTTTGATGGGCCTTGTGTGTGCACTTCTGGTGCTTCTCATCCTAAAGAATCTGTAGATATTACTTTCTGCTCCGACGCGACCTGACTGCCTTTTTCTTCGGCGCCGACGTTTGTGGGAGCCAGTCGTTCTCTTTGGCGGGCTCCGGCAAGCCTTGTGTGACGCGCGCCTGTGCGGCGGTGATCTCCTCTGCACTGACTTGCTCGCCCGCACGTATCCGTGCCACCAGCTCGGCGGGCAAGGCGACGCGTTGTACGTTGGTTTCTGGGTCAGTCAAAAGCACGTACGGAAGCCAGGCGCGCCGCGGCCTAGACCGGTGCGTGGATCATAGGCACCCGTAGACTTGGAGGAGCGTTGCCTGCGCGGCCAAAAGACCCAAGACACGAGGGCCAGGGCCGCACAGATGGCAATGCCCAGGGGGCTGCGTACGTATAAGTCAAGGCGGCCCGCTAGGTACGTACATGGAGCGTTCCCAGTCCATGGAAGTGGAGTGGAACTACGTCCGTGCCTCCATTATTGGGAGGTCGAGGTATGTGGGGATCGCCGCCGGTGCAGCAAGGACTAAAGGCACTTTCGAGCATGGCGCAAGCGGACATTGCTACATTTGCCAATGGGTGTTTCTGGGGGACGGAGCACATCTACCGCAAGTATTTTAGTGGCAAGGGCCTACTGGATGTGAAGGTGGGCTTTATCGGTGGCAAAAAGGACTTTCCCAATCCGACCTACCGCGATGTGTGTACGGGAAAAACGGGCCACGCCGAAGCGGCCCAGGTAGTGTTTGACCCTGTACGTGCGCTTGACTGACCACAGGCGCAAGTGTCCTACGCCGAGCTAGTCGAGTTTTTTTACCGCACGCATGATCCCACGCAGGTGAATGGCCAGGGACCCGATATTGGGACGCAATATCGTAGTGCGCTCTTTCCTCACACAGATGAGCAGGAGAGGACGGCAAAGAGGGTGACGGAGGAAGTGCAGGCAAAGCATTTTCAGCCGAAAGGCAGCCAGATCGCCACACAGATTGAGCGACTGCCCGTGGAGGATTTGTACGTGGACTATCTAACGCCAGCTTTGTGGCTGAGGACTACCACCAGGCGTACTTGATCAACAACCCGAGCGGGTACCACTGCCCGACGCACCGCCTATGGTGGTAGTCGATCGTAGATGTGCGCGGGGTATCTAGCACGTGATGTACATACCCCCTGGCTGCGCCCCGTTCCCTAGAACCTTATGTCGTCGATGTCTGCGATGGCGCACCGACCGGTGGTCGGCACCGGCCTAGGTACGTAGGAGTGCCTAACTCTAGCGTCGTGCTGCACGGTTGTCTCTGTGGCCGGCGTGCTGATCTTGACTGTCTTTGGATGGGGATTCACCCACAACTGGGAGGCGTTTATGGGGTCTACCGAGGACCCTGAGGACGGCGTGGCGGCGGGTATGACCTGCTATGGTGCTGCCTTTGTGTATCTCCTGTTCATTGTCTTCTGTGTATGCCAGGTGGGTGTGAACAGGCGTTACCAGCGCATTCAGATCTAAGTGTATATTACATGGGCATACCCAGCGTGGGTGAGTCGAGCAAGTGACTCTTGGCATAGTGTGGAAGCGGCGAGGTGGGGGACGGCTGCATCGATGGCCCCAGGAAGGAGGAGGTGCCTCCGTGTATGGACATCCGGGAGCTAGCTCTTGTGACAGGGTCCGCCAAGGCACGCGTGAGGCGCTCGATGCGCTCCTGCGCCCTATCCTCTGTATACAGGCACGCCAAGATGTGGATCATCTGGGTTAGGTGCGGGCGGAGAGAGGTCGTAGCATCCAAGGGCTCAAAGTCCACACGACTCGCGAGCGAATATAGCCAGTCGCAGACCGGCAGCACAACCTGGTCTCGAAACGCTAGCAGCAGCACGCGCCGCACGTCCATAGCGGGCGGCAGAGGGCATGCGTGCTCGGAGAAAGACGAGTCCCCCTTCTCCAATACGCGCGACGCTGAGCGGCTCCTCTGCTTCGACGAAATCGTGGCGAGGACCTGCCAACTGTGTAGCTTGGTTTCCAGGGGCAGCATACTCGCATGCACATACGGGAGTACCGTATCGTAATAGTGCAGCCACATCCGCACCAGCTCGCGAGCACGGTGTGTGCCTTCGCACTGCTGCAGCTGCATGTTGACACCCATCAACCCCGTCGATATGAGCTTCTGGAGGTGGTCTTCCAGCAAGGCTGGCGCCTGGTCGGGATCGCGCTCAAACTGGAAGCGAATGTACGTCTCCATACTGTCGCTCACCGACTCGATACGCAGGTCGCCTGCCTGTTCGTAGAAGAGGGGGAGCAATCGCACGCAGATGCTCTGCCATAGCGCCTGGGGCGGCGGAGCACTGGCACTGGGAAGTGTGTTGCCACTGTTACCAAGACTCGTACTGGACGGAAAGTGTCCCAAAATGCTTTGAGCAAAGGCGCTCACATTGCTTAACGTCGATGTGTCTGTCCGAGGAAACGACGACGAGGACGGTGTAGAGGCGACACTGCCGCGCATAGACAGAGGGACGACTGACGGCATGTCCGTCCGCAGATTGACAGAGGGTGTCTGTAAGCTGCGCGACGACGCTCTGGAGCTTAGCGCAGTCCCGCTGGGCTCCGTGACGCGAGCCAGGAGTGGCGACGACGCCATGTCCGAGCCGTCGCTCATGTCGGGCCACTCCACCACGGGATCCCACTTTTCAATGGAGCGCAGCATGGTCGACATGTCATACGCTTGTAGATGCTTGGAAGACTGCGACGCGCTGAGTGGGCGCGACTGCGTGTCTCGGTGCCCATGGAGAGAGAGGCCGAATACGCTTTCCATAGGCCGGATCCGGAGAGGACTGGAGCCCGACATGAGGCTGCGCGGCCCGTCCGCTTTCGCAGCGATGCCTGAGGCCGGGAGAGAGGGCGGTTCGGGCGCGTCTTGGGTATGCAGGGAGAGGCGCGAGACGGACGGCAGCATCGGCTCTGCGGACTCTGGCAGAGTGGGCGAAACGACGCCAAGAGGGAGCTGCAAGGGCGTCGGCTGGAGGTGCCCTGATTCACACAGCGTGCAGATGAGCACTTGGAGGCGCTCGTGCCCTGAGCTCTCGGTCAAGTCCATGTACACCTGGTGGAAGGCGGCGGGGAGCAGGGGGCTCGTGCGAATCGCCATGGGTCGGTCGTGCGCCGTGCGCAGTGTCGCTGGGTCGGTCCCATGGGCGGCCAAGAGGCTCTGGAGAAGCTGGCATAAGCGGCGCATGCATACCTTGTCGGCCATGTGAGCGCCGGTGACGAGCGCCACATGGCTGGGGGACGATGTGCGCAGCCAGGGCAAGAGGAGCGACGTGATGGCCTGCATTGCCCGCACGTCGAGGTCGTCCGAATCGTCCGCGAGCGGAACCACAGGGTACGTTTTGTGCACATGCTTTAGGTCCGGCGAGTCTGCGTGAGCGGTCGAGCGTACCTCCCACATCGCTCGCCACGTCCGACGAGGACGGCAGGTCACGCAGCAGAGGCGTGAGGTGCGGCTTGGTACACTTTTTGTGTCGATTGGCCTGCGTTAGACGGCGCGCGCACCTCGACGACTTTCTCGCTGGTCAGGCTCGAGAGGGGATCAGGCGCCGAGTACACCTCGTCCCAGGGTGTAGCAGCCAGTGCCGAGGCCAGCAGCAACGACTCATGTGAGTGGGGAAGCGTACCTGCGACGACCAAGGCGGAGAGGTGTCGGTGGCCAGCGTACTGTGCGTGGATCCACCCGCATGATGGACAATGGTCACATAGGCCCCGCCCATCCGCGCTGCTGCCAAGGTGCACGGTGCCAGGCGGAGGAGGGGGTGTACGAATGTGGAGACGGCCTGGTAGGCTGTGTCCCTAAAATGGGAGGCCCTTGCTTCTCGACGTCGAGCGCCATGCTGGGGCGATCGCAGAGCCTGCGAGACGAACGCAGGCGGCCTGCTGGTCTGTCGACGTACCAGCGCCTATCGATGGTGGGCCCGCGGTCCAAGGAAAACGTGCCGCCCATGACGGGGCAGGCCGCGGCCAGCGCGCGCCCCGCCACCGGGGACCCTGAGGCGCCGCCCGTGCGGCCGCTGCAAAGCAGGGACCCCAACAGGATGGGCCATGGTGCGCACCCGAGCGCCAAGCCCGCCATATACCCGTCGCCGGCTGCACAGACGCTAGGGCCCCCGCCGCCTAAGCCCGCTGCCTTGCAGCGCTCCGCCACCGCCGTTCCGGGGGCGCACACATGGCGCCCCGTGTCCTCCAAGCACGAGAGTAACGCGTCGCATCCGCTGCAGCAGCCAGTGTATCAAGCGCCAGGCGACCGCACGAGGCCCGCGCCCAGGATCTCCGCCACCGCCGGCGGCCCGTCGGTATTCCGAAGTACGAGCCTGCGCTCCTACTTCCAGCCGCCAAAGCGGCTTGCGCCGCAGCCGTCGCTGGCGCAGGAGCACACGCCTGCGACGAGCCGCACGCCCATGTCGTATACGCTCGCAGGCGACGACTTGGAGGCCGTACTCAGAAAGGGCCTCGAGGCCGTCAGGCGGAGACAGGGGCAGGCAGGGAGCGAGTGGCGCGCGACGCCGGCGCACGAGGCGTCGCACCGAGGCCAGCATGCGCGGCTGGGCGACCAGTCGCTGCAGCAGCTGGCGTCCTCGTCGTATGCGCATGTGGTCCCTGCATGCAAGAGCATCAATGCGGAGCGCCGGCCTGAAATCCGGCACGCGCGCCACCACTACGCACCGCACATATTCGAGAGTCACTCTGCGGAGATCTACGTAATGCGATAGATAGAGCTCAAGTGGCGACGCAGCGGTCGGCGCCTAGATGCGCTTCTCAGCGCGGTCCTCGCCTTTTTGCTTGTTCAGGTCTCTCCATTGCTCAACAAGGCGTGATGTCTGTGGTCAGCGTGTGTGCACCTACCGCGTCGGTAAGAGACTCGCGGTCGGGGCTGCCGTATGGAATCTGCGTGAGCCCGCTGCGACGTACCCGCTCCGTGTAGCCAAGGCGGCTCACGTACACGGCACCTGTGAGCCAGACACCCCAGCCCTGCTATTAGCTGTGCGCACGCACCATCACACCCACGAGCGCCAGGACCGCGGCACGGTGAAGATAGTCGACCAGCGGCTTGCGCACCATCGACGGAGGAGGGCGGCCAGGGCCCGCGAGGCCTCCACTTGGCCCACGGCGGGCGGCGACTACGAGCTACGTCCCGAGGACCGGCACATCGCCGACGAGGGCGTCCTTGGCGCCGATATAGCGCTCCTCGTTGGACTGGATGAGAGCTGCCTCGTCCAGATTGCGCTGCTGACGAATGAAGGCGAGCTGCGATGGGCGGAGGGTGGCCAGCACCATGTCGAGGCGCGGCGTGTCCACGCGCGTGCGGCGGGCGCGGCGCACTACGTTCACGAACAGGGGCTCGATTTCCATGGGGCGTGCGCGCTCCATGTCGATGAGGATGCTTGGCTTGAAATCGGGGCGGAAGCTAGCAAAGGTAGGCGCCTGGAGGATCGCTTTCGGGTCGCGGACCACGCAGAGCTGCGCCGGCGAGCAAGCGAGCGTGGCTTGGAGCACGTTGTCAATGTGCGTTGCCGGGAAGCGGTCGTTGTGCAGGCCCGAGGCGCGTGCGACGTCGAGCAGCTCGAGCAGGAGGCCACGCACGACGCCGAGCGTCGTGTCGATGGCGTCGGCCTGGAGCAGCTCAAGCACGGGGCGGCGCGCCAGCAGCGACGCGGCGCCCCAGCTTGCGTTCCACAGCAGCTTGCTCCAGCGGTCGGGCGCGATGTCGTCGCTGACCGCGGCGTGCGAGCCGCCGCGCGCGGCCAGCTCGACAAAGGCGGCGTTCGCCTCGGCGAGGCCGCGCGGCACCTCGCCGTCCTGCGGCGACGGGTACGTGCCGGTCCGCAGCGCCTCCATGTGGCTGTGCTCGATCGAGTGGCCGTCGGGCGACATGGTCACGGCGACCCATGTGAGGCCGCTGAGGATCCCGCGCGCGAGCGGCGCCTCGCTCAGGACGAGGCGCTGGTGCGAGGCCTCCTCGATGTCAATGCCGTTCTGGATGAACACGAGCGTCGGCAGGTGCGCCGGCTGCAGCGCGCGGTTGCGCTCGAGGTACGGACGCACGACCTCGTGGTTCGGATTGACGTCCGGAAGGCACTTGAAGCAGCACACCACGTCTGTGTGAGTAGCGCAACGTACAGTCCAGTGGCACCGGCGCCAGCTCGTCGGGCGAGCGCACCACGCGGTCGGGGCGCCAGCCGCGGTGCGTGCCATACTTGTCCGAGTAGATATCGATGCCGCGCTCGCGCACGACATCGTAGTTGCTGCGGCATACACACGTCACATGTGCGCCGCCCTTCTGCAGCAGGTACGCGTACAGGACGCCGACACTGCCTAGGCCAAGAAGCAGGACCTCGGGGCGGGGCGGCGACGAGGCAGAGGGCATGGGCCCTAGCGTGGCCCGCGCCGCGGGGGCCACGCTTCCTCACGTGCCACGGGCGAGCGATGCCGCCGGTGTCGAAAGCGCAGCAGCGGCAGGCGCAGGCGGCCGCCGAGGCCCTGGATGCCTACTTTGCGCGTGAATATGGCGCCGAGCGCTGGGCCAGCCTGCGTGCGCGCCTGGTGCTCCCGACCGAGTACGCCGCGCTGATCAATGCGTATGCGCCGGCCGCCGAGGTGGACCGCGCCTTGCTCGCCGAGGCCCCGGTGGGGTCCTATGCGCTCCTGCGCCTGCCGGCCCTGCCGGAGCGGACACGCAGCGAGGTGCCTACGCGGCTGCTATGCCTGACGCGCGCCGCACTCGCGCCGGGCGAGCGTCCGTTCCCGCCGCCGCGCCCCGCCGCTGCCGAAGACGCACAGCACCGCGTGCACACGCACTGGAACTTGGACGCCGCGTCGGTGCTTGCGGCGCACTGCCTCGATGTGCGGCCGGGGCACGCGGTGCTCGACCTGTGTGCGGCGCCTGGCGGAAAGAGCCTGACCCTCGCGCAGCAGCTGTGGCCCGAGTGGTATGCGGACCGCGCTGCGCGCGCGCCGGGCTCGCCGTCGGTGCTGCACGCCAACGAGGTGGATGCGCCGCGGCACCGGCGCCTGCGCGCGAACTTGCAGGCGTACCTGCCGCCGGCGCTCTTTGACGAAGGGCTCGTCGAGACGCTGCGCATCGACGGCACGTCGCCGCGCGCCGTGCACCTGTTTCCCCTGGGCGAGGGCGGCTATGACCGCGTACTACTGGATGCGCCGTGCTCGTCCGAGCGCCACATCCTGCATGCGCATGTGCGTCATCAGAAGTCGGGCACGGTCGCCCCTGAGATGCTCGCGTGGAAGCCGACGCTCACGCGCTCGCTCGCCAAGACGCAGCTGGCGCTCTTGCGCACAGCGTGGCATGCACTGCGGGGGGGCGGCAAGCTCGTGTACGCGACGTGCTCGCTGAGCCAGCACGAGAATGATCAGGTCGTCAGCGCCTTCCTGCGCGCGCTCGAGGGGCCGCCGCCCAGCCTTCTCAAGACGGAGGCTCTTGCAGCGTTCTGCGAAAGGACCCAGTATGGCTACTTGGCCCTCCCGGACCACACGCCGCCCGGCGCCACGGCGCCGTCGCCGTGGGGCCCGCTGTACTTCAGTGTGCTCACGAAGCCGTAGCCTCCACATGAACCACACGTACCTCGCCGTGGACGCCGGCGGGACGCGGACGCGCGCCACGCTCGTTGGTGCGGACGGGCGTGTGTGCGGACGTGGCGCGGCGGGGCCGGGCAACTGGGCCGTGCAGGGCCGCGACGCGTGGGCTGCGGCGATCCGCGCCGCGGTGGCGGAGGCGTGCGCGTCGACGGGCGGCGTCCCGCGCGGCACGCACGTCTGGGTCGGCACGGCGGGCGTGCCAGCGGGCGAGCGGGACGAGGCGGTGGTGGCGCTCGTATCTGAGCTGGTCCCCGGTGCCCATGTGCGTGTGTCGAACGATGCCGAGCTCCTGCACCGGCCCGCGCCACGCACGTGCGTCGTGGCCATCGCTGGCACAGGCAGTGTGGTGCTGGCCATCGACACGCACGGCCGCGTGCAGCAGTGGGGCGGCCTCGGGTGGCTCTTGGGCGACGAGGGAAGTGCGTTTCACGTGGGCCGCGCGGCCGTGCGCGCCGTGCTCGGGGGAGAGCCGGCGGCACACGCGCTACGCGCGCGCCTCGCGCAGGCGCATCTGCGCGGCGACGACTGGATCCGCTACATTTATGGCGCCGAGGACCCGCGCGCAGTTCTCGCCTCGCTAGCGCCGTGTGTCACGGCCGCCGCCGAGGCGGGGGACCCGGCGGCCGCGGCGCTCCTTCGTGAGGCGACAGCGCCGCTGGCCGCGCTGATCGCCAGCGCTGCCACGCACGAGGCCGACTTGCGCCTGGGCGGCGCGCTCATGCAGGTGCCATGCTACCGGCAGGCGCTCCTATCGCACCTCGGCGGCGTCTCGTTCGCGAGCGTCGAGTGTGTGTCGGTGCCCAGTGAGTACGCGGCGCAAACGCTGCGGTTGATGCATACTATACATTATTCCATAGGGGACAGCTGATTCAGCTGGAAGAAACGCTTCGCCAAGCGGCGCGGCACGCTCGGAGGGCGCGGCGACGAGCCGATCGACGTAGCGGCATCCCCAGTCGTCGTCGACGGCTCCTTCTCGGGCGCCTCGAGACCCGGCTCGGTCGAGCCGGAGTCCATCGAGGAGCGCGACGAGCGCGAGCGCGTCGACGCCATCGGGCGGCTGCCCGCCAGGGACGCCCATGGCGGAGTGGGGCTGAGGGTGGGCGACGGGGCCTCGCTGTCGGCCATCGTAGGCCCAGCCTCGTCGGCCGCGCTAGAGCCGCGCTGGTACGTGATCCAGCCGCCGACCTTGCGCCCTAGCGCGTGGCGTGTGAGGGATGTCATGGAGGGGCTGCGGTGCGGCACGCCGCCCTCGGGGCTACCCGATCGGCGGGGTGTCTCTGCGTCGCCGCCGCTGGTGAGCGTCGCGCGCAGTGGCACGAGCAGAGCCGACGAGTTGCGCCGGCTGAGCGACGGCAATGCCTCGCCGCTATCACGCCGAGAATGCGCGGTGCGCGTCGGTGCTGCATCCGTCTCAGTGGACACGGGCGCCAGGACAGGCGACGAGCAGAGCGACTCGGGCGCCGAGCCCAAGGACGCCTTCTCGGCGGTGGGTATGCGCACAGACACGTACTCGCTTCCGCTGAGTCGGTGCAAGCCGACACGGGGGCTGACGAGCGTGGTGTGTGCGCGAGACCCGTCGGTATCAAGCGACGTGCGCGCAGAAATGCACGCATCCGAAAAAATCATGCTGCGGTCCTTGGCCGCGCGCCGCGGCGGCGACTTTTGGCGCAGCAAAATCTCCGAGTGTGTGCTGGATAGGCGCCCACGTCTCTGCTCTGCCTCGGCGAGCGACTGCGTGCTGAGGTACAGCGACAGGGGGTCCAGCTCGTTCTCCCGCTCGGGCGCCGAGTCCCCCTCCAAGTTGCACGGGAACGGGACGTCCATGCCATGCAGGCGGCGTGTGCGAGAGGGCCCCTGCTCCATGACGGTATGCAGGGCCTCTTTCCAGAGCTCGAGCTCCTTGGCCGTCGACGTCATCATCTCAAAGTGGTGCCCACGCACCGAGAGACGGAACGACTGCGGCAGCGCCACCGCGCGACGGTCTGCGTGGGTCACCTTGACGTCGGCCATAGGGAAAAAGAACCGTGGCGCGTAGGTCTGCGACTTGCGCACCTTGAGAATCATAAAGTAGTCGGCGAATAGCACGCAGCCATAGTACTTGATCGCCAGGGGCGTCGTGAGCGGCGCCTTGGTAGGGTGGTGGTATAGCACATCGAGGTTGCCGGCCATTTTCACATCGCCCAGCGATCGGAGAAACGTCGGAGAAAACGCCTCAGACGGTTCCATACGCGAGAGCAGCAGCTCTGAGAGGAGCAGCGACGCGCGCTTGGCACTCGCCCTGTCGACGTCGGCGACGGCCTCGCGCATGCATTCGGCGGCGGTATCTAGCTCGGCACGGCCCACGCCCGGCACGTGCTTGACCAGGTTCTGCAGGATGATCGGATATAGGCAGATGCGCTGGATCGGTTTGATAAAGTAGTCACGAAAGTGCAAACGCTTGTGCTTTTCGGGCGGTGTATCTGAGGCATCGTCCGTAGGCGCCAGCATCGGGTCCTCGTACCGCTGCACGGCCTCCGACGCCCGCTGCTGGAACAGGTCCCACTCGCTGCGGCCCTCGACCGTATCAATGAGCGCGAGCGACTCCTTGTGCTTTGTGCAAAAGTCTTGGTATACGCGGAACTGAGGCGCGAGATCAATGAAAGCTTGGCCAAATGCCCGTGTGGCCTTGTCGGCATCGTCGCTGCAGGCTCGCTCGAGCTCGGAGCGCCCGCTGCTTGTGCCGAGACGCAGCGCAGCCACCGCCGACGACAGGCGCGTGTACAGCGCCGTGTGCAGCGCAAGCAGCGCCGGTCCATTGCGAACGACCATCTGGTAGCGCGCAGGCTCTTCGGCAAAAAACGGCACGGTGCGGAGCTGCTTGAAGAACACATGGTTCAGCACGCTCAGGTCGCGCGCATAGTTCCGCTCCGTCTCCAGCAGCTCCAGAAGCGCGTGCAGGCGCTTGACACGCTTGCGAGTCGAAGCGTCATCCGGCAATGCGTCCTGGGTTGATTCCGCACTCGGCTCCATTCCCGAGACAAGCTGCAGCGCCATGGACGAGTCCATCGCCGAGTCCTGAGAGCCCTTGGTGGACGTGGACGATGTGCGACTGACGTCCGTCTCGAGCTCCGGAGACGACACGCGTTGGTGCGTCGACTCACCCCGCCACATCGATCTAGGGCCGTAGGACTCCTGACTATCGTTGTGCCGCATGGCTAGCCCAGGCGAGTGGCGCGGAGACGCTTGAGTGGGCACATAGAGTATCGAGGGCATAGACTTCAGATCCGAGTATTCCATGCGGATCGGTGCTGCCGGCTTGAGGCCCACGTTCATAGGGGTAGCGAGCACCGACTCGATCGAGTGAGGGGGCAGCTCATGCTCGTCGAGAGGGCCGCGACCGTATGGCGGCGTAGGCACGCTCATGGCCGGTGTCGAAGAATGACACCTTACTGCCAGCCGTCGTCCGTAGCCAGACCTTAGCAGTAATCAGAGCAAGTCCGCCCAAAAATGGCAGACCAGCTCGTCCCACCGCGACGTGGCTCGGAGCAAAAGCTAATCTCCGTCTGGCGGACAAACAAGACCTCCGCGGCGCTCTCGAAATTCTCCAGATGCGCCAGCCATGTGTCGCAACAGGCAACCAGTCATAGATCCCCGTCTCGTGATTGGGTCGCTTATAAATTTGGCTGCACGCTACGCATTCGCCTCTCGACCTATGGACGTGGGCCAATCGTCGGCGGATGGCCTGGCAAGCAGTGCCTGGTTTAGTTAGCACAGCCGCATGGGCCGCCAATACGCCTAGGACACAAAGTGCGCGAGATTGGCTTGGCTCTTTTCCGTCTGAGTCCGGAGGTCGTATTCGCCATTCTGCGTAATGTAGCGGACCCATGCTGTTGTGAGTGACTAGTACATACGCAGTGCCTGGTAGCCGGACTTTTCCACAATCTTCAGGTAGCGCACCTGCACGCCCGACACGGTAAAGTAGGGGATCTCAAACTTGACGTTGATCGGCGTGCGCCGCACAATGCTCTCCTCGTCCCGCACGCTGGGCAGGCCGAAGTGCGCGCGCATCAGATACTCTTTGCCGCCGCCCAGCTGCTTGATCTTCCACACCATGGCCGAGAGCTCCGGCGCGTAGGACACAGAGCCAATCGCCGCGCGGAACTTAGGCGAGTCCGCGTCATCCGGCACATTGATGAGGATCTCGACATTGTTTGCCGTGGAGCGGCGCTTGAACTGGGCCTTGACCTTGACCATGAACTCGATGCGGCTGCCCTCGTGGCGCTCCACCACAGCCTCGGCCCAGATCAACGGCTTGATCTGTGTGTTGAGTCGGTAGCTCATTAGCTCGAACTCGCCGTCAGGGGGGATGAACGAGATCGTACGATCGTTCTCAAAGCGCGACAGACGCACACACTGGTGGAACTTGACGTCTTCCATCTCGATGGCCTTGCCGCGTGACGTGCGCCCGGTGCTCTCAAACATGACCTTGTCATTCAGCCCAAGGCGCAGCTCAGGCATGCCGGACAGGTAGCACTTCATCTTGACCGTGCCGACAATCTCGCTACGCACCACGTGCCCGTTGGCATTGACCAGCAGGTTCACGCTCTCAATCACATCCAGGAACACCTCGTTTTTGCGGTAGCGGATGCCCTCGGACCGCCACGAGACGGCGTTCGTCACGGCCATCGGGGGACGGACCTGGACCTCGAGCTTGTACGATTCCTGCGTGATATACTCCTGCAAGATCTTGCTCTCGGTCGTCTGTGGGTATCCAAAGTCCATCATTTCGTCAAGAAGCTCATAGAGAATGACAAAGTTGTCGCGAATGGACTCTTCCTCGAGCTGCTTGAAGTACTCCTCTAGCACTGACGCGAGCTTGTGCAAAAACAGCAAAATTTCAGCAGCATTCGAGTTCCGACGCGATAGTGCAAGCACTGAGATGGTAAGTCTTCATGTACGTACAGTATAGGTTATTGTGGCGCACATGCATGTAGTTGACGCCCTGCGAGCTCAGACAAGGCTGGATGGCGCTCGTGCCGTGCTCCTCCTCAATCTCCGTAAGAAGAGGGAGGAACCGCTCCATGGCTGTAGGATCCACATCATCCCTGTAGGATCGCTGAATCAAGGGCTTGCCCTTCAAATCCAGGATCGCGACCACGCTGGCCATGGCGACGACCGTAGCGGAGGCGTCCGCGCACGACGCGGCGTGGCCGAGTCGCCACGTGGACCCACGTGGCTGTCATGGTCCACGGCCGTGGTGCGAGGCCGCCGTGAACGAGCGGCCGCCAGCCTGTCGATGGACGGCAGGCCCGGGCATTATGTAGCAGGACATGGCTGTACGCCAGCAGTTCCATAGGGGCGCGCCAGCGGGCGCACAGGGGCGGCGCCGCAGGCGGACAGGCACGCCTCGCTAAGGTTGAAATTTAATTGCAGGAAAGCACCTTCCTTGTCAACGCGATCGCCAGTGAGAGCGGGAATTTTGTCACTCCGTCACACATCGTGTGCAATTGCTCGGCCAGGCGCGTGAGCTAGCAGGTTGGTAAGAGTGCGTGCTAGGGATTCAAATCGCAGTTTTCTGCTAGTGTACTGAGTCAAGCACGCGGCTCTTCACGACCGAAAAACAGGTGACCCATAATTCGAAGGGCATCGTGCAGAACACGAGTCGGCTCGTCTCGATTCCCATGACGGACGTCCCCCCTAGAGACGACATGAGTGACACTGCCTCGCATGCCGCTGCCCCGCAAAATGCGGAGTCGGGCCTGCCATCGAACGCACGCAGCCCATCGGTGTCCGTGCCAGAGCCCTCATCGGCCCTGCATGATGGCGAGTCAGGCCATGAGGAAGATGCGTCGCACGCGGCGGAAACGAGTGGTCCTGATGCTACTACGAGCACAGAGGCACCAACAGAGTTGCCCCACGAGGTGTCACCCGAGTCGCGCAAGCGACAGGGATCACCGGGCGCCGATACCGAAGGCCGAGACAAGCGACCCCGCAATGAAGAAAAGGGCCCTGCGTCGGCACCTCCCGAGACTTCGTCGAGCTCGGCGAGTGCCGCAGGGAACAAACCCACGGCATCGCAGTTGAAGGATACCATTGCGCATAATGCTAACGCAGGCAACCTCGATGTCTACGTGTGGGAGTACCTGAAACGACGAAACCTGTCCAAGACGGCCGCGTCGCTTGTCGAAGAGGCGGGACTGCCATCTGAGCCTGATGTGCCAATTCGCCTGCCGCGAGGCTTGCTATTTGAGTACTGGACGCTGTTTTGGGATCTGTTCCGGTCACGCGTTGGTCTCGGCACGCGCGAGGCTGCGCTGTTTGGCGACTACCTGGAGAACCGGCGGCGCCAGGCAATCCAGGAGGCCAAGACCAAGTCGTTCACCGCACCTCTTTTCCCCGATGCCGCCACCGGACTGGCGGCCACGACGGCCGAGTCGCCGGCTACCGGTCTGAACCTGGGCCTCGCGACTGCCGCTGCTGCACCGCTTGCGACAGATGCAGCACAGAGGCTGATGCTCTCGCAGGATTCGACCGGCGTGCCCGCCTTGGGGCCTGCTGCGCCGATTGGCGCGCAAGCGCCAGGCACAAGTCCGAATGGGAAGATGCAAAGAGCGAGCTCTTCGCCTTCTTCGCCTGTTGTGCTTACGGGCATGCCATCGACGCCAGCGAGCTCCGCACAGAATGGAACAGCACCAGGGCCTGTACAGGCCGCGAACGCGTCTGCCCCGACCTTGCCGACGCAGTCGTTGGTCCAGGGCCGCGCGCCTTCGTCGTCGCAGACGTCTTCGAGTGGCCCTGCGCCGCTGACCCAGCCGCAGCAGACACCGCAGATGCGGAACCAGAACGTTCCCATATCAACGGCTCCACCGAATGGGACGATGGCTCAGGTGCCGCCGCTATCGATGAAGCCTGCTGCGCCGAATGGGATGGCAGGAGGTACCGGGCCCGCGACGCCGTCGCTACAGCAGCAGCAGCAGCAGCAACAGCAACAACAACAACAGCAGCAGCAGCAGCAGCAGCAGCAGCAAATGCAAATGCAGATGCAGATGCAGATGCAGATGCAGCAGGCGTTAGCGCGGGGCCAGATGGGGCAGAGCGTGAACCCGGCTATGCTCACGCCGCAGCAGCAGCAGCAGCTTCTCGTCACAGCAGCGATGCGGCAGGGCATTCCGCTGGACGAGCTGAAAAACATGGCGCCTGCGGCGCGGATGGCGCTGCTGAACAGTGTGCTGCCGAATGCGGCGCAGACGGCGGCGATGGCGGCGATGCAGGCACAAGGGCCGCGTACGAACGATCCGCAGATGCAGGCCCGTCTGCTGCTCCAGCAGCAGCAACTAATGCAGATGCAGCAGATGCAGGGCCATGCGGCTGCACAGAACAAAACGTCCCCCTCTTCGCCGGCGACGTTCCAAGCGCTGTTTAACCGGCCGGGGCAGCGCCTGGGGACGCCGTCGCAATTGGGAGCGAACAAGCCTGTGGGCAACGGCGCCGAGCCTGGTGCGGCGCCGAACCAGGCGAGCGATCCGCAGACGGCGCAGCATGCCCTCGGGCAGCGGCCGATGGGCATGCAGATGCCGGTGCAGCTGACGCCGCAGCAGCGGCAAATGCTGCTGATGCAGTACCAGACGCTGCAAACGGCGATGAAAAACGAGTGGGTAAAGGCGCAGAACGCGCCTGTGCCCGCGATGGCGCAACAGTGTATGGCGACGGTGCAGCAGCTGCAAGCGAAGCTGCAGTCTATGGCCGCCCTACTGCAGAGCGATCCTGCGCAGCCGGGTGGGGCCGCGGCATTCACGGGCGACGGCCAGGGCCAGGCGATGTTGCAGCACCTACAGCAGCAGGCGCAGGTGTCGAACGGCGCGGGTGCTGCGCTCTTGGGCCAGACGCACCTGGGGCCCATGATGAATGCGCCGACGCAGGGCCAGGCGCCCCGGCCGAATGGTTTTGGCGACGTGGATGTGAATGGCCACAGCGCGGCGATGGCGCCATACTTTGGCATGGGCGGCAGCGGTCCGGCATCGCTAGCGATGCAGCAGCAGCGCCGCACCCCCGGGCAAGCGCCCGTGCAGCCGTCCGGTGTCGGCGTGCGGCCGCCCATGATGGGCCCGGACGGGCATTCTCAGGGTATGGTCGCGGGGATGATGCCGCAGGCGGCGCGGGGCAGTGCAACGGCACCAGCGACGCCGCAGGCGGCGCACGCCACCGTGCCGGGCGGTGCGAACGGTGCGGGCCCTGCGGCTGTGAACAAGGGCGGGCGCGGTGGCCATGTGCGGCCGCCTGTTTCGACGCCGGGGCGGCCAGACATGCCGATGAGCCCGTGGCAGCCGCCGGCAGGTGCGCAGGACTCGCCGTCGAGTGCGTCGGGGAAGAAGGACCGGCTGCGGAAGCCGGGCCGCCCGGCTGCAAACAAGACGCCGGTACTGCCTGCGCGTACGCCGTGGAACGAGGGTGGCCAGGAGGAGCCGGTGCCGAAGGAGGAGCCGAGCGAGTGGGAGGCGGGAGGCAAGGGCGAGAGCGATATGCCGTCGCAGACGCGCTCGATCGGCGGGGACGGCCAGGCGCAGTCGATCCTGGATTCGATGCCGTCGATGATGGACGATGTCACGTCGGGTCTCGCCATGTCGTCTGGGTCCGGCCTCTCGTCGGGTGCGCCGCCGGGTGGGCCCAGCGACGACTTTTCGGCCATGTTTGGCGTGTCGGACATTTTCGACTTTGATTTCGATGGCGGCGACGGGGCCGGCTCGCAAGCCGGCGGGCTGTTGTCCGGCGCAGCGCCTATCGCCTCCGAGCCGAGCGATGGCGCAGCAGCCGGCCGCGATGCGACGGGTGCCTAGTGTTCTATAGAGCGACATGCTCATCTAGGGAGATCGAATGCCCATTTTTCGACAGCGCCGACCCGAGTCGTGGCAGCTGCCAGCTACGTAGCCAGTCAAGGCTGTGATTACACACGGAAGGCGCGCGACTTTCTGCGGCCACGCGCCTTCTCGAACTTGCGGCCCTTGGAGCGCACAAACGGCTTCTTGTGCTTGTGGGGGCCAAAGCCAAAGTGCCTGACAGCCTCGCGGGCGTTCTTGGGACCGCGGATCAGGATCGTGTTGCTGCCGGTCGGGGCGCGCATCGCCAGCTGGTCCAGGGTCAGGCACTCACCGCCAGCGGCCTCGATGCGCGCGCGCGCGGTGTGGGTGAAGCGGAGCGCAGCGATGCTGAGCTTGGGCAGCTCAAGCACGCGGTTGTCGTCGGTGATGGTGCCGACAACGACCACCGTCTTCGGCGTCTCCGACGCATCCTTGGCGATACCGCCCTGGTGGCGCGACAGGTACATCACGCGCGAGACCGAGACCGGCGGGCGGTTGATCTTCGACATGAACAGGCGGCGCAGGATCACCTTGTTGAAGCGCGAGTCCGTACGGCGCGCAAGGAAGCGGTAGAGCTTCACAAGCAGCAGCAGGTAAGGGTCCTCGCTCTTGGGCGCCGTGCGGTGGCCCGTCTTGACGTGGTGCTTCTTGATGTCAACACCCTGGCGGTTAGTATGTTCTTAGATGTGTGTCTCGCGCTCATCGCTCAACCTGCACAGAGTCGTGCGCGAGCGGGTGCCGCGAGACACCGCACCGGTACGCACCATCGGGACAGCTAGCTCGTAGGATGGATAGAAGAAAGCGCGGCGGCCGCCCGAGGCCAGCCGCGACCTCCATTTTCCCATGTGACACAAAACTGTATCATATCACGTGTGTGGGTACACTGGGCCACGTGGCACCTGCGGGCAGCTGCACCTCGCGCGAGTGAACGGCCCCGCGCGCTGCGTCCCGCGATCCGCCCACAGCCCACCAACATGGTACGCAGCGCTGGCGCGACTGACACCAGGCGGATGTGGACGCACCCCTGAGCCCAGAGGCTCCTCAGCGCGCAGAGATGGCTGAGGGAATGACGCAAGATGCTCCGCCGGCCGACCGCGAGTGGCAGAACGCGGAGAACGACGACTTTGACCGCCGCGAGGCCCGCGACAGCGAGATGGAGCTGGAGCGCGAGCCATCGGTGCGCGACCGCGAGCGCGATGACGAGCGCGAGCGCGATGGTGACCGCCGCCGCCCGCCTCCACGCGACCGCTGGGAGCGGCGCCCCCCGCGCGATACGTACGACCGCCGCCCGTACGATCGCGCTCCGCGCCGTCGCGACGACCGATACCCGCCAGGGGGCGCGCGTGGCGCAGCGGAAGCAGCGCGTCCCTCGCCGGCGCCTTCAAACATTATCGGCGCCTTTGGTCTGAGCATTCGCACGACCGAACGCGACCTTGAGGAGGAGTTCGGGCGCGTCGGCGAGGTCGAAAAGGTCGTCATCGTGTACGACGCGCGGACCGGCCGCTCGCGCGGCTTTGGCTTCCTCACGATGAAGGACGTCGAGTCTGCCACGGAAGCCATCCAGCAGATGAACGGCGTCGAGCTGCACGGCCGCCGCATCCGCGTGGACTACTCGAGCACGTCGCGCGCGCACGACCCGACGCCCGGAGAGTACCGCGGCAACCCGCGTCCGGCCGACGACCGCTATGCGCCGCCGCGCCACCCGGGCAGCTCGTACCGCGGCGCCGCCTACCGGGGCGACCGGGATCGTGATGAGGGCCGTGACTATGGCCGCGACTATGGCCGCGATCGTGACCGCGACCGCGACTACCGAGACCGCGACTATGGCCGCGACTCCTACGGCCGCCGCGACCGCGGGCGGTACGACGACACTGACCGAGCAGGCAGCTGGGCGCGCCGTGACGACCGCGGCCCGCGGTACCGTCGCGGCCATGGCCCCGACTCGGACGACTGGCGCCGCCGTGCAAGTCCACCGCGTGCACGCTCGCGCAGTCCGCCGCCGCGTGCGCGCTACGATGGAGAGGACGAGCGGCGAGGTGCACCGCCATCCCGCGCTGAGGACGATGAGGCGATGCGCTACGAGCGTGATCGGTATGCAGACGAGCGCCCGGCGCGCTACGACTGAGCCACCATAGCAAGGACTAGCTGTCTATGATTAGAGGCGCGAGATGATGCGCTCGGTAAAGGCACGCGTGCCGAGCTTGCCGCCGAGGTCGCCAGTGCGCTCGCCAGCGGCGATCGTGTCAAAGATGGCGCGCTCGATCCGGTCGGCGTGCTCGAACAGGTGCATGTGGCGGAGCATCATGATCGACGAGAGAAGCAGCGCGGTCGGGTTCGCCTTGTCCTTGCCGGCAATATCGGGGGCCGAGCCGTGGACGGCCTCGAAGATCGACGCATCGCGGCCAATGTTGCCCGAGGGCGTCAGACCGAGACCGCCAATGAGACCCGCGCACATGTCCGAGAGAATGTCACCGTACAGGTTGGGCATGACCATGACGCGGTCCGAGTACGGCGTCGGGTCGCGGACAATGTGCAGGCATGCACGGTCGAGCAAGTCCTCGTCGTACTCAATGTCAGGGTACTCCTTCGCGACGTTGCGGCACGCAGTGAGGAACATGCCGTCCGACATCTTCATGATGGGCGCCTTGTGCACGGCCGTGACGCGCGAGCGGCCGTTCTGCTGGGCGTGGTAAAAGGCGTAGCGCGCCACACGCTCCGACGCCTCGTAGGTGATGAGCTTGATGCTCTGCACGACACCGTCGACGACCTCGTGCTCGATACCCGAGTACTCGCCCTCGGTGTTCTCACGGATCAGCACCGTGTTCACATTGTCGTAGGGCGTCTTGAAGCCCTGGATCGAGACACAGGGACGCACATTCGCAAACAGGTTAAAGGTGCGGCGCAGAGTCAGGTTGAGCGACACGTGGCCCTTGCCGATGGGCGTCGCAAGCGGGCCCTTGAGCGCCACCGTGTTCCGGCGCACCGACGCAATCGTCTCGTCGGGGATCACCTGCTTGCCGTAACTGTTGATCGAGGGAGTCACGTCCGCCTCCTCCCAGCGGATGGGCACCTTCGCGGCCTCGTAGATAGACTTGACGGCGCCCGACACCTCCGGACCGATACCTGCGTCAGTAGCAGCGTGACGTACCGTCACCCGAGAAAAGCGTGACTGTGTACAGGCCGTCCGCATCCTTCTCTTTGTTGTACGCGGACGTCGGGGCATTCGACTCGGTGGCCAGGCCACGGCGCAGCAGAGCGGCGCTGAGAGGGCGCGTGGTAACAGAAGCAGGGCGAAGGGCTCGCGGGACAGCAGCGGCAAACATCATGGTCGTGGTGAAAGACGTCGGGCCGCTCGGCCACCCAGGCACGTCGCCAGCCTCGGCGCTGCTGCGAAGCTGCACGGGACATAAAATTCGGCCGACGAAAAAAAAGCAAGCGCGCGGCCGACGCGCGGCCGCGGTCGGTCGTCGGACGGGCGGCCGCGGGCTGCTCCTGAACCGCATCGATTACTGACAGGATGAGTGTTTTGCGTATGCTCCCTCGCGCGACTGGCTCGGGCGCCCCGAAGCAGGTGCGTGTGTATCTCTGACCACAGGCGCTCCGCTCGGTGTCGACGCTGACGGCCCAGACGCCCCGCCCAACCAAGGTACGAGCATCGGACGAAGCCCGAGCTAACGCACAGGGACTGACCAAGTACGGTGGCGTGTACACCGCCACGCTGATCCCCGGTGACGGTATCGGCAAGGAGATCACCGGCTCGGTGAAGGAGATCTTCGACAAGACCAACGTGCCGATCGAGTGGGAGGAGTTCGACCTCTCGGGTGAGATGCAGGGCCACGATTCGCTGTTCCAGCAGGCCATGGACAGCCTGCGCCGCAACAAGGTCGGTCTCAAGGGCACGCTGTTCACCCCCACGGGCGCCGGCTCGCACAACAGCTGGAACGTGGCGATGCGCCAGCAGCTCGACATTTACGCCTCGATCGTGTTCTGCAAGACGCTCGACGGTTTCCCGACGCGCCACAAGGACGTCGACTTCGCCATCATCCGTGAGAACACGGAGGGTGAGTACTCGGGTCTCGAGCACAGCCCCTCGCCCGGGATTGTCGAGTCCCTCAAGGTGTCGACGCGCTTCAAGGCGGAGCGTATTGCGCGCTTCGCGTTCGACTTTGCGCTGAAGAACAACCGCAAGCAGGTGACTTGCGTGCACAAGGCCAACATCATGAAGCTCGGTGACGGTCTCTTCCTCAACACCTTCCGCCGTGTCGCCGAGGAGTACAAGAGCGCGGGCATCGCGGCCAACGACATGATCGTGGACAACACATCGATGCAGCTCGTCGGCCGCCCCCAGCAGTTCGATGTCATGGTCATGCCCAACCTGTACGGCAACATCGTCTCTAACATCGGCGCCTCGCTCGTCGGCGGCCCCGGTATCGTGCCTGGTGCCAACATCGGCCGCGAGTACGCTCTGTACGAGCCCGGCTGCCGTCACGCTGCTAAGGACATTATGGGCACCAACAAGGCCAACCCCGCGGCGATGATCCTCAGCGCGACGATGATGCTCCGCCACTTCGGCCTCGACTACCAGGCCAACCAGATTGCGGCTAGCGTGTACCGCGTCCTGGCCGACGGCAAGGTGCGCACCGCTGACATGGGCGGCAGCTCGACCACCCAGCAGTTCACCGAGGCCGTGCTCCAGGGCCTCTAGATGTGACGTAGGCTAGAACCAGAACGACACAGATAGGCTCTGTTGTCAGCCATGCGCACATACCTGCGTCGTGCTTTGCATCGCATGCCACCACCCGGGCGGCACAAAGAGCAGGTCCCCGGGATGCAGGTACACCCACTCGGCGCACGGCGCCACCTGTGCCTGGAATGCCGCGGGCGCCGCGTCCAGCGGCCCAAATACGTCGACCCGCGACGTATTGCTCATCCATCGCGTATACACGTCCTCGTCCTCGGGGCCGCCGTGCACGCATAGGCCGCCCGTGCTATCGCTGGGAGGCGGCGCGAGCCACACGAGCTTGTGGCCCACCACCTGCACGTAGCAGTTGTAGTACGGATCCGTATGCGCAGGCGACGTGGTCGCAGCAGGGCCCATCCACACCTGCACGACCGGCGCCGCACGCCCGTGCGCCGCGGGGCTCTTGGTGCCGTGCACAGCGTACGCAGGCGTCGTAAAGTCGTCGGCCAGCCAGGGGAACTGCGTGAGGAGGGTGTGCTGCGCGAGGTACAGTGTCGGAGCGCGCGGCGCTGACGCGCGCCCCCACTGTATGTGTGCGAGAAATGCGGCCCACGGCCATAGGCCCTGGCCCCACTGCGGATCAGTGTATGTGCGCCCAGATTCCACCGGCACATGGCGGCCGGGGCCAGCGCGGTGCAGCAGGTACGCAGGATCCTGCCACCGCTCGAGCGCCGGCCACGACTGGGCGAACTGGCGTGCGACAAACGGCCGGCCATAGGCGCACACATTGCTCACGCAATGGCGCTGGAACGTCCCGAGGTCAGGAGGCTCGGCATATTCGTGCACGGGGGCGGACGCCGTGGGCAACGAGCGGCGCGGCGCCTCGATCGCATGGCGCAGGCGCTTGCGGGGGGCACGTTGGTCAGATGCATCACATGCGTCGCAGTGCGCCTGTACAGCGGCGATCAACGCGTGGGCGAGTGCCACACGCGCCCCGTCGGGCGGCGCCACGATGAGGACACGATCAAGGTCGTGAACGCACTTAAGCCAGAAAGAGGCGGGCCGGCTGGCGGGGTCGTGTGCAAGGGCAAAGGCACAGGCAAGGAAAAGAGCGTCAGCACGCTCCGCCCGCAAGGACGCAGGCACATGTTCATAGGGATACACGAGGCAGGCTGCTTCCGAGTGCCGGAGTACTTGCACACACGCCTCGCGAACGGCCTCCGTCCCCCCTTCTAAGGACCGTGCACACCGACGGAGCGCGCGACGCGCCGGCGAGCGAGGCGCGCCACGCTCCAGGACCTGACCGACGACCGACCGCACAAGCGCCATGCACACAAAAGGGCGAATTTCTCCACCCGGCTCGACCAGACACAGGAAACAGGGAATAGGTAGAAGTACAGCGGATCTGTCTACATACTTAGAACAGCACTCCGAGCGAGCCGAAAGGCGCGATATGAGCAGCTTAGATCTCCTGCGAGCCCACAGCCTTCTTCGACTTGCCGCTCTTGGCAGGGAGAAGCTCGCTCTGGATGAAGGGAAGGACACCACCCTGGCTGATGGTGACACCGCCCAGGAGCTTGTTCAGCTCCTCATCGTTGCGGATGGCGAGCTGAAGGTGACGGGGAATGATACGCGACTTCTTGTTGTCGCGGGCGGCGTTGCCGGCCAGCTCGAGAATCTCAGCGGCCAGGTACTCCAGCACGGCCGCCAGGTAGACAGGCGCACCAGCACCGACACGCTGGGCGTAGTTGCCCTTGCGGAGGAGACGGTGAATACGACCGACAGGGAACTGCAGACCGGCCTTGGCCGAACGCGACTGGGTCTTCGCGGCCGACGCGTCACCGGCCTTACCACCAGACTTGCCACCAGTCATTGTTACTTGGAGGGAGGGATATAGAAAAGACCAGTGTCTTAGGGAAGGACTGGCACCGCCGGCCTGAGGCGTCCTTTTATTGCCAAGCGGCCGCCATTCGCCGCACGGCCGTCCGCCCCTGCGCTGATCTCACGCCCGCGTCTGCGTTCGCGTCCACGCGCGTCGGCTCGCCGCATCACGCGGGCATATTTGTGTCCACTCGGATAGGTCCACATGCACGCCACTGATTGGCTCATCCACGCCTATGTACCCACAACGCCGAATTTCTGTCCACGCACGTGGATTTTCTGAAGTGGACAATAATTGATTTTGCGCGCTCGCGCCGCTCCGGCGCGGCACGGCGCTGATCCCACGCCCAACTGCGCGCCTCGCGTGGCTGGCGCGTTCCGCGCGCAGCGACGGCAGAAACGTATATAGGCCATTCGGCGCCCGCCGCCCTGTCCGTCACCCACTCGATCCTCAACCATGCCTCCTAAGCCTGCTGAGAAGAAGCCCCCGTCGACGGCCGGCAAGGCCCCTGCCTCGGCTGGCAAGGCCCCCTCGGAGGGTGCCAAGAAGACCTCGAAGGCCCCCTCGAAGTCGTCGGAGAAGAAGAAGTCGGGCAGCAAGGTCCGCAAGGAGACCTACTCGACCTACATCTACCGTGTCCTCAAGCAGGTGCACCCCGACACTGGTATCTCGAACAAGGCCATGGCCATTCTCAACTCGTTCGTGCAGGACATCTTCGAGCGCATCGCCACCGAGGCCTCGAAGCTGGCCAGCTACAACAAGAAGAGCACCATCTCTTCGCGTGAGATCCAGACGGCTGTTCGTTTGATTCTCCCTGGCGAGCTGTCGAAGCACGCCATCGCCGAGGCTACCCGCTCGGTGACCAAGTTCTCGTCGACGTAGAGGCCTGCATCGGGCCCGTCGGCCACTCGTATACTAGGTCGTAATGTCCACATGTACTTTACTAGCTGGAAATGCCCCAGTCCGCCTGTCAGCGGAGTGTGCCATGTATCTATCCCTGCAGTAGCCCCTGGAGGGCCTTTTGCATCTGCTCGAGCGACTCGGTGCCGGCCTCGCTTTCCTGGGACGCGTTGCCTTCCAAAGGCGCATGCGCTGGCGCCGCCTCGGCTTCGCCCAGCTTGCCTGCCGTAAGCTAGGCGCCACGCACCATCTGTCAGCTCATACAAGACGCGATTCACCTCGTCTTGCGCTGCCTCGTCGATCTCAGCGGCGTCCTCACCGAGTGCACTCGCGTCGAGGGCGTCATGCATCATCTCCTCAAGAATGCCCGCCTGGGTCAGCTCCCCGGCGTACCTTCATCAGCTCGGCACCCATGTCGCGCATCGCACTGGTCATTTGGGGTATCTGGATAAGGTTCTGAGACAGTTTCATAATTTCCGTGGACTTTTGCAGGTGCCCTGTCACCTTGTACATGGCTGCATTAGTTTCCGCTGCGTACATAGTTGCTGCTGGAGCTGAAGGGCGATGCTGTTCAGCTGAGCCTTGCTTGTAATAAGTCGCAGCTTGTGTTTGTTCGATCGGACGACCTCGCTCGCTAGTATACGGGCGTTGGCCGTATCGCCCTTGCGCGCAAGTCGTTTGATATCGACCTTGACTTTCGCTACAGCCTGATCAATTTGACGAACTTCGCGATCGAGCGCTCGCTGTTCCTGTCGCAGGCGCTGTTGTACATGCCTCACGCGCTCTTCCTTTGACGGACCGTAAATCAGCCGTGTGAGCGACTGCATTCCCTCCCTCGGTGTCGACGTCGTCCACAACAGACTCGAGGGGCGGCCTGGATTGCTGAGTCAGCCTGGACGCGAGGCCCTTGCGCTCCACCAGCGCACGGTCCTCTAGAGGATCACGTACAGATGGTCTTTAGGCGAGTGCATATGCACGTCGATAGGGACAAAGCTACGCGGGAATATATGGGAAGGAAAGGATTGTAGGATGCAGTCGCTCTTTGCTCATGACAACGAGCCCCTGCGGTATATACTCGCCCTCCGTTCCAGCGGACGACGACCTGTCGCAGCCAGGGTCGCCCTGGACGTTGGAAGGGGCTATAGAGGAACTCAATCCGCCTCCGCCCACCTGGGCCACCGTGAGCGCGGCAGTCGGCCTGCTGCCACCTGCCACTATCGCTGACAACTACAATCCGATGGCGTCCACTCCAAGCGTCGCTAGCCTGCCAGGGAGCGGTCTGAAGCGGTCCCGCGCCATCAAGGTACCGCTCCGGCTGGATACAGGCCGGCTGAGTCGAGGTCGTGGTCCTTTTTCGGCCTTGGAGGACACTTCGCGGCACAAGGGTCCGCTCTCTGCCGGCGATGGCTTGTCCCACGGGCCACCCTCGCCGCGCCCCTTCACGCACGATGGGCGCATGCCCTTCTCGACGCTGGAGCAGGGCCCAGAGTCTGCGTTATTTGGTGCCGGACCAGAAACAGAAGACAATGTTCTCTGGCTCAGGGATAGGGTAGAGCGCCCGCCATCCGTCACGGTCGAGCACGGACACGACGTGGTATTTGGGTATACGGCCGCTTCAGATGCGAGAGAAAACAGTCATTCGGACTTGCTCGTGGCATTGGGTGTCACTGATCCTTCCTCAGACAGTATTTCCAGGGTGGACCGGCACCTCGCCAGGGTGCCATTGCCGCTCACCCCGCGTTCGCCAACTGGTGCCGTGTACTCGCCCAGCAGCTTTCTCCGCATGGCCGATCATGTCCAGCATGCCGCACGTTTGCCATCGCCTTCTCCTCTCTCGGTCCTTTGCAGAGGGTACATGGATATGCATACCCAGGCGGCACATAAAATGAGCACCTCGCGGCAAAACATAGTCCAGATTGAGGAGCTGATGCAGGAGTTGTATGCAGAGTGGAGCGTGCTGCAGTCATAAATGACCAATTTGCCCATTTGACGAGCCGCCACGCGCCACGGTTACGGGTGGTGTATGACACCCCTCAATAGCCTGGCAAGCGATGAGCAGGTGCTGCACACACCCTCATCCCACGACGGCATCGACGCAGCACTTGAAGAAGAGCTATGCACATATGCATGCCAGCAGATCCAACAAGCAGGCATCTTACTGTCACTGCCTCAGGCCGCTATGGCCACCGCACAGGTCCTCTTCCGCCGGTTCTGGTTTGTATCATCCATGAAGCAGTTCAACGTACACGACATTGGCATGGGGTCACTCATGCTTGCGTCTAAGCTGAGCGAAGTGCCCGTGCGTCTCCGGGATTTATTGCTTGTCTACGACTATCTTCTGCAGCGTGCGTACCACTGCTCTCGCACCTGCCCAGGTCCTCGCTCACGCGCGCTCCATGGACCCAGCGATGCGCAGAGACCCCTAGAAAGCCAGCCATTCACATACAAGGCATCCGACTATTATTCCCAGATGTTCTACGATGCCAAGGACGCCATGGTCGTCGCCGAGATGCAAATTCTCAAGCGCCTGGGATTTCACGTACAGGTGCACCTGCCATACGCGCTGATGATTAACTATCTACAGGTCATGGGCGTAGCATCCGCCTCCTTGCCTCTACTGTGTGACCCCCAGCGAAGCATCTCGGCTGCGCAAGTCGCATGGAACTACCTCTCGGATGCGCTTCAAACGCCCGTATACTGCCTCTTCCCAACGCACACCATTGCCTGCGCGTCTATCTACCTCCTCACACTGGAACCCAACGCTTTCCACAAGCCCCTCTCCCTGCCACTAGAGCCCAGACCATGGTGGGAGCTCTTCGACGTGACACGAAGCGAGCTTCGTGCGATTGCTAGCCACATTCTTCGCCTGTATGACACACAGAGCGCACCTCACGCTACTGAAGGACTCGGTCTTGCCTTGCGCGTCCGGGATCAACACGGCGGTCTCGTGGAATTTGCCAATCGCGCAGGTATCCGAGCATGGCTCCAAAAGTCACAGCCTACGGCCGAGACCTAAGCATGGCGGCCACTTGACGCTCCTCCTCGAGGCGCTGAAGCGTGCTCTGCAGGAAAGGCACGTGGCAGATCAAGCACGATGACCGTGGTTCACAGAATACTGCACTGTAAGATAGACCCATGCCTCAAACGTACTGCTCAAGCATACAGAACACACATACCCAATGTCCACATTCCGACGGTGACAAAAGCAGGCTGCTCGAAAGTCCACCTCATCCAGGGCTGGGAACATGAGCAGTGGCCGTATAGATCGCGACGGCAAAAACGACGTCATCAACGTCTGAAGGAGTCCATCCAGGCTCGGGATACGATAATAGTGCCCGCCTGTCAAGTGGCATGCCTGGTGTAGGAACACCGTCTCCCCTCCCAACAGCTTGCACACGTCCACATGGATCCCCTGCTTCTGTGCACTAAAAATGCAATTCATCATCGGGACATACTGGGCACTTACATCGGGCGTGGCGCTGAGGACCAGAATTCGGTGCCGAAAAGAAGATGCACCTCCTAAAGCCCCCATTCTCCCCACCTGTGCGGTCGATAAGGGGACGTCCAGCGATGAAGCCATCCGGTTAATGTGACACAAAGCCAGGGAAAATGCGCGCACTATACCCACAGGTTCGTTACACTCGCCCTTGGACCCATAGAACAATTCCCGTATACCGTGGAACACGGCATCGTCCATCTGTTTAAAGGGAAGGCACTCACTTACTCGGGTATCTTGTGTGCGCCAGGAGCGCGCCAGGAGGGGCGCATGTGCGCTTGAGGTATAAAGGAGACACGCCTGGCCAGCCGCAGCCCCATAGACAGCCAAACCATTGCCACTCTGCATGGCAATATGTGCATTTAAGAACACAAGGACAGACGAAATGACATTTTTCAAGGTCTCATAGGCCGCAGCTGCCCGCTCTTCGGGGCTTGCTCGTTGGCTGGCCACTTGCATCCATGTCATCTTATCCAGGTCCAAGATCACCACAAGGAAGTCTGACGTTACCTTTTCTGCTACCTGCGCATCCTCTTGACTCTCGGTGACCGTCACAGCACTTCTGGATGGTGCGTCGACGTTTGGCATTATTAGGCCAGATGTCGTTGTAAGCCAGATGTCGTTGTGCAGGGATGGCCTCGGACAATCTCCACATCCCAGTCCAAGGTGACGCTGCACTATCAAGCATACATTCCACAACAGGAGACTGTCCCCTGGTGCTCTACATAGACAAGCGTGTGTATCCCTATCTATCCTGTGGAATCGATACCGCCAACTGGAACCATGGAGCAGACACGCATGTCCGTTTTTTGTGCCATTGGCTGCGTCCTCGACAGGATGGAGGCGAGCGGTCCATCCAATGTGGAGCGAGCTAACGTCATACAGTGCAGATATCCTGCACTATCATTGGTGAACCTACGTCGCATCCATTTATGCAGCGAAGCCTCCGCAGTGAAACGGAGTAATTTGAGCCTTACAGCATATATTCACCCCTATTAGGACACACTCTTACGCGTCCTTCTATCGCAAGTGGAGTGCGATTCCGCTAGCCCAAATTAGCTGGCAAACTACTGTGCGATCGCTGACTGGGCAAGGGTAACACTAGCGCCATTGTCGAAGTGAGATCAGGGGCCTCTAGGGACCCTCTTTTCTATTCTATCTATTACCAATATTGCACGCAGCGCAACATTACCGTACAGAGCTCCTGTATTAGCTCACACTTTTTCCTCTATGTCGGGTGATCCGACGGCCACAGCCGCAGGGCCATGGACGGAGCAGACACCGGCGCGCCCTCCCCTGCTTCACTTCCGAAGTGCTGATGTATTGCCATCTTCCAGCAACACGCGGAGCTCCACCAGCGATACATCTACCACCGAGCCCCTTGCGGCTGTGCGCCACCCTTTGCGTGCCAGTCCTAGTACCGTATTCTTGCGACAACCCAAGTGCACCCAACGAGCCGCGCAGGGTACTCGCATCCACCGTACTGACCCGGATCTATCAAGAAAGGCTTCGAAAGCTACCCTATCGGGCTCCTTGGAACGTCTGTCCATGTCGCCTGGCCCCGTACTCCATACAAGACAGCATCCGTATGTGCGGCCACCTTCTCGGGCCAATAGCCGGGAAGCAGCGGCACTCTCTGTCATGCCAGAGCGACCACATCGTTTGGTACTTTTGGATGACTGGGCATCCTGCTCGTCGGACGGCCTACCAAGCCTTCCGACATCGCCGGGCTGGGCCCGTGCTGAGCAACAAGCGAAGTCGCCTGTGCACCATACATACCTCTCAGTCTTGTCGGAATCTCAAGGCTCCCCCGTGCGACGTGAACAGGTGCCTTCTCGGTCCCGCTCTTTTGATCAACCTCCATGGGAGACCTCAGGTCATGTATTGCCTCGGGCACGATCAAAAACAAGTGAGAATTTGATGCAAAGAAGCTCACTACGCTCTAACAGCGACATTTCGACTATACGAATGATCCAACAACTGAATCTTGGGAATTCGCTCGAGCAATCTCTGGATTCGTCTTCGTTTTTCAATGGTGCACTACCTGTCACCGAGAGTCCCGAAGCCAGTCCCACAAAAACGCAGGACAAGACGTTCTCGATCATGATGAATGCGCACACTCCTTGTCATGTGCCGCACGCGTCAGAATACCGAGAGGACTTGTGTTCGTCACTTGACATGGACCTCTCCGAAGAAGACTTTATGGGATCCGATGCGAGCCGCAATGGCACGGCTTATTGCTCTAGCTCTTACCTTTCGGAACGTGAACCCCCACCTATTGATTTGCTCTCTGTCGGGGATCGCGTCGGTCCGGGGATATATCACGAGGGTGAGTTGATACGCATAGCACAAACCAGGGAAGGTTTGGATGTACACGATCCCTCTCAAAATTCCGGACCGCTCCAAGTGGTGAGGCTATTGGGGCAGGGAAGTTATGCCGTCGTGTATCTCGTTCGCGAGCTCTCGTCAACAGACTCGTCACCGCCGTCACCTGTGGATGCCGACTTTAGTGAGGCTTCTACGTTCGATGGGCAAAGCCAATACCATCCCTTTTTGTCTGGAAAGACGCCAAGACAGGGAAATCGTGGATGGGCTGGTGAAGAACGTCTGTCTAATGCGGGAGAGTTTACTTACTTTGCCCTTAAGTGCTTATCCCGACGCAATTTGGCGCCAGATCAAGCACAAGCTCAGCAAAATGAACTGACCGTTCATCGATCCATTCCTCCTCATCCGAACATCATCACACTGTACAGTGCCTATGAAACATCGGACTGGCTGTTCCTGGTGCTCGAATATTGTCCAGGCAAGGACCTATATTTCTGGCTTGAAGAAGCCGAAGATAAACGGGGCATGCCCTCCTCTGTCTCGTCACAATCGCATGCCTCCACCGATCTTGCAGCACAGGAACGCGCTCCCATGGAACAGAATACCTCAACAACACCCTGGCTCCTGACCAGGACGTCTCCTGAGGACCTCTTGTCTGAGCGCCGACTTCAGCTTGTCAGTGACATTTTTCAACAGATATGCAAAGCTGTCCAATTTTGCCACGATCTCGGCATCAGTCATCGCGACCTAAAACCCGAAAACTTTATTGTGGAAGATCGGCGCGGGAGTTCGGACAACCAGGACGACAGTGTCATTGTGAAACTGACTGATTTTGGTCTCGCTACGTCGGCAAAGCTCTCTTGTGATTTCAACTGCGGATCCAAGCCATACATGGCCTTTGAATGTCGCCATGATCTAGCGTGTTGCTACGACCCGAAGCAATCGGATGTCTGGTCTCTCGGAGTCATCTTGCTGAACCTGATCTTCCATCGAAGTCCTTTTATGGACGCCTCTGCCAAGCATTGTGCATCCTTTGCGGCTTTTACCTACAAGCCCATACTATTTTTAATGCAAGCTTTCGATGGTATGACGAAAGAAATGGCACTTTTCTTAAACGAGAACGTTTTTTGTGATGTTTCTCGCCGGCAGAGAAGACGCATTACTCCGCTTGCTTTTGGTCGCTGGGTACAAGGTCTGCCGCAAATTCTTGGGAGACTGGCCCGCAACACTGCGCGCAGTCCCCTCTCTTCTGTGTTTGCGCCTCCAAATACCTTTCAAGCAAAAGACGAGGTTCAAGAGTATGCAGACAAATCATCGCCCGGCTCACAGAACTCGTGTACTCACTCCTTATCTTCGTCCCGTGAACTGGCGGCCCCCATGTTGCCGGATCATGCATCCACATCCGATCCTGTCGACAACGCCTCCTCTTTTCTTGACCCTGGTGTAGACTTGATGCCCTCGGAGATGATGTCTGGGTCCTTGTCCATGTCTAGGAGCTCTGCTCCATTGTTTCACGCGCTTCCTGGATGACCTTTAGATTCTCGCCCTATTCTGTGTACATAATCCAATTGGCCAGGGTGGAATTTGTAATTAGAAAGGCCGCGATCGCCTGATTTGGGTTTATCATGTTTAAAGGGCCGATTAGGTCCACTAGGGGGGCAATCGTGTCTCAAATCCTAGCAAGCTTGCCTCTATCCTTACCCCAATTATGGCGTCGGTGTTGAAAGGGCAGGACTGGGACATGGCCCGGAATGTGAATGCGACTCTACAATCCCATGTAGAACAATTTTCCCGTGGTGTGTTTTCAGAGATCACCTCGACACAAATCATCTTTGGTGTTTTGACTGTTCTTGTTAGTTGTCTAATTCTGGAACAGGTTGTGTACCGCGCGAAGAAGGGCGGCCTCCCTGGTTCGAAATGGACTATCCCCATCATTGGCAAGTTTGCTGACTCGCTCCACCCCTCGCTTGAAAAGTACCAAGAGGGCTGGAACAGTGGGCCTCTCAGTGTGGCCAGTGTGTTTAATATCTTCATTGTAGTGGCTTCCTCCACGGAGTTCACTCGCAAGATCCTGAACAGTCCTACCTATGCCGAACCATGTCTTGTGGCTTCTGCGAAGAAGGTACTGTGCCACGATAACTGGGTCTTTTTGAATGGAAAGGTCCATGTCGACTACCGCAAGGGTCTTAACACGCTTTTCACGAGTCGCGCTCTGAGCATTTACCTTCCCATTCAGGAAGCCATCTACAAGAAGCACTTCGCTCAGTGGCTTCAAGACCCGGTCAAGGAACCTCAGCCTTTCATGCTGCAACTCCGTCACCTCAACATGGAGACCTCTTTGCGCGTCTTCTGTGGTAACTACATTCCCGAGGAAGGTGCCCGACAAATCTCCGACCAGTACTGGCTCATCACGATGGCGCTCGAACTCGTCAACTTCCCCTTTGCATTCCCTGGTACGAAGGTGTACCGCGCTATCCAAGCGCGCAAGAACGCGATGAAGTGGTTCGAGCACACGGCGGCTGAGAGCAAGAAGCGCATGGCCGCTGGTGAGGAAGTAACCTGTCTGACGGATGCCTGGGTCAAGGCCATGGTCGATGCGCGTGAGGACCGCAAGAACGAAGATCTAGACGCAGCCCAACGTCGTGTGCTTCTGCGCGACTTCTCTGACCGTGAAATTGGCATGGTACTGCTGAGCTTCCTCTTTGCTTCTCAGGATGCCCTCTCCAGTGCACTTACCTACCTCTTGCAGCACCTTGCCGACCATCCGGATGTTTTGCGCAAGCTTCGTGAGGAACAGTACACGCTCCGCAACAACGATATTGATGCCCCTACGACGATTGACATGGTGGAAAAAATGCACTACACTCGCGCAGTCGTCAAGGAGAGCCTGCGTTTGAAGCCGCCGGTGATTATGGTCCCTTACATGACGCGCCAGGCGTTCCCTATCAGCGAGAACTACACCGTGCCTAAGGGGGCTATGATTATTCCCAGTTTCTGGAATAGCTTGCACGACCCGAGCGCCTATCCTTCTCCTGACGATTTCCGCCCGGAGCGCTGGCTCGAGGGGGCCGATTCGCCTGCGGCAAAGAACCCTAAGAACTACCTCGTGTTTGGCAGCGGCCCCCACAACTGCATCGGCAAGGATTACGCTGTCCAGCACCTCGTCGCTCTCATTGGAACGGCGTCTATGCTGCTTAACTGGGAGCATGAAACTACGGATCTCAGCGAGAAGGTCATGGTTATTGCTACCATCTACCCTAAGGACGGCGCGCGCCTGAAGTTCACAGCTCGCCCTGCTCCCGACGTGCACGTTCCGCCTTCTGTCGCAGCAGCTGCGTGACCCCTGTGAGTGAAAGTAGCTAGCTTTTTGTAGTACTCTCTTTTTATGAAATGGTCAGCGCCTGCACGATCAACACTATGCATCAGAGCGGTCCCAACCTCTGATCACGTTGCGTCCTCGTGGACGAGTACAAGTCTAGTGCGAGGGGCCGTCGATATGTACGTTTTATTCATCAGCGCATACACAAAATTCCAAGTCCGCAGACTATTTGCTCCACGCTAGCCGTGGTAGGGCGGGCTGTGCTATGGGCATGTGGGGAATGCGAATTATTTCACATCCAACTGCAGGGGCCTGGCGCGGCGAAGTGGATGTTCGTCTGTTAGCGCGGCGCGTGCAGGTGAGTAGTCGCGCACCCTAACCTGCGTGTGCGCCAGGACACTCAGTTTCTCACTCCCATACTGGTGAAGCTGTGCCGGTGAGGTCCAGTCCAGTATACTAATTCTTGGTCTAGGTTATACCTTTGACAAAGAAAGTATTTTGGAGGGTCTCATACACTTTGCTTGAGACGACTGGGCAATTGTGACCTTCAAGCGGTCAGTAGCTCAGTGAACGATGGCTTCTGCTATGGAAGGTGCTGTGACACCCTATTCTACCAATCCTTTTTACGCTGGCTCTGAGAACCAGCCATACCAAAATTCTGTACAGGCAGATACCCTGTCTGATAACAATGCACAGATGACTGAAGTTATGAGCATGGACCCCCAGGCCTTCAACTCGCCGCCCAACGGTCAACCTGGATATGCAATGCCAGTGAACAGCGCATACCAAGAAGCAGCTGCGATGGGTGTCCGTCCTCGTGAGCCCTACCCAGCTTGGACGGTTGATCATCAAATTCCTCTCTCCAAAGAGGAGATCGAGGACATTTTCATCGACCTGGCCAACAAGTTTGGTTTCCAGCGGGATAACATGCGCAATATGTATGATCACTTGATGATACTGCTCGACTCTCGCTCGAGTCGCATGAGTCCCCAGCAAGCGCTGTTGACGCTTCATGCTGACTACATCGGTGGTGAGCATGCCAACTACCGCAAGTGGTACTTCGCGGCTCAACTCGATTTGGACGACGCTATTGGCAAAGCACAGAACCCGGGGCTTGCGCGTGCGGCTAGCATTGCCCAGCGCTCGGGCCGAACGAAGCGCTCTTCCATGTTGGGCTCCAAGTCCCTTGAAAATGCTCGTGCGCGCTGGCGTGACGCGATGTACCGCATGAGTGACTATGACCGTGTGCGTCAAATTGCTCTCTATCTCATGTGCTGGGGCGAAGGCAGCCAGGTTCGCTTTGTTCCTGAGTGCTTGTGTTTCATCTTCAAATGCGCTGATGACTACTATCGTTCGCCTGAATGCCAGAACCGTCTGGATCCGGTGCCGGAAGGTCTCTATCTGCACTCTGTGGTCAAACCTCTCTACCAGTTCTTGCGTGACCAGCTTTTCGAGATTGTGGACGGAAAGTTTGTAAAGAAGGAGCGCGATCACGACCGCACCATTGGTTACGATGATGTGAACCAACTTTTCTGGTACCCTGAGGGCATTAACCGCATTAAATTGAACAATGGCATGCGCCTCGTAGATGTTCCCCCGTCACAGCGCTTTATGAAGTTTGACAAGATTGACTGGGGCAAGGCGTTCTTCAAAACTTATCGCGAGTCGCGTTCGTTCCTTCATTTGCTGGTTAACTTCAATCGTATTTGGATTTTCCACGTGTCATTATACTGGTACTTTATGGCATACAATGCGCCCAAAGCGTATGAGCCGAACCGTCTGCCAAGTGATGCCGAGATGCTCAGTGCTTCCGCATTGGGAGGTGCAGTTGCAACGTTTTTCATGATCTGCGCTACACTGGTGGAAGTGATCTATATTCCGACTACTTGGAACAACACCAACCACTTGATTGGTCGTTTGATTTTCTTGGGCATTTGCATGGCCCTCATGATCGCCCCTGCCGTGTACATTTTCGGTTTCAACAAGGATGGGAACGTGGGCTACATTATCTCGATTGTTCAGATGGTTGTGTCGGCTCTGCTTACGACTTTGTTCTCAATCATGCCTCTCAGTCGTCTATTCGGTGACCGAGTCGCTCTGAACAAGCGCAAGTACCTTGCTAACCAGACTTTCACTGCTTCCTTTGCACCCATGCCGAATTCGCACCGATTCTTTTCGTTCTTGCTCTGGATTCTGGTGTTTGGATGCAAGCTCACAGAGAGTTACTTCTTCTTGACTCTTTCGTTCAAAGATCCTTTCGGTGTGCTGGTGACAATGCGCGTAGAAGAGTGCCATGACAATTACTTCGGCACTGTCCTTTGCTCGTTGCAGCCGAACTTTGCGCTCGCCGCAATGATGGTTATGGACTTGTGCCTTTTCTTCCTCGACACTTTCCTTTGGTACGTCGTGTGGAGCACCGTGTTCAGTCTTGGCTGGGCGTTTTACCTGGGTCTTTCTGTCTGGACGCCGTGGTCTGACATTTTCCAGCGCCTTCCTAAGCGGATTTACTCGAAACTGCTTGCTACGGCGGATATGGAAATCAAGTACAAGCCTAAGGTGCTTGTCTCTCAGGTCTGGAATGCTATTATTATCTCCATGTACCGAGAGCACTTGTTGTCGATTGACCATGTTCAGCGTTTGCTGTACCACCAGGCCCCGGCTGAAGACTCGCCCTACAAGCGTACTCTGCGTGCTCCGCCTTTCTTCTTGAACCAGATGGACTCAGGTCCGAAGCCTGAGTTCTACCCTAAGGGTTCGGAAGCCGAGCGTCGCATCAGCTTTTTTGCGCAGTCGCTCACGACCCAGTTCCCGGAGCCGCTTCCAGTGGATGCTATGCCGACGTTCTCTGTTCTGACACCCCACTATGGTGAGAAGATCCTTCTGTCTTTGCGTGAAATTATTCGTGAAGAAGACCAGAACACCCGTGTCACTTTGCTCGAGTATCTGAAGCAGCTACACCCTGTCGAATGGGACAACTTCGTGAAGGACACTAAAATTCTCGCTGAAGAGTCGGGTAACTTCGCGGGCGGTGCTCCGTTTGGCTTTGAAGAAGAGAAATCGTCTGGTAAAGGTGGTCGCACAGATGACTTACCCTTCTATTGTATTGGTTTCAAGTCGGCTGCGCCTGAATACACTTTACGTACACGTATCTGGTCGTCGCTGCGTGCTCAAACCCTGTATCGTACTGTTAGTGGTTTTATGAACTATAACAAGGCGATTAAACTGCTTTACCGTGTGGAAAATCCTGAGATTGTGCAGCTCTTCGGTGGCAACACAGAACGTTTGGAACGCGAGCTGGAACGTATGAGTCGTCGCAAGTTCAAGTTTGTGATCTCAATGCAGCGTTACTCGCGTTTCAACAAGGAGGAGATTGAAAACACCGAGTTCCTTCTCCGTGCCTACCCCGATCTGCTGATTGCCTACCTGGATGAAGAACCTCCTGCGAAGGAGGGAGGCGAATCGCGCTGGTTCTCTGCCCTGGTGGACGGTCACTCGGAAATGCTTCCGAATGGCCGTCGTCGCCCCAAGTTCCGTATCGAACTGCCGGGTAACCCAATTCTCGGTGATGGAAAATCTGACAACCAGAACCACGCCATTATTTTCCATCGCGGCGAGTTCTTGCAGCTGATCGATGCCAACCAGGACAACTACTTGGAAGAGTGTCTGAAGATTCGTAACGTGCTCTCCGAGTTCGAGACCATCGATATGCCGTCTGAGAACCCTTACGGCCCTGCGTACCATGTGTTTGACCAATCCCCTGTTGCCATCGTTGGTTCGAAGGAGTATATTTTCTCAGAAAACATTGGTATTCTAGGTGATGTGGCTGCCGGTAAGGAACAGACATTTGGTACCCTGGCAGCTCGTGGCATGGCGCAGATTGGTGGTAAATTCCATTATGGTCATCCTGACTTCCTCAACTCGGTGTACATGACAACGCGTGGTGGTGTTTCGAAGGCTCAAAAAGGTCTGCACTTGAACGAGGATATCTACGCGGGTATGATGGTCTTCCAGCGTGGCGGTCGTATCAAGCACTGCGAATACTACCAATGTGGTAAAGGACGTGATCTTGGCTTCGGTACCATTCTTAACTTCATTACGAAGCTAGGCAATGGTATGGGTGAGCAGATTCTTTCGCGTGAGTATTACTACCTGGGCACACAGCTTCCGGTGGATCGTTTCCTTACGTTCTACTATGGTCACCCTGGATTCCACATCAACAATATCATGGTCATTCTCGCTGTGCAGTTGTTCATGTTCTCCCTAATGTTCATTGGCTCGCTGTATTCGACGCTGGAGGCCTGCCCTGACACGAATGGCATTACGTATGTGCTGGGTCCAGGTACTTGCTACTACCTGAACCCTGTGCGATACTGGGTTCAGCGTACGGTCATCAGTATTCTGCTCGTGTTCATGATTGCGTTCTTACCTCTTTTCCTCCAGGAACTCTCTGAGCGTGGTGCCATCTCGGCGTTGGTCCGTCTGTTGAAGCAGTTTGTCTCGCTTAGTCCTTTGTTCGAGATCTTTACGACTCAGATTTACTCCAACTCGATCATCACGAACCTTACATTCGGTGGTGCTCGCTACATTGCAACAGGACGTGGCTTTGCGACGACTCGGCTGAGCTTTGCACTGCTATACTCGCGCTTCGCTGGCCCCTCCATTTACTCGGGCTTCCGATACTTGTTGATGTTGTTCTATGCCACATTAACGGTTTGGATGCCCCATCTGATCTATTTCTGGATCAGTTTGGTTGCTCTGTGTATTGCGCCGTTCCTGTTCAACCCGCATCAATTCTCGTTCTCTGACTTCATCATCGACTACCGCGAATTTTTGCGTTGGATGGGTCGTGGCAACAGCCGAAGCCATGCGAACTCTTGGATTGGCTACTGCCGTCTCAGCCGCACTCGTATTACCGGATACAAGAAGAAGCGCCTGGGCCACCCGAGCGAGAAGCTGGTTGCCGATCTGCCTCGTGCCGGTTGGAAGACCATGCTGTTCCACGAGATCCTTGGTCCCATCGCGATGGCGGTCATCTTCGCTGTCGCTTACTCGTATGTGAAGAGTTTCCCTGCACCTTATCTTTCCTTCGAGGACGGAAGGTACCAGGGTGGTATTGCTCGTCTAGCAATCATTTCGCTGGTTCCTATTGCGTGGAATGCGGCTGTGCTTATGGTTATCTTCTTTATCTCCCTCTTCTTTGGTCCTGCTTTGCATTCATGCTGCGCTAAGTTTGGAAGTGTCATGGCTGGCATTGCTCATACTCTCGCGGTGGTTGGTATGCTAGCTGTGTTCGAATTCTTGTGGTACATTGAGTACTGGAACACTGCGAACACGGTTCTTGGTCTTATCGCGATGATTGCTATCCAGCGGGCCATCTTTAAAGTGATTACGGCTGTGGCTATCTCGCGTGAGTTCAAACACGACGAGACCAACCGTGCATGGTGGACGGGTCGCTGGTATGGACGTGGTCTCGGTGGCCATGCATTCAGTCAGCCAGCGCGTGAGTACATTGTGAAGATTATGGAAATGAGCATCTTCACAGCTGACTTTATTACCACACATCTGCTCATGTTTGCTCTCTCAATTCCGTTGGTGGTTCCGTTCGTGGATCGTTTGCACTCCACAGCGCTGTTCTGGCTGCGTCCATCGAAGCAGATCCATGCCCCGATCTATTCTCTGCGCCAGCGGGCTCAGCGCCGCTCCATTGTGCTCCGATACACGGTTGTGTTCCTTTTGGCTTGGGTTATCTTCCTAGCATTGATCATTGTCCCAGTCGTAATTCAAGCCACCGCCTACGGCGATGACAAACGAGGGCTATGCACTTTCTGTGAGACACTATAATGCGATGTCACCTGTGATCCAAATGTTAGCCCCCTCCTTTTACGTTTTATAGCTGTCTCTTCATTAGCTTGGAAATTTGGCATTAACTTGGACTGCAGTCGTGCTGCTACGTGGGTTCAAAAGAGTACAACATTAGCGAAACGAGGCACCTTATATAAACTTTAAAAGCCTGGGCTTGCACCCGGTGTTGAGGCTGTAGATGAAGGAAGTGAGCTCGGAATATCCGGAATGTGCTGGAGTTGAAGCCAATCCCTGCGTTGTTCCTCGGAGGCTGGTCTCAAGTGTAGTCTTTCGCAAACTCGCACAATGTCCCCATATCGCACTTCCAGGGCTCCAAAATCATTCTGTTGATTAGGCCGTCCTTGTCGTATCCATGTCCGAACAATATCTTCTAGTACATCCACACTCATCTTTATTATGTCCGGGTTTGAAGAGGACTGGTTCAATTTATCTGTTGCAGTAATAAAACAATGCCCTTGACCAAACGGTGATTTTGGATCTAATGGCCATGCATAGAGTGTCATTAATGGCCAATATAACAGAGTAATGATAAATTTTTGACGAGGCCCGTGGCGATCAATGCTCAACAAACCCCATTCACTGGGCCGGTATCCACTCCTCTTTGATGGAACGAAACGAGAGGCATCCACTGGGACATCAAATTGCAAACTCTTCCTAGAATCTTCCGTGGAGTTGCGCCGAGAGTTTGGTCCATACTTTGCTGGCGGTAATAATATACCTCTTCCATGGGACGGAGAGTTTGTCAATGAATAATGGTGGGGTGATGGCGGCGCGGAGTGGCTAAAGTTCACTTTTTTTTTGTGGTTTCCTCTACTCTGAGATGATGAAGCGGGCGAAAGCAATGATTTGATCTCTCGTTTCAGTTTTGTATGATCCATATGCCGCCGCACCCAGATGTCGGAGTGATCGTGAAGGGAAAAGATACAGACACGAATGCAACTTAATGGGTATTGTGACATCAGACTGCAGCTCTGTGCATATTTTTAACTATAACTCAATCCCACTTACTGTTATACATCAAAACCCAGGCAGTCCCAGTGTTAAGGGCCGTTAGTTCAGTTGGTAGAATGCGTCTCTCCTACTTTAGGGATTCAAAGATGAGGTCCTGGGTTCGAGCCCCAGGCGGCCCTACGTTTTATTTTCCAAGCTGGTTTTAACGAGCCAATTTCTTGCAGACTTGCAAACGTGTACGAAACGATCTTTGAAAGTAAACATAGTCCCAATATCATGAGTCCCATGAGGCTGTGTCATGTTAGTTTTTTTCTCATTTGCTATTATACAAACATCAACGTATAGATCGACAGGCACACCCATCGCCTTGGCCTTTTCCACAAACTCCACATCCTCGTCAAATAATGCTTCTGATGGGGTTAAAATAATCTAGACTCACCAAGACCGCCCAATGCCACGAACATTGGCGGCAACTCCTTCATACTTTCTCTTGACATCATGCCTGGGCTGATCCAAGGATGATCCAGGGGGACTGGGCAACGACTGTAGTGTTTTGGACCGACTTTCATTGCGTCTATACCCCACTCGGGGAATTCTAACACAACAATATCATACTTCATTCCAACACCTCCTTCTGATCTTGACGGCTTTTTGGTATCACAAAGGAACAACCAAGGCTGGTGAATTTGTAAGGAAAAGCATACACACTGAAAGTAGTAACAATCCAGGGACGCCACTGACGGTATTGGCCTTACCATCCAGTATATTAGTCAGATGTTTGCCATCACAACGAAGATACTGCTCAAGCTGCATTGTTATCCATGCCCCAAAACTGTCACCACCCACAAAAATCTGGGATGGCCGATATCCGTACTTGTTAATCAAATACATATATCCAGCTAGGGCTTGGACAATAGGCACTGGAAACGGCGCGTATGGTGCCAAGTTATAATCCACGGAAAATATATCCAACTTTAGTCTGCTGGAAAGTGTCCGACAAAGAGTCTGACCCATGAATGGGTCTCCAGCTGAAAAAGTTACTCCCGCGCCGCCATCTATTATCGTAAGCATTTCCCACGTACGGAAGTATAACATCACATCCCGTTCTTGCCCACCAAATGTACTTGGCTGAGGTGCATGCAGTGTCCCATCATGCATGAACCATAGACCTCGTATCCTTGTTTTAGCCCAAGAAGGGTCTACAAGTGCCGGCCCTTGATACAAACTAGACCCATATGCATTGGATTTGTAGCCTGATTTGATACTGAGAATGCCGCAAAATCCGTCAATTGAAGGAGGGTCAAACCAATCCCTATCGACACGTCCTTTCTTAACATAATCTTTGACTTGAGAAATTTCAGCTGGTGGCATTGCCACTATTCCACCGGGACCCGAGTTGTTAAGTAGGGAAAGGATCATACCCACCCAATTGTTAGCTTCTCTCCAACCATTTTCACGAGGAGGAATCGGTTGCATTTTAAAAAAAGACATCAGCTTGATTGTGCGTTTGGTTAATAAAACGCCGATAGCTTCGATGATTGTCCAGTTCGGATGCCTGCCGTAGCCATGTCGTAGTAGACACCGAATAAATACATATGGCAGATATAATAGAGTTGTAGGAACAAAATATCCATGAAAAAGCAAAGACTTTAAAATGTAATGTGCATATCTAATCTTCAAGGGTTTGGCTTTTTCAACCGCCTCGACAACGTCCGAACTCGGAATAGGTTTCATGGTGGAATAAAGCTACTATGCGGCGCGTGAAAGTCACCGTATGGAGTCTTTCTAAAGAATGAATTTATAAACCTATTACAGAGTCGATAATCAAGTAATTCTGCGTAGTTTAGTGGCTATGACGGGGCCTTGTCACTGGACAGCCACGGCCCAGACCCGGGTTCAATTCCCGGCGCGGAAGCTTTTTACGTAAATTTTCTTTCTGTCATCTATTTTCGTTATGCATATAGATGCAACTATGAAACTAGTTTGTCGACACTTCTGCGTAGTTTAGTGGCTATGACGGGGCCTTGTCATTGAGACAGCCACGGCCCAGACCCGGGTTCAATTCCCGGCGCGGAAGCTTTTTAATTTTTTTAGCTGTTTTCTTTGTATCTCATATTAATTTTTTTACCAATTGCAGGCATCCACCATCGTATTTCATTAAACTACCTAGTTCGTCTTTTACCCCGACTCCGACCTGAAGTGTTGTTCCAATCACAACGGCTGGGATTCGATCGTGCTTCATTGTTGACGGCAATCCCATCCGGATGTGCTGACTCATCGCGGGATTTCGATTCGTTGTCACTCTTTTGCATATCGGACAGGTTCCGATGGTATTGCTGGCTTGCCTGATAGTCTTGATTCTCACGTCGCAAAGCCCATCGGCGTATAATGTCCCACATATGAGTCCTGTTACGTCTAACATCTGCTAGCAATAGCCGCACTTCTTCCAGCTGTTCCATGTATTCTCGACTGTCCGCGTACAGTTCGTTTAATGATTCAAGACTAGTATGCAGAATCTCTCGCTGCTCCTCTGCGGAAACAACTGTCGTGTTCTCGGATTCCTCTGATGACTTTGTCGGTATATGGAGGCCTTCATTAGTGATAAATAAGTCATTGATATGAACAAGGGGGGGTACAATATCCATGGCTTTGTCAATTTCTTTCTCACTCTTCTTCCGATGATCTTCCATGGGTACATCAAAAATGCGCTCCATAGCACTAAAACAGCGGCCCAATGCACAGTTCATAGTGTGCTCACTCTCTAACAGCTTCAAGGCTGTCCGGTTCAGTGCGGTCAAATGGGGATTTCTGAACGTTTGTTTAAGAAGCTTGCTCTGCAGCAACTCTCGCGCACTTAAAACTGGTACGAGCATAGGAAGAGCCAATGATGAGCCGTTGAGAGATGAAAGTTCTTTGTTGCCTAGGTTGGACCCAATAAGTTCATCTTGGTTCCAAGGATTCCAAGCACGGGATCGTATCTGTTTTCGTGCACCATTTGGTTGTGGAGCCGAGCGCTTTGAAGCCGTAGTTCCTCTTAAGATGTTTCCCATACCTCCCGGAAGCAGTGACTCCGTTTCAAGCAGAGCATCCACATTCGCATGCTGGAATGCATCCATTTTTCGTCGCTCTCGTTCATGAAACTCCGCGGTTACTCCTCTTGCACATACCTCAACCTCTTTTCTAGGCTCTGTCCAAGTTCCTAGCTTCCCACGATGCGCCCACCGTACACCGTCCTTGGTATGAAGCTTGCGTCCTCTGTTTGTATATTGTGAAGGTCCAGAGGCCGACAAGAATGTGGAATCGTCTTCTGTATCAGAGTCCGAGTAATAAATAGCTTGATCATTCCCTGGGAGAGAGCTGTAACGTGAGTGTAGTCAAAGACACCTACAGCCATAGTAGACGATCCAATTCTTGCTGATGTGCTTGCTGTGCATCAGCTTTCGCGTTTTCTTCAATATCTTGGGTATCACCCTCACTTTCTTTCAGTGTCACTGGGACCACCTGATCTTCTGAGGGTACATCTTTTGGATGTTCTGAAGATTGACCCGCTTCCTTCTGTCCATCCTCGGGAGTTGGCGCAGCGGTGCTCAAGTTTGGCTCTTGTTCCTCTGCTCCCATCTTTTTTAGACTGACATTCGCTTCCAAGGGATTCTTTTCCTCAAAAAATACTTTCTGCATCACGTCAACACCGGATGGAGGCTCTCTTGCCGCAGCCTGAAGATGCCGCTCGTCCGCCATACTTGTCAGGGCTCGGTGAGATTCAACCTGTGACCTCTAAGCTGTGCATCTGCATGGGCCCTGAAGCTTATACTGTGTTACATAATAGAGGGACATTTCCTCTGACTACTTGATCACGTGGAATTGATGCATTGCTGGCATATTGGACTCAGAACGCATTTTTATTTGTTGAACTTGCAGGCCGTAGCCGAGGGCTAGCAGATGCAGGTGCAAGTGTATGCCTGCACCGGTACCCGCATCGCATCCTCTCTACATACATTTCCTCGACTCCAGAGGAAACCGTGTTGGGTAAGCGTACCTTGGAAAGCAAGATCACTTTCCCCACATCAGGTGCATAACGGTCGGCCCTATCCTCCTGTGAGCTTACTTGCCCTCATCAAAAGGGCCTAGTGTCACCAATTCATTATGTCTACCGCTAGTCCATCAGTTTCAGGCGCAGCTGCTTCTCAATACAATGCAGGCACTGTGCATGCCGGCCAGGCTCCTACCAGCCATGGCAATGCCCCTCCCATGCATAATCATTCTGCGTCTGCTTTGGGAGGCTCTGATGCGCATGTTACTCAAGCCTCTAGTGCTGGACTTTATCAGGATAGCGTTGCACAAGCACCGCATCATTTGGCAGGGTCGTTTGCAGGTGCTCAACTTTCACCCATGGCATCCCCGTACGCTGCTTATGGTGCAGCCCAGCACCCTATGTACGGTGCTTCTTATTCAGGTCATGCATATGCCCCTTATCCCAATTATATTGGGCACATATCCCACTATGGTCACCCTCACTATCCGGGAACTGCTGCCACACCAGCTTACCACACTCCCATGATGGGTGGCATGGTTTCGCACGGTGGATATGCGCCTCATTCTGCAACCCACATTCCTTCGCATCATACACAGGCAGCTATTCCCATCGCTATGACAGGTGCGACTGGTGGGAGCGCACCAACGACGCCCAGCATGACCTCTGGTGCTATGATGCCTACATCGTATGGGGCGACTCCCCAGTACAATGCACCTGTCCCCATGGGAGGTCGACACCGGGTTACTACGACTCTGTGGGAAGATGAAGGAACCCTGTGCTTCCAAGTCGACGTCAAAGGCGTTTGTGTTGCTCGCCGCCACGATAACAACATGGTAAATGGAACAAAGCTTTTAAATGTCTGTGGTATGTCTCGCGGAAAGCGCGACGGTATTTTAAAAAACGAAAAAGAGAGAATTGTTGTTAAAGTCGGTGCCATGCATCTCAAGGGTGTTTGGATTGCCTTTAGCCGTGGCAAGCAACTGGCTGAGCAACACGGTATTGCGGATGCTCTTTATCCTTTGTTTGAACCTAACATTCAGTCTTTCTTGTACCATCCTGATAATTATCCCAGGACTGCTGCTGTTATGGCTGCTGCGCAAGAGCGCCAAGTGCACCGTCATTACAACATGCCAACCACATCCTCGACACCTGTGAAGGACTTAAGCAGTAATGAGATGGGTGGGGGACTCCCCATACACTCCAGTATTCCCAGCAACCACTGGACAAACTCTCAGCAAGCAGCTCATGATTCATCCTCTTCGAGCAATACGGCTGAGGCTTTGCACTATCAGTACCCCACACATGCACACTATCAGCACCAAGCGTCTGGCATACCTGCGACCTCCCAGCAGGGTGGTCAATCCGCTGCTTTCAGTCCCGCTAACGCCCACTACTCTCCCCAGAGCACTCAGGTTCCTATGCGTTCTAGTGTTAACTCTGGGTTTGTTATGGATCGTCGACTGGACCAAACACCGGAAACAGGCAGTAGTCAAAATCCCGCTGCCACCGGCAACCTGCAACAAACTCCTAGTGGTGCTGGTCACCGCCGTGTCTCGAGTCTTAAGCGTTCTCCTGCTGACCAGGAGCCTACCCCTTCTATTGTCCCTCCCCCACAGGGTCCTATCGAAAATTCGGCACCGTCTTCAGCCGAAGCGGCTCCTGCTACTGTTTCTTCCACTGCATTGCCCAGTGAGAACTATACTCTCGATGAAAAACGTCCAAAGGACGAGGATACATCCTCCCAGCAAGCATTAAACATGATGTATTCCAGTGAAAACCGTCCGCGGGTGTCCGAGAACCAGGCTCAAGGGTCTCAAGAGTAGCGGCAGTGCCATGCAACAGTATCGTTGTCTATATATATATATATATATATAAGCTCGGGCTTATGCACATATAGTTGGTTTGATGTCCTTCGCGATATGCACGCAATCGAAAGGCTGGTATGCATCATAGAGTCATCATTCTTTATTAACAATTAAGGACTTACTTGATTGGCTAAGCTGATCCACAAGACCTTGAGTCTAGCTTGACGGAGATGACGCCCCTTGGAAACGTTGCTTGACGTGGACCTTTGTGCACAGAAAATAAAAAATTCAGTCGTGATTGCACAAGGTATCAAACAAACAACCTTTCATATCTCTCAACAGGATCTTGTCTATGTTGGGCGCTGCTGAGTCAGATAATATCAATTTTGCTGGCGTGGGTGTTCATCGTGTCTTGGGAAGGACGATAAATGGCTCTCAACTTGGCTTGTTTAATGACAACATCGGTACAGAGAGCCAAAAAATCTGTCGATCTCAACCAAAAGAGAAGTTCGATCCCTTATATGGCCGTAATCGTCGAAGTTGCGGTCGGTTTCCACCATTCATTATGACAACTGATGCATTGCAGAGAAATCAAGGTCAAGCAAATGCAACTTCTTCCATGTCATCTTCGCAACCCAGAAAATTCCAAGCACCTCGTGCGGCTCTTATGAAACCCACTCTGTCTGACTTACCATCATTATGTTTTTCTAATATGCTTTCGGAGCCACTTGCTACTAGCATGTCAGCCTCTACGAGTTGCTCTACAAACACAACACCCTTTCTTTCTGCTCCCTTTGAGAATCACTCGCGATCTGTTTTAAACAGTTTGACAGATAAAGTCTCTATCCAAGCCGATGACCTTGGCACCCCGCATCTGTCGAGCCCCTCTTCCGGAACTATTCGTGCCTCACCTACTAGTTTGCTTACCGTGCCACCTAACCTGGAGGTGTCTCGTTCATTTAACTCAATACAAAAAGATGAGGCCCTCTGTCATACAGATGTTCACTCATTTCAACAGCTTGGCCCCTATCGACAGTCCGGCCTAGAAGCTCTTGATATGGCTTTCTGGAATGGTGGAAATTTTTACAGTGACGATGAAAGTGACTTGGAACATAATGAGCATGGAACACGCGTATCACCTGTCGAAGGTCATACAGAGCTTTCTAGCTCTAAAAGTCAAGTCGATTTTCGACACCAAGTTCCTCTGTTTCCTACAAGAGCCAATAAAACCACATCTGATACATCTATGGCAGTATCTAATGCATTGAGTGAATATTTGAATGATATTTTGATTGATGATTACTTGGATTCGGGCCTTGATCAGGATGACCCTGCCATCTGTCGATCCAGCTACCCGTCGTCGGTAAGTCTGTCCGATGACGAAGCGTGGCTCAATGCAAATAAACGAAAGTCTCAGGTCGTTCCAAAGTTGCCCTATGGGTTGACGAATCCCAAGTTGACCGCCTGTGAACCATTGCGAGCCAAGGAGGCACTCCCACCCTTACCACCGAAACTTGATGGCGAACCCAAGTGCAAACACTGCCATCAGAAAATTCTGGGTAAAGTTGTCAGAAGCGCTGATGGACTTTTTTCGGGGCTATACCATCGCGAGTGCTTAAGATGCATTGATTGCAATACCAATCTATTTCAAACCAATATTTTTGTATTGAATGACCAAACTTACTGCTCGAAAGACTTCCACGTTCGAAATGGCTCTTTGTGCAAAAAGTGCGGTTTGGGAATCGAGGGAATTTACAGGCTAACTTGGAACAATATGTGCTATCATACCCATTGCTTTGTCTGTGCTTACAACGATCCATCTTCTGGTGTCTGCCGAGCAGAACTAGATGAGTATTATATGGTCCATGCAAAACCATACTGTGAGGATCATGCTCGTAAACTTGTCAAACAACTGTATATACAAAATAGAAAAATGTAAATCTCGTACCATTCTTTTTGAATTGATATAATAGCTACTATGATGAATTAAGATGTCAGATGTCCGTGACCCTAAAATAAAGTGATGTGGAGGTGTTTTAGGTAAGACCAGCTGGCTTGGGATCAAGTGGGTGTTTCCCTGTAAGAACCATTGCTCGAGTGTGACGACGGCAGGCTAGAACATTGCCTCATCTACCTATGAATGGACCAATCTCATACAATCCTTTAGGTTTTTCGGGAGTCGAACCTCCTATGGGTACGCCCAGTTTATCTTCGCAACAAATCAATGTTGAGCCAATTTTTGATTTTGACGACGTTCTTTACTCAAAAATATGGACAGCGGAAGAAATGGTGAACCCTTTGATTGAATCTGACAATGAGCTTGTACTTGCAATATCTGGTTTGAACAATCACGTATTGACAGAGAATGGCTCAACATGCAGCTTATCGGGTATGAGTTTGGTTGATCTTCCTTCACCGCCATCTTATGACGGACGACACTCTTTTAACAAAAACACATTTTCTGCGAAAAATTTCAGTCTAGAACAGCCATTTGAGACTATGGGGCCTCTTCCATGTCGTACGGGTTCACAAATGTTAAGTGAAAACTACTTCCCTGCTGTTCAACCTCTCAGTGGTAATTATGCAGCAGATTCCCTTGTATCTATGAACGACGCACGGCATGATATCAATGGGTTTTTATCACAAGCAGTGTCATTAACACAGTCGGTGACTGGTACTTTAGACACACAAACCCAATCCGATGTTCAGCCGCTGTCAACATTGCCGTGTGTTTTACCAATTCAACCGTCTCAAACGGCAGAGACGCAGATGCAAGACATATTTTCGACCTCAACAAAATTTCGACCGGTATTCTCAACTACATCGACAGCAAAGTCTATTGAGCCGTTAGTGAAAGTTGTTGCGCCAGTCATTTCAAAGGATGCTGTTGCACAAAACGGTCTAGCCTCTGTTTCATTATCCGTGGCCACGGGCAATTCCATGATGGCGCGAATGTCAATATCAGGAGACAAGCCATCCGCTATCTCGGAAGTGGACTTAATCCAGACGAAGAAACCAGGTACACAGAGACTGTACGAGTGTCCAACATGTTTTAAGGTATTTGACCGAGCCTACAATCGAAAGATGCACATGACCACTCACGAAGCAATTGAAAAAAGACTGCGGCCTTTTAAATGCTCTTGGCCGGACTGCGGAAAACAATTCGCTCGAAAGCATGACATGAATCGGCATTATCTTGGTGTGCATCTTAAGGCTCGTAAAAGTCCAAGCACGACTGGCCGGGCAAGACGACAATGTATTGGGTCTGATAATGCACCTTTATTACAGTAAGGTTCTCGCAATACTCTTCTGTATAATATTCCCTGTTGATAGGTTCATGTCGATGGTATCTGATGCAAGCTCATCAAAAGCAAGATTCTGACCCACTCCCAATATCCCATTCATCTGTTTCGGGATACTCATTTGTGTAGTAGTCTTCGTCGTTACTGTCTTCATCCTCTTCGTGTACATCCTTGGCGTCGAGTTCTTCCAGTAACAAATCATGCTCTGCAAGTGAATGACCTCCAATAGGCACTGCCACGATGGACGTGTGTCCATCAGCATCCATCGTGGTGCGCAAATGAACCGGGAAGAATGAGGCTTCATTTTCCCACTCTAAATCGCGATCCAAATGACTTTCTCCGTCTTGAAACAAATGCTCGAACCCGGGTGCGGACGTCGAATGACTCCAGTTATAACGGCCGGGTACAATGGGTATAGGGGAAAAATGATTCGAGGATTTTCCTTTTGAAGCTCTCCCAACGATAGGAGGGTTGCTCTTTGAAGGAGATTCTTTCTCTGCAGATATAAATAACTTTCTTGGTATATATTCTTGATAATAGATATCGTAAACGTAGTCGTTCTGACTCGCTGACATTGGCTCCGGATCTTGAAGAGACACTTGGTTCACTGTTTGTGAGACAATTGGCAAAACATACAGTGAAGATAATCTTCTAACAATTTTGAAAACTTCTCCATACCTTCTTCCGCGGCCTCATTTAATCGTATGCGGGAGTGGCTTGATGAAATGGATGATTTCTCGTCTTCCTCATGCTTTCGTTTCAGTTTTACTCTGCAAGCTGCGGCATCCCACTCTGCCTCTATTACGTTGTTTACTTCTTGTGAATTAGTAGAATGGATTGTATATAGAGTCTCCTTGCGGCGAAATACACCTACGCCTGTCAGCGAGTCCCACATACCTTGGTCTTGCGCTGTCATGTCAGCATTTTGTCCGCGTCGCTTTGCTTTCGGTGGTGCATGAAACTGAAAAAGAAAGGCATCAACAGGGTCATCATTTCTCTTCCTTTTTACTCGCAAAATCCGCGTTACATCTCTGGGTGTTTCTGCGTCGGTCATTGTGCTTGAATATCCTCTTCAGTATAGCATCGCAGTTTGGCTTACCTTACGTAATACAACACTTAGTTGGTGTTGTGTGGGGCTGCTCTCAATTGTACATCCACTGCTTCGGTGTTGATCACCCGAGTGGCCTTGTATCGTTGAAACTTCTGGTGGGGCTGCGATTTTCGTAGCTCTTATTCATGCCATCAATTTCATCTGTTTATGATAATTTGCAGGATCACCTTCGGCGTGGGCCTGGTGTTCTGCCAGCACAGCCCCATCCGTCTATGCAGGTGGGGGCCATAGTGCCACATGAGTCACAATTCTCGTCGAGGCCGGGTGTTGAATCAATCAACATGTACAATTTAAACAATAAAAATGAATATGATTCAACATTATCATTGCATGAACCTGAATACTTACTGAAAGAGAACCCTCACCACTACAATTCACCCTACGCAGCTCATTGGGGTATGAGTGATACAGATCTTTCAGCAAAGCCCGATAATAAAATGGGATTTGCTGAAAACGAATTAGACGAAGTGAGACAGTTGAACGGGAGGCCTATATACCCCTATCAATATGGTGGATCAAGTGGCAGCTTCTCGGATGTTGATATGTACACACACAATCGCGACGGTAAATTCACTTGGTCCAACGACGCTTTACTACAGAAAAAAGTTACAGAACGTGAGCGCGGCATAGGACAGCAAAATCATGCATATTTGACCTGGTTCCTTTCATTTGCCATGGTGGCCGTATTTGTTGCTGAGCTCATCATGGCTTCAAAGCAGACAGGACAAGCCGTTCAAACCCAGCCTAGTGTTCAACCTATGATTGGACCCTCATCTGAGTTCCTCATATCGTTTGGAGCACGCTTCGTTCCTTGTATGCGCAAGGTACCGGACCTTCCAACTACCAACATGCTCCCCTGCCTGAAATATTCGACATCCAAGCTGCAATCCTTTACAAAGGATCAACTTTGCTCATTAGCAGAAATATGTGGTCTGCCGGATGCTGAAGACCCGAATCAAGGATACCGATTCGTGTCGGCCATCGTACGTGAGCGCTCACTAACCTCCAGTTTGTGCATGCCGGTTTTGTTCGTGAGTACTACTATCCTCTCACGCAGACATCTTTTTTAATCTTGTCGTTCTTCTCACCCTATGCTGCCAAATCGAAAAGCTGGTTGGTACGCCCATCTATGCCATTGTTTTCATGGCTGGAGGTATTGGTGGCAACTTATTAGGCGGGAACTTTGGCTTGATTGGTCAACCGTCGCTCGGTGCGTCTGGTGCGGTGTATACATGTATCAGTTTCGAGCTAATCGATTTGGTATACAACTGGAAATTTGTGCGTGTTCTTTGGCTAATTATCAGGAAATGAATGCCAAGACGCGGCTCTTTATGTCCGTGCTATTTACTATTATTGGTTTGGCCCTTGGACTACTTCCGGGCATCGACAACTTTTCGCATATTGGCGGCTTTTGCGTTGGCATATTGAGTGGCATGGTATTTGCGCCCTCCATTCATGCAACACGATCACATATGGTGGTAATTTGGGTGTACCGTGCCATTGGGGGAGGTCTCCTTATCGCCTACTTTTTAGCCCTTGTGCTGAATTTTTACCGCAGCGAAAATCCCGTTGACACTTGTCGCTGGTGCCGCTATTTATCATGTCTTCCTAACTTCGATGCATGCAAAGGCACAGGTACGTCTTCGCTACGCTAAAGCCAGGCATCATCACAACCGATTCACAGGGCAAGCCTGCTGCGCGTTCGTTCTTCTTATGAACATTGCTTTACTTTCGTAGGGTATAATAAAAGATATTGTAGTTTTATTTGCGCCACCACCAAAGGAAGACAAAAATCCAGATAACCAGGATCAGGAATAGCATCATATTACAAAACCATCCTCTTTGGCGCCGAGCCATAGCATTCATCTTGGTCATCGTGTTTCCCAGCAGAGCACCAGCACTCGCAAACACGTCATTCTAAAGTTAGTTCCAGTGACCCACCAATGAATTCATCTCCATCGTAGATTCCCGCACTTCGTTTCCGATACCCGTCGAGATCTGTGTGTGAGCATTTCATACGCACATCTTTTAGCATTTTGATTCGCTCACTGAGTCCATTTAGACGCGCATCGTTTTGCTCCTCTAAATCAGCCGCAGAATTTTGCTGTCCAATTGTTCCAGAAAACAAACTAACAAAACCAGACTGTCCGCTCGGCTCCTTCTTAGGAGCACCCACTTGATCCACACCGCGTGAGGGTGCACTGTATGGGTTCTCAAAAGGAGATTCCATGCGCCGTGGTTCATCAAGAGAAGCTGATGAGGGTGTACCAAAAGTCGAGCTAGTAGTTGGATATGAATGAGCAGCTAGCATTGCATGCCTGTCGTACACCGCCGCGCTTCGTCTATTCATCCTGAATGCACGATACTGGAATGGTAGCTGTGCGCAGCGAGCCTGCCTCACCATCCACGTGACTCGCACGAGCGGAGACGGTGGGGTCCAAGCGCACCTTCAATTGTTGCACTGGCTACCTTAACGCTACTGCCTCGTCAGAATATGCTGACGAGCATATCTCGAGAGGCCCTGTCAAATTTCACAGGAACGGGTAGTCTTATTGTTTGGATCTTTGCGCAATCACCGTTCGTACTTTGCGTATGGAGCATACTAACCAACAGGCAAATCTACCAGAATTATGCAACCAAAAGTGTAGAAGGGCTTTCGTTCGTGTTCTTACTGCAATGGACCATTGGTGATTTGACCAATTTTTTCGGAGCCTTTCTTACCAAACAACTTCCCATTCAGGTTGTCATTGCTGCTTATATGCTCACTGTCGACTTGACGCTCTGTGGTCAATATGCCTGTACGTTTCCTACTCATCTGATCTAGTGTACTATCGCAAAGAGCCCGAACAAAGAAAACACCACAATATAATACATGAGCAAACACCCTTGCTTATCACCCAACACAAACACTTGTATCGGCATCATCACCCGTCCTTGTCGCGATCGACCCGAGATCTTTCTCATGAGCATCGGCCAGGATTTTATCGCACTAATTCTGTGGATCCATGGCATGTGTACCGTTTGAATTCGTCAAAGAAACATGGAAGGCGGTCTCATACTATTGATCGAGCTTACCAAGACTCATATCGATCTCCAGAACGCACTGAGCGTAGTAATAAGAATATGGACTCGTCCCAGACTGGCTTCTCCCAACGCGGACGTTCTCGTGATCGTAAAACATATCAAAATTCCATTAAATCTGAAAATGCTGGTAACGGGGCCCCTTTTCATAAAATACGAAGACTGAAGCTGCGGCCCAGTATTTCTCGTCGTGGTACCAACATGATTCTTATGGGTATGTGGATGTTGATGACCATGGGACCGAGGTCCTGGACATCAAACTCAATTCAGCGTGAGGACTCTGTGTCTCCTGTTCCTTCTACGCTGGCCGTTCACCATTATACGATGGACAAGCATATCCCTCCTGCCGCATCTCCTATGGACCTTTTCGCCTTGGATCATCTCCGTCACCCTATTTTATTGTCTTTCCCAGTAATTGAATTCGCTAGGCACCGACATGCACGTAAAACGTTGTCTCTCAGCATGTTGGTGGGCCGTATATTTGCATGGTTTTGTACTGTGTTGTACATGACATCGCGCCTTCCTCAAATTTGGTCCAACTATAAGCGGAAGTCTGTTCAGGGACTATCTTGGCTATTGTTTCTTTTGGCCTTTCTAGCCAACCTGCTGTATTCGTTGAGCATCCTCTCCAATCCGAAAGCTGTGGGACCATCCGGCCAAGAGTTTCTCTCCGAGAGTCTGCCTTTCCTTATTGGCAGTGGCGGCACTTTGGTATTTGATATGATTATTCTCATTCAGTATTGGATGTGGCATGGTCGTGCCGGCAAAATGGACGACACTCACGGTGATGCATGATATACCTATACACAATCAGTTTGTAGTCGAAGATACCCCATTGTTTTTTGTCTTGTTAATAATGGCATTTCGGAGCGCCTCAGGCGTCGGTCGATCGGCAATAGCATCAGGTGTATAACCAAGCGTGTCGTTGGCCCAGGCCGCCGTTGTTTGGCCAATACAAGCAATTTTGCACAAATTTCTCTTCTGATTTCCAGGCACTACCCATCCTCGCTGTGTCAGCTCTGGCAGAGCATAATCACCGCCGCTGGGTGAGAAAAACACGACCCAATCTGGATGCATATTCTGCGCCGAAGTGCCTGTATTCTCTTTGTCGGGATCAGGCATCGAACGATCTGTCATTTTCAATGTGTGAAGCATCCGATTACGGGGACTGTGACCTTGTAAGCTACCCGAAATTCCAGAAGTATGTTGTGGCAAATCACGGGCTAGGAGACCGCAATTGGACTTGAAGTTGGGGTCCTTTTCCGTCATATACACCATCAATTCGTCTAGTACAATATTGGCGTGCAAAGATTCAAGCGTGTCTCGGAGCACCGGAAGCCGTTTGTCACCGACCAGGTATAACATATTTTGTACAGACTGAGTCCTCGCCGCGCGAGAAGCCATTTCATGGGCAAGCTCTTTCGCATTGCCGGATTGTTCTCCGACCACAATAGTCGGACGGAGTGCCGGGTGCACGGCGATTTGGCGCAATGATTTTTCGGTAGCGGGTCCGACAACATAGAAAGGTGTTTGATTCCATTGCTTTGAGGTCCTTAACGTCGGCTGTAATATCATATCTGCCGAAATAAGCGAACATGCTTCTTGCCAGGCTTGTACTGCTCGCTGGCTTGTAATCACCACACCGTCGTAGACTACTCCATCCTGCAGAGCACTGCGTATTTTTTGTGCCAAAATATCCACATGACGAGTGACATGAGAAAGAATAGGAAAGCTGGTAATACAAAACTCGCGGTCGTCGGAGTCAGCACTTTCGTCTTGGTGTAGGTTACCCATATGATGTGTCATAAGGTACTCCTGATGGTTCCGTGAACTGTCCGAGAGCTCTTGAAGCTTATGTAGCGAGGCATGTAGTTGATTGACTGGTGAAAGACCGGCTCGCAAAGGTTCCCCCTCGTTTGCAACCGGCGTGCCGGAGGCCGAACTGCCAGAATCTAGCGCAGAAACGGCAAACGATGGAAGACAGAATGAACCAAATGCATCATGATACGCATCTGTACCATCCAGCATCGACACTGGCTGCCGAAGCAAGAGGACTGTGATCGGTCCAGCTCGTCCAGGCATTCTGGTTGCGGGGTACGCAAGGTCCGTGCCTATAGCTATGATCCTCCTCCGATCTTTACAGCGCGCTTTATCATTTGCTGCGGATTTACTCGGTGTGTCGGATTCCGGCTTGCTGGCAGATGCTTTCTACTCGGCCGGATGTGGAGGGGACCGGCTTCATATAAGCAGACCGCGAGAGTCAACGTATTTGTTCTACCCGAAACACCTGAGATGCTGTCTCTGACGATCCCCCGTGCTGCTCTCCGGTCGGCTGTGGCCCCTCGCCAATTTGCTGCTGCTGCTGCGGCCTCATCTGTCCGCTATGCCTCGACCAAGTCGTTGACTGAGGCTGTAGCTGAGATTGTGCCTGCCAAGCGCGAGCAGCTCGCCAAGCTCAAGTCGGAGCATGGCGATGCTTCGCTGGGTGACTCTAAGGTGAGCCACCTGATCGGTGGTATGCGTGGCCTCAAGTGCATGCTTTGGGAGGGCTCTGTGCTTGACGCTGAGAAGGGTATCACCTTCCACGGTAAGAGCATTCCTGTCTGCCAGAAGGAGCTGCCCACCGCCAAGGACATTGGCCGTCCCGGCAAGGAGATGCTGCCTGAGTCGATGCTTTGGCTGCTGCTCACTGGCAAGATCCCTACCGCCGAAGAGGCAAAGGGTCTGTCGCAGGACCTCGTCTCGCGCGCCAAGCTGCCTAACTTCGTTGAGAAGATCATTGACTCCTTCCCCAAGTCGCTGCACCCTATGACTCAATTTTCGGCGGCTGTGTCGGCTTTGAACCATGACAGCAAGTTCGCTGCTGCCTACAATGCGGGTGTCAAGAAGACTGAGTACTGGCAGCCCACTTTGGAGGACTCGCTGGACCTGATTGCCAAGCTCCCTGCCATTGCTGCTCGTATCTACTACAACGTGTTCGGCAAGGGTGACGGTAAGCAGGCCGTGGACCCCAACATGGACATTGTCGAGAACTTCTCGCACATGCTCGGCTACGGCAACTCTGAGGGTCTGACCGACTACCTGCGCCTTTACGTGGCTGTGCACAGCGACCACGAGGGTGGCAACGTGTCGGCCCACACGGCCCACCTGGTGGGTAGCGCCCTGTCGGACCCCTACCTCGCCTACGCCGCCGCCCTGAACGGTCTGGCTGGCCCCCTGCATGGCCTTGCCAACCAGGAGGTGCTCAACTGGTCGCTTGAGCTCGAGAAGGCTGTCGGCTCGAAGCCCACGGATCAGCAAATCACTGACTACCTGTGGGACACGCTGAAGAGCGGTCGCGTTGTGCCCGGCTATGGTCACGCCGTGCTGCGTCAGCCTGACCCTCGCTTCACTGCGCTGTCGCAGTACTGTGACACCCGCCCTGAGCTCCAGGAGTCGTCGATTGTGCAGCTCGTCCAGCGTCTGTCGAAGCTTGCCCCTTCGGTCCTGAAGGAGCACGGCAAGACCAAGAACCCTTACCCTAACGTGGATGCCGGTTCGGGCTGTGTCCTGTACACCTACGGTCTGGACGAGTTCAAGTTCTACACTGTGCTGTTCGGTGTGGCTCGTGCCTACGGTGCCCTGCCTCAGCTCGTGTTCGACCGCATTCTTGGTCTTCCGATCGAGCGCCCGAAGTCGCTGTCGATGAACGCGCTGGAGGCTCTCCTGAAGAAGTAGGCTAGATGATCTATACTAATCGTATACAATGATTGGTTGTATGTGGTCCATGGGGAAGAGGAAGTTGCCTGCGGCTGCATCGCGCTCCAAAAAGTGCAGCGGAAGCTCGACGAGGTTGCCACAAAGCGTCTGCAGTTGGACCACCATTGCTTCCAGAGCCTCGGCAGAAAAGACGTCGGCGTGCATCGCCTCATATGTAGAGCGTGCCAACTTGTCGCTGTGTACTTTGGCGTTCTTGTATGCTGCCCATGTGGTGACCGTGTCGTCCGGCATGCACTGAAAGACCTTGCGGTATACCATCGTGTTGTATGATGCAGCAGCGGTCCAGACTTCATAGCTCGCCACAGGGTCAACTATGCTGTTGGCCGTGATTCGGGGACGCTCGTCCGGCCATGCATCCGCAGGGGGTGGATCCTCGTACGGATGGCCCTCGCGCAGAGCACGATCAACCGCATCGACATCCACACCGAGGTGCTCGCGCATGAGCCGCAGACGCAACGTGTGGGGAAAGCGACCTACGTCGTAGGGCTCGCCAGCCATTTTCGATACCAGCCGGTCTTCATCACGTACGATACAGGCCAACTCTGAGTCATGGTCCCCGCGCATACTCCGCTCATTGATGTTGGCACTGCCAATGATTGCCAGGCGATCGTCCACAATCATAACTTTGTCGTGAGGATACACCTGCTCGGTGACAAGCTGGCCAGAGCGCATGCGTCCCCAGTTGCGAAGTGCAAAGAACCCGATATACTCGTGCGGATGGATACCCACGCGCTCAAGGCGTCCAAAGATAGAGTTGGGGCCGCGGGATATGGACAGGTACTGCAGCGCTGAAATAATACGCACCGAGCTGCTCTCAGGGTGGTCATAGTCCATAGGGAAGCCAGGCGTGGCAGGAATCACAATCACCGCCCGCCACTTCGTTCCTTCGTTGTGCGCGCGCACAATGCGCTCCACGAGTGCCAAACCAATGCGGTTTTCAATCTCGGTATTCTCCATCGTCGTTGAGGTGACAAAGAACTGATTTTCGATATACACAAAATGATCGCTTTGCTCGATCGCCTTCAAGTAGGCATTCTGAATCGAAAATTCCACCTTCTTACTGGTGCTCAGGCTCCACGGACCGCCCGAGCGACAGATTTGCGCCTCGCAGGTGCCGATAATACCATAGCGCTCCATCTGATAGAGTGTCAGATCTGGCGGCGGCAGCAAAAAGGGCATCCGGCGTGTATGTTTCTTCGAACGCAACAGCATATTCCAACGCTGGCAAAAGTGGCGACACAAGTCACGCGCGGGCTGTCCAACGATCTGCACTCCGACGTCGTGCCACGGCATGCGTGGCACTTTATCGCGGGGTATCAGATCGACCTCGGGCTGCGTGAGATTTTGCCACTCGGCCACCCGCTCATTCGCATAATCCTGTCCCGGCCAGACGTGCGCTTCGGCGCCGTGGCGTACGGGCCCAAGCATAGTATCATCTTGGTCGAAAGGCTGGTTATCCATCATTGCGTCATCAATGAGCGCATGGGTAGGTGTGTCCCAGCGTCCGAAACACAGGTCAAAGCCGCCCATGAAGCCGAGCATCTCATCCACCACGCACATCTTCTCGTGATGCGCCCAGTAGAAAGTGCCCGTCTTAAGATGGCTAGGCGAGCGCTGCACGAAAATGTTCGGATGCAGCTGCATCAAACGCGACTTGGCGTAGCCCGAATCGGTGGGCGTGAACACGTTGGACACCTCATTGTACAGAATGACATGAATTTGCACGCCCTCTTCCGCTTTGCGCTTCAACAGGTGATCCAGGCGCCATTCCAGCGTACCAGGTCGGCGAAAGTAGAATTCAGGCGAGAGCCACCAGTCATGGATATAAATGCGCTCACGCGCGTGCAAAATAGCCTCTGACAGCTGCCAATAGTAGTCTCGGCCATCGACAAACCATTGCAGCCTGGCATTCCTGCGGATCGGGGCAAAGCTGTCAAAGCGGTTTGGCTTGCCAAAGACATTATTCTGTGCTGCCCACTTGAGGCTGAGCAAGAACTGCTCCATTTCGCGCTCGGTCCGGGCTTCCAATTTTAACTTGCGCTCGGCATTACAGACTGTAAACTTGTGGTGGGTCACGTAGGGATGGACGGTGCCGCCCGTGTGGCGATGAGGTGTCGATTCTGTTTGCCCTTGGGAAGAATGTTCCAGGATCGAGCGGTGCAGGCGGCGCTTCTGCCGAACCTCGAACTGCTGGTCCATAAGAAAAACGTCGTGAAGGATGGTGCTGTGGGCCTGCTCCACGATGAGGATATAGCTTTCACGCACGATAAACCAGCGCGGGCGCCTGTTTTCATACAGATACAGCAAGTCAAAGGACCGCTTGAGAGAGCTTTTGGAGTGGATGTGCAGGTATCCCTGCTTGCCTAGGGTGCCGGACAGGGGCGCCATCTGCACCGCCATAGTGCTCAATTCGAAAAAGCGGCACAGGCGATTCGCTTGAGGCTTGAAAGTAACAAAGGAAATGAGCTTGATGAGGTAGTCGGTCAGCTGCTCGCGGTAGTCGCGGTCGATCGCTGCCTGCTTTTCGCCTGCATCAGGGGAGCGCCACGTAAGGTAGTGCGACAGCTGTCCTTTAGGGAAACTGGGTAGAGCATTGTCCTGTTCCGTCGAAAACGGGTTGGTAATCGCATCCGTGACTTTTTCTGCGCGAAAGTAGGCATGTAGCGCTATAAAATCGCGCGTTTCCCGGTACACTATCCAGTGCATCCTTGATCCATAGGCCAATTCTAGGCGGAAGAGTGTATGTCCTGATTGCGCGAGATGGATCGTGTCGGTAATCGAGACACGCAGGTGCTGGAGCAGAACGGGCGCCCGCGCTTCGCCGTGCTCGTCTCGGTCGAGATGCATTTTGAGCATAGCCACCGTGAGAAGCCCCGTAGAAAGCTCGCTAACTACGTTCACCGGCGCAGCGCGTTGATATTTGGGTTTCGACTCCTTGCCGCGATTCCAGCGCAGCATCTGTTTGAACGTGCGCGATCCCGGCGGGACATGCTCGCCCGACTTGGAATGGCGTGCCTCCATAGAACTGTTGCGGGCTGATGCATCCAAGACAACGGGTGCCTCCGGAGGCACTGAAGGCGGCTGCTGCGCAGTCTGTGTAGGATCAGCCGCACGATCTAAGACCATCTTGGTCCGCTGCCGTGGAAAACCAGCGGCGAGTGGCGGCCGAGGCGCCCGGAGGTCTGTGCCCGCTTCGCCCTCCACTTCGACACGACCGCCGTCCGTGGCTGGTCGTTGTGCTGCCCTTGTGCCCGCGTGTTCTTGCCATGGCACAGAGTGATTTTCTAAATGTACGTCTCACATGCTTACCACAGCGCGCGATTGATATTGTACAGCGCGCGATTGACGAAGATGTCAAGCACAATTACCAGGAGGCGTACGTACAGTATCAGAACAGTCTGGACTACTTCATGATGGCGATCAAATGTATGTATCCTTGCTAACAAGAGACGAAAAGAACGAGAAGCTCAAGCAGCTAATCCGGGAAAAGTTTATGGAATACCTTGACCGGGCTGAGAAGCTCAAAGAGCATCTCGGCCAGGTCGCGCATGCCGAAGGCGCCGAGGCGCAGGGCAAGGGCGCGAGTCTGAGCGCAAGTGCTGAATCGAAAGGTGAGAGAGATGATTTGGATGCAGAAACAAAAAAGCTGCGCTCGGGGCTCTCGAGTGTGATCCTTACAGAGCGTCCAAATGTCAACTGGGATGATGTGGGGGGCCTCAGCACTGCGAAAGAGGCGCTCAAAGAGGCGGTTATTCTGCCCATGAAGTTTCCACAGCTTTTCACCGGCAAGCGCAAACCGTGGAGTGGCATTCTGCTGTACGGACCACCGGGGACCGGAAAGTCTTTCCTCGCCAAGGCAGTGGCCACACAGTCGAACAGCACGTTCTTTAGCGTGTCAAGCTCGGACTTGGTATCTAAGTGGATGGGTGAGAGTGAGCGCCTCGTGAAACAGCTATTTGCGATGGCGCGCGAGGCGCGTCCGTCGATCATCTTTATTGACGAAGTTGACTCGCTGTGTGGTACACGCAGTGAGGGCGAGAGCGAGGCGAGCCGACGCATAAAAACCGAATTCCTCGTGCAGATGAATGGCGTCAGTAACGACGACCAGACCAACGTGCTAGTGCTCGGGGCCACGAATATTCCGTGGGCTTTGGACACGGCGATCAAGCGCCGCTTTGAGAAGCGCGTGTACATTCCCCTGCCTGAGCTCGATGCGCGGCGTCGGATATTTGAGCTCAATATTGGGTCGACACCGTGTCAGCTTTCGCCCAAGGATCTGCGCCTGCTTGCGAGCGAGACGGAGGGGTATTCGGGCGCCGACATTGCTGTGCTGGTACGCGAGGCACTGATGCAGCCGGTGCGCCGTGTTATGAATGCGACGCACTTCAAGCGCGTAACGGTCCCATCGACGGACGATGGTGCATCGCCCGCGGTCAAATATACACCCTGCTCTCCCGGTGATCCTGACGCACAGGAAATGACCTGGGTAGACGTCGGCTCTGACGAACTACAGGAGGTATGTATCCCGGCCTTACGCAGCCGCCGCTAGTGATGAATGATTTTCTTCGGGCCCTTCACAATGTGCGGCCAAGTGTGTCGGCCGCCGACAGTACGTGTACGAACGACTGACAGTAGTCCAAAAGCATTTGGCTTTCACGCAGGAGGCTGGCATCGAATAGCAGATAGACTAGCGACGATCTTCATCGAGGTGGGCTGGTGTGAGTAGGTTCAACGTACCTCGTTCGCGCGACTTGCGCGACGCGCTGTACAACAGCACGAGTGCCGACTTCATACGCTCGGCCGGTGCCGATTGCACACTTTCGAGGAAGAAGGCGCGGTCCGAGGCCGGTACAGCATCGATCGGCAGGTGCTCGAGTGCGTTCGAGACCCATGGCAGGACGGCCGTGGGAAAGTCGGCGCCCAGCGTGCACATAGACGAGACGACAATGGGCATGATCTCCGGCGGAAAGTGCGTGACGAGGCCGGTGAGCAGAGCCACACAGGTCGCTGCGCCATGCTCGCCCACGACGTTTCGTGCTGCATCGACTAGCACGCGCTCTGGCGGCGGCACTTCATGCGCACATTCGATGATCGTGCGAACGAGGTCGGCCGCGATACCGACGACGCCAGGTGAGAGTGCCGCAAGAGCACGAAGGGCCATCGTGTATGCTTGCGCAAACACCGGTGATAGGTAGAGCAGAGTGGGGGCGGCACCCAGCGTGACGAGACAGGTGTGCAAGTAGTCGTCGAGTACGTCCGAAAGGGCATCGGGGCTCGGCGCCTCGCTCAGCAGAGCGTGTGTCTTGGTAGTGATGCGCGCGAACGCATGCGCCATCTGCGCAAGCAGCGGCTCTGCCGCGCCGCGCCCATACTGGTCGATCGATTTGCCGATGATCCACACGTAGCCCGAGAAGCCCGTCGCTTCATAACACGTGGCAAAGCGCTCGAGGATGCGCGGCAGGACCACACGCGCCCGATCGCCAAAGAAGATGAGCGCGCGACGCACAAGCGCTGATACACGCTCCGAGATAAAATACACATGCCCATGGCACTCAAGTAGGCGATCGAGGATGGCGTACGCCTCGGCGCACGTCTGTTCGCAGGCCTCAGGGAGTGTGCTGGCGAGTGTGACGCCAATGACTTGAAGCATACGCGTCAGCTGCTCCATACGGTCGGCGGCGCGCATAAGGGCGGGCTTAGGGGCTGCTGGCATCGCTGCCACCTCATGCACCTCTTCCAGCAGCGGCTGCGCCATAAAGAGTAGTGACTGCGCGGCCTCCGCAGGTGGCATCGCGGTGACGACGTGGGTAAGCGCTTCGACGACAGCGAGGAGGTCGTCGACGGCAAGCTCCTTCTTGACCGACCCGTAAAAGTCAAGGAGCTGCGGGAAAAGCGGCAGGAGCGACTCGCGGCAGTCCTGACACAAGAAATTGAGCGCTTGGGCCGCTGCTGCCGAAATATCGCGGTCTGCGCCCTGGAAGCCAGCCGCAATGAACGCCCACACATCTGGCACAAGCTCGGCGTGCTCGGCGACCCACTCTGTGTAGCGCGAGACGACAAGTAGGGCAGCATACCGCAGGCGGGGGTGCGGCGGCAGGTGCGAAAGCGCGGCAAACACGCGCGGGATGACGGTGCTGTCGCGCAGCGATACCTGACCTCCCATCGAGCGCATTGAGAAGAGGGGCGCCTCCATGTCCTGCCAGCGCAGCTCGGGCGACTCGTGCGCAAGGGCGGACTCGATGAGCTGCAGTGAGCGTTCGATGCAGCGTTCTGCTCCGAGCACGTAGCAGCAGTCCTTGAGGGTATCACCCATATAGTGCCGGAAGCTGCGGAAATCATCGCGGTCCTGCCCAGTAAGCTCTTCATCGTCGGGGAAGCGCAGATGACGCAGGATAACAGCGAACAGCTGTTCGTAGATGCGCTCGAACGGCGCCGTAGAGTCCGCCCCGTGCTCGGCGGCACGGTGTACATCGGTAGCGAGTAGATACCAGAAACGGAACGTGATCTGCACAATGTCCAAGTCGTGGTACGAGGCACAGTCGAGAATAGCATGCACGACCGGCATCATGGCGTCGGGGTGCTGCAAGCAAAGGGTATGGTACGTTTCACCCGCCTGCACAACGACGCGACACAAGCCACGCACGCGGTCCTCGTCATCGCCAGCATCAGCAATGGCGCCACGCAGGGACTGAATTCTTGGCAGGATGTACTCAATGACAGACTGGTTGTCGTCGATCTCCTGGGTCTCGTTGACCAAGTCGCACACCACGTCCACTGCGACATCGAAAAGCTCCTCGGAAGCGAGCGCATCAAATGCACATGCGAGAAGCGGCGTGTCGGCCAGCTGCGTTGCAGCGACTTCGCCAGCCTTGAGCCAGCTGCGCAGACACGCAAAGACAGTCGCCTGAATCGCCGGCGTCACGCCGTCCGCCTGCATGTACATGACCAGCACCTGGAGCACGGTGGGAGTGTGCTGCGTGAGCAGCTGCGGTACGCGCTCGTGGTACGTGGCATTGTCGAGTGGGATGCGGTGGTTGTTGGTGACCTCTTCCGGCAGCACAGTGAGGAACTCAAGCAGTGTGCCGACGGTGGCAGGTGTGCCGCCGAAGCGCTCGACCATGCCGGGGATTACCGCACCCCAGCGTGCCTCGGGCATCTGCAGGGCTAGCGCTGCGAGCGCGAGACACAGTTGCGTCTGCACGACGCGCGGCCCTGACGTGTAGAGGTCAAGGGCATGCAGCAGGGTATCGCGGAGCTGGACGAGTGTCTCAGGCGGTAGCTGCTCCAGGTCAAATGTGACCTTAGAGCGGAAGGTCTGAGCGGCGAACAGACGCGACTCGAGGGGCAGGTCCCGCTCGAGCAGCAGCGTGTTGGCCGTGGTCCATGCCTGCGGCGTCTTCTGGAAGCGCTGTAGAGCCTCGTTCGCATGCTGCTTGGCACGTGTATCAGGGTCATGATACAGCACCTGCAGCGCAGCCAGCACAGCGTCTACCTCGACTGGCTCGCTCATTCAAATGCAGGAGCTCGACGGCACCGTCGTTCGCACCAAAGGCGACGGCTGCGGCGGGCGCCTGTGTTGCTTGTTCCACATTATGTCATCATGACAAGCTATGAGTCTGCGCGCAGCGCTGACGGCGGCGACTGGAAGAGCGCCCGGTACAAGGCGCTGTTTTCGAAGCGCCAGTCAGGCGATGGCCACGCAAAGACATGCTCTAAGAGGCGCGATGCGGTCGGGCGCTTGTCGGGATCAATCTCGAAGCAGTTCCGCAAAAAGTGTGCTGCCGGCTTGGACAGCTTCACGTCCTGGGGTACGGGCGGAGCGCGACGCTCCGCGCCGATTTTGAACATGGCCTGCATGGCCTCCTCGTCGGACCACGGGCGTCGGCCAGCGAGCATTTCAAGCACAACACATCCAAGACTCCAGATATCGACCTTAGCACTGTAGCCCTTGCGCGATAGGCTCACAACCTCGGGCGCCATCCAGAAGATGCTGCCCTGCACCGACATATTCTCGACATTGGCGTAGATATCCTCGCTGCGGCGCACGGTGCCAAAGTCCGAAATCTTGCAAGTACCATGGTGGTCGACGAGAAGGTTGTCCGCCTTCAAGTCGCGGTGCAATATGCCTTGCTTGTGTAGGTACGCGAGACCCTGCAGCGTCTGGTTCAGAAAGGAGCTTGTGGTATCCTCCTCGAGCTTGCCGTGCCGCCGCAGACAGCTCCCAATCGAGCCGCCCGACACGTACTCAAGGAAAATGCTCAACGTGTCGGCCGTCTCTTCGAAGCCGAGGCAGGTCACCACGTTCGGATGGTCCAGCTCCCGCAGCGTGTTGATTTCCGACTTGAGCGCTGCCACAATGCTCTGCTGCCGCGATGAGTCGCGGTCGGCCGCCGTGCGTGGCAGCTCCACCTGCTTGACCGCAATCATCTCGCCGGCCGTCGCATTGAGTGCGAGATACACTCGCCCATATGTGCCCTTGCCGATCAGGTCACCCTTGACCCACTTGAACACAGGGCGCTGCGCTGGCTCCACGCCCGCCTCGCCCGTCGGCACAACGCCCACCGACTCGGCGCCGTTCGTGCGCATCTCGATCATGCGTCCGCCCCACAACTTCGTACTCCGCCGGCGCTGCAACACCTCCTCCTTCTTGAGCACCTGACGACGCGCCTCGTGGTTCGTACTCTCAAGCAACCGCCGTCGATTCTGCGCAATTACGCGGATCGAGTGGCTATTGCGCTGCAGCGGCCGCGGCGCCTTGCGCGGCATGGCGACCGCCACACCTTCGCGTGGCAGCGCATCGGTGGCGGTCCAGGCACGCCCACTTGGCGCCTCGGGCATTTGTGGCGACGTATCAAAGAGCGGACGGTCAAGGTCGTGGCGCGGGAATAGCGAGTCGAGCTGCTCGTACAGCTTCTCGGCAGGCGGGCGGAAGGCCCAGGTGTGGGGCTGTTCTTGCATGACTGTGCCTGCCGGGGATGTGTTCACCGTGAGCACTGGGCGCTCCTCGCGTCCACGGTGGCCGGGTGATGCCTCCGTGGGCGTGCGCATCGTAAGCGTCGATGCATCGAGGGGCTGCGCAAACGTGCCGCCCAGCGTGTCGTCCGAGAACGTGTCGAACGAGTCCCCGCGGTCCTCGGACATGCGCACTCGCGCCATGAGCCGCTGCATCGATGCTGCGGCCTCGTCGTGCTCAGAGAGGCTCGAGCGCGGCTCCTGCTCCATCGAGGGACGTGCATCTGTGCGTGGACTCGAAATCGAACTCGTCGGCGACGGCGCCGTAGGGAGGGGGCGCAGCATAGGGCTCGTCGCATTCTCCGGGTTGCCCTTGAACAGGGGGAATAAGCTGTGCTCCTCTGGCACGAACATGGCGCGCCGTGGCGACTCAGCGCCGCGCCCCAGGAAGCCAGGCGCCGCTCCGCTGCCCGGCGTGGGATACACCCACTGCCGCAGCTTGGCGTCTGATGCACTGCTAGAGGGCGAGATTACATTGCGCCGCTGCAGGAGCGGCGTCGCTGGCGACAGGTTCGCACGAGACGCCGCGTCGCTGTCCGACATGTGAAAGCGCGATAGGGTATCCGAGGACTCACTCGTATGCCGTGAACGCGACGTGGCTGCCGGCACAGGCATGCTGCTTGGCCGCGGCACATACCGATGCGCCGGATGCGCCGGCTGGAGCGAGGGCGGCGCGCCTGCCGAGCTGCCTGCAGTCATCGGCACCCACTCGTCCGAGGCGTGGGACGATAGAGTCGCAGCCGGGACGACCTGTCCTGGCTGCAGCGCCAGGTTCTCAGGCACCGGCGCGCCCATCGATATGCCTGGCAGCACGGGTGAGGTATTGTGGGCCATGAGCACAGGCGACGGCCGTCCAGAATGCGGACGCCGCGCGTTCGTAGGCGACGAAGCCCAGGGAGTCTTGCCGAGCGCCTCGTGCATCATTCGCGGAGTCAGGCGGTCCATGCTGCCGCGCGGAAGGGGCGCAGGCGGTGCGCCGAAGCGTGGTATCTCAGGCCAGGGGGGTGCGCGTTGTTCGTCGACGGGCGGCTCGATGCGGAACTTGATGGTGCCCTTATCGTCGCCAAACTGGAGGCACAGTGCCAGCAGGGTATCGTCATCGATGAGCGGCGAGTGCGACAGGTCTGACTCGCCGATTTCCGTGCGCACAAGGCCCCACAGGCTCGCGTCCGTGTAGGGGAGCTGCAGTTTTTGCAAGATTTTTTCGCGGATGCGCGGGCCGGTATCCAGGCGCGATACAATTACAACGGAGAACTGCTCGTTGTCGAGCGTTGCCTGGATGAGGATGCGGTCCGACAAGGCGGTTTCGCTCGAGTGCCCTGAGCTCTGGCTGCGCATGCTCGTTGACGAGTAGGGTCGCGACGACAGCACGCCATAGCCATGCTGCTGCGTGCGCCGCGGCGAATAGGTCCACGGCATCTGGCCCCAGTCTTCGCTGCTGGACGTCGTATGATGCGAAAGCGCGGACGACGGCGTTCCATCGTCCACAGGGGTGTAAGCCGACCGTAGCGGCGGTGGTGCGGCGTGGTGCGGCGGCAGCGGTGGCGCCTGTACATTGGAATAGGCATGCACCACGTCATGCCGTGCACTCATGCCGTGCACGCCAAGCGGAAGACCAAGCCAGGAACAGGTGGGACTGCACGCGTAGTGTCTTGACTCGGGCCGACTCCGAAGCGAACCGAAAATTCTCAAGGGACCTACTAGGTCCACTTAGGGGGTCCAGCCAGGGCATCAGCCCTCGCCGCGGCCGCGGCGTGCGGAGATGCAGCGGAGAGGCGCTGCCGCAAAGCGGCTTGCGCACGAGTGGCGCGCTCTTGCGAAGCTCGATGCACCGGCAGATGAATTCATCATGCACCTGGCGCCCGTGAGCGACGATGATCTGATGCACTGGCGTGCCGTCGTGCAGCCGCCGCCGACGGGGGTGTACGGCGGAGGGCGCTTTGAACTGGAGATTGTTGTGCCGGACACGTATCCTATCAAGCCGCCGTCAATGCGGTTCCGCACGCGCATTTTCCACCCGAACGTGCACTGGAAGGTATGTCCTGTGGCTCACACAGACGGGGGAGATCTGCCTCGATGTGCTTCAGACGCAATGGAGCCCGGCGTGGACGCTGCACAGCGCGTGTACGGCGGTGCTAGCGCTCCTCGACGCGCCCGCGCCGGAGAGTCCGCTGAACGTCGATGCGGCCAATCTGCTGCGCACGGGCGATGCGGTGGCGTACCGTTCATTGTGCCAGATGTACACACGCCTGTATGCTATGGCGTAGGCCGCTCTATAGAACAGTAGGCTAGCGACTAGCAGCAGCCGCCCTTCTTGGTCTGGCCGCCGTCATCCGCCGACGGCTGCACCGAGATAGTCTCGCCGCCCGACGGCTTGATCACGTCGTCAGAGGACTGCAGCGCCTTGTTCGACACAATGTGGTAGATTTCCGTGAGGATGTTTTGGAACGCCTGCTCCACGTTCGATGCGTCCAGCGCCGAGGTCTCGATGAACGAAAGGTTGTTCTCCGCAGCAAACGCCTTCGCTTCTTCGGTCGGCACGGCGCGCAGGTGCTTCAAGTCGCTCTTGTTGCCCACAAGCATCACGACAATGTTGCTGTCGGCGTGGTCGCGGAGCTCCTTGAGCCAGCGCGACACGTTCACGTACGTCGAGTGCTTGGCGATATCATACACGAGCAGCGCACCCACGGCACCGCGGTAGTACGCCGAAGTGATCGCACGGTAGCGCTCCTGGCCCGCAGTGTCCCAGATCTGCGCCTTGATCGTTTTGCCGTCGACATTGATGCTGCGGGTCGCAAACTCGACGCCGATGGTGCTCCGGCTGTCCAGGCTGAACTCGTTCCGCGTGAAACGCGAGAGCAGGTTCGACTTACCCGTGCCCGAGTCACCAATAAGCACCACCTTAAAGAGGTAATCGTAGTTCGACTCTGCTGCCATGCTGCTGGAGCCTAATAGCGCAACGCAAACGCGCGACGGGCTCGCCGCCCCCCGCGCCCAAATGGTATTCGGCCGAGTCCTGTGTGCCTATAGGTCGACGCCCAATCACCCGCGCGCGTGGGCGCCGCGACGGTGCCGGTCAGATCTTGTACACGACATCTGTGGTCAGGGCAGCAGACGTACCGTCGGCCATCATAATCTGGTTCGCCTCACTCATCGCCTCCAGGGCAGTGCGCGCTACCTCCATCTCGAACGGCGGGCCCGCCGCGTTCACAGCCTGCAGCAGCGCAGGTAGTTCCACAAACTCCTCGTCCGCAAACGTGGACGACAGTGCCTCCGCCACGCGCGCCCGGAATGCCTGCAGCTCCGACTCGGGCACCTCTGGTGCTGAGACAGCCTCGGCAGACTTTTCGGCAGCGCGCGTCGCAGAACGCGTACCGTACGTCGACGTTGTCGCCGGCGTCGCGGATGGCTGGCCGCCCAACTGGCGGTCTGCCTCGTCCTCGTCCCAGGCCATGTCGTCGTCGTCGCTTTCGTAGCTGTCTGCCCGTGAGGTGCGCGGGCGCTTGGCCCTGCTGGGCTTCATGACCTCCTTGAACAGCGCATACCGAAGGAGGGCCTCGGCGGCCTCGGCATCCTGTTCCTCGACTGTCGCACTGAGCCGCGCCTTGGCATACGCTGTCGCCAGACGAATGAGCGTCTCGAGCGTACGCGCTGTGAGCGGCGCCGTGCGGCGCACATTTCCGCCCTGTTCGTCGTTCCGCAGGTTGGCATACACATTCGAGATCCACGCCGCCGCGCCAGGGCTGAGCACCGGCGCGACTCGCGACTTGGCGTACTGCAAGTACTTTTTGAGGAACGTCATCGACAGCACTTCGGCACGCCCACTGTCGATGCCGGCATGCAGCAGCGGGTTGTACTTCTCGAACGGCGACTCGTCCTCAGGCGCCTCGGCCGGCTCAGGCGCCTCGGAACCGCCGCCCACGTCGAGCACCTGGTCCAAGCTGTCCTTGGCCGGTACGCCCACGGGCTGGCCCGGCTGCACATAGCGGTGCATGCGCAGCACATGCTCCGAAATACGGCGGTCGCGTACCTCGTCAATGTCGTCGGTAATGACAAAGAGCAAGTCAAAACGCGATAGCAGCGAGTCAGGGAGCGCAATGTTGCGGCCCGGCTCCTTGTGCACATCGTATTGTCCATAGATCGGGTTGGCCGCGGCAATCACGGAGCAGCGCGCATTGAGCGTCGTGTGAATGCCGGCCTTGGCGATGGTGACAGTCTGCTGCTCCATCACTTCGTGGATCGCGACGCGGTCCACATCGGACATCTTATCAAACTCGTCGATGCATACTACGCCGCGATCAGCGAGCACCATAGCGCCAGCCTCAAGACGGCGCTCGCCCGTCTCGCGGTCCGTCGTCACCGCCGCGGTCAGACCGACACCACTGCTGCCACGACCGGTCGTGGCAATCGCCAGCGGCGCCATATTCAGCACAAAGCGGAGCATCTGGCTCTTGGCCGTTGAGGGATCGCCGACCATGAGAACATTAATGTCGCCACGAATGTGCGTCCCATTCGGCAAGTTCTTCTCCTGACCGCCCAGCAGCATGAGCAGCACGGCCTTCTTCAGGTACTCGTGCCCGTATATCGAGGGTGCGAGCGACTCGGCCAGCAGGTCAAACACGCCGCGGCGCCGCGCAATCTTGTTAATGTTGCGGATGTCTAGGTCACTCAGTGCCATCTGCGAGATGCCGCCGCCCGCCTTGTTCGAGAGCACAAACACATAGTTGCCGACCATGAGCGTGCGGAATGTCGACGTGGTACTCTGCCCCACGCGGTTCCCGAGCGACTTGTACATACCGACGAGCTGGATGCGGTCGCCCGGTTTCACCTTATCGACAAGGTCATCGTCCATTACCACATCCACACTGCGTGGCAGCTGGCCCGGCGGCGCGCGTTCCGGCATTTCCTGGATACTGATCATCTGGTGGTCACGGAAGGTGCACAGGCCATACTCGGTCGTGAGGCGGTTTCCGCTCTCGTCCGTTGTGGGATACGTGCTAGACGTCGGCGGGCCGCTGCCGTACATCGTCGCATCGCGGTACTCGCGCATGTGGAAACGCGACGTCGCATCGCAGTAGTGCACTGACTTGACAATCTTGGGGCGCACGAGCGAGCACCGCGTCACAATGCCTTCCAAGCTCATAAGCTTACCGAGGTGCGTGCTGCGCAGCATGCGCGTACTGACATGATTATCACCAAAGCTGCCGCGCACGCCAATGTGGTAGAGCTTGCCCTGGATATCGTCCTTGAGCGGATCGTGCAGCTGCTCCACAAGCGCTTGCAGCGCATGCTCGAAGGGAGGTAGGAAGTCGTTTGGCTCATCCAGCAGCCCCGTCGCATACGCCCGATTGTAGGCGCGCAGGTCGTCCACGTTCACGATGAGACGCCGCTCGTCCGCCGCCAGCATACGCCGGATGGCGCTGCGGTAGTCGGTTACTCCACTCTGATCGTCGAGAAACTCGGCAAATGTCCGCGCGCGATCACGGTACAGGTCGTCATCGAGCGCCGGCACATCCAGTGCCATGCCCTCAGCCATGCTGGTCGCAGGCACGAGCACGCCGCGGCCCTCGGTGGGCGCGACGGCGGCGCGCGAATCTACACGTGGGGCCACGTGCTACTTACCGCGGCGCAGGAGCACGCTGCGCCTCGCTGGGCGCAGGCGCCTGGGCGCCGATGGCGCGGAGGCCGGCGAGCTGGGTAAGGCAGGTATCACGTACGTCATCGAGGGTATGTAGGTTTTTGCTCGCAGCAGCAAGGTACGCGGCGAGAAGGGCGTCCACCGATGCATCCGGAGGGGCCCCTGCGCCCGTCCTCGTGGGCGCGCGGTGTGCGACGGCCGTGGCTAGATGTCGCAGTGTCGTAGCGTCGTAGGCAGCGGGATCGTGGCGCAAACGCTCCATATACGCACATGAAGCAACAAGGCGGTCGTACAGGGCCGCGACCGAACGGCGCTCGGACGTGAGCGACTGGAGCTGGCGCTGCACATCCTGGTGGTCAACCGAGCCCAGCTCGTCCGTGTAGCTAGCAACGCCCACGGCGTCCTCGAGCACGACCTGCTCCGTCGGATCAGGGCGCACGTCAATCACGGTAGGTAACCATGCCGCGTCCTGGCGGTGCCACGCCGTCCAGCGCATCGACTGTGTGTCTAGCAGTACGAGCGGCACATGCGTTCCAAGGATCGCGCACAGCTCCTCGTGTAGCTGCGTGTCTTCTCTCGCCGGCGCCGTGCCTAGGGCGTACATGCCACACACGGTCCAGGTCGGCCACACCCGTGCCACTGATGTGAGTGGGCATCACGCACTTAGATCCCGGCGCAGCTGGAACGCCTGTATATCGATTGCGCCGCTCTCAGTGACGCTAAGGTCCATACAAGCATGGGCGGTCGGCGCCTGACCTAGAAGAACGCCAACGACTGGGTCAGTGGGGCAGCGTACCCTTGGCATTGGTGCCGCTTGCCGCCGCGCGCGTCGCATGTTCGGAAATCTGGAGCGCAGCAAGGGCATGTCTGCGTCAGTAGGTCGTACACACAGAGCCCGGGGGGCAGGGTCGCCCGGCGGTGCGCCTCGCATCTGGGGTCCGGCGCGCCGGGCGGCCGCGTACCTGGTCTGCTTACTAATCTAAGTCGGCGTGGCCGTCCGCGAGGGGTGTGGCGAAGGTCGTCGCGCATCACGCATGGCAACAGAGCCGCCGACTGCCGCCGATCCTGCAGCCGCGCCACGCCCAGGTGGTGACAAGGCGCCAGTAGACGAGTCACATGGGGCTCCGCAGCCCAAGCGTTTCTCAGCGCTGAACATTAACCAGCGATTTTTGCAGAGCGCGAAGGAAGCCGCGCCCAAGGCGCAGGCACCCGCTGCGGCGCCCACGCCCGCCGCGGACGAGGCGCGCGCGGCGCACAACCCCCGCCTCGTTACGGCTATGCCGGGTCGTGGTGCCGCAAGTGCCTCAACGGCCGCAGCGGATCCGGCGCGAAAGGAGGCGCCCAGAGACACCCCCACGGCACACGCGGCGCCGTGGGCGCATGTCAAGCCTGCGGCGCCGCGCGTGAACATCTCGTCTCACGACTTTCCCACCGCTAAAGAAGTTATGGAAGCTGAGAAAAAGGCCGAGGAGCGCGCTGCTGCGCACGCCGCCGAAGAGCATGCACGCCAGCAGGCCGCGAACGAGGAGCTTGAGCGATTCCGCGGAGCGCAGCTGCCGTCATCGGAGCATTGGGATGATATGGAGGAAGAGTCGGAGGACGAGCTGGACGATGTTGTCGAGTTTGGCGATGGCAAGCAGTACAAGATCTCCGAAGTCGAGGAAGAGCTCGCCAAGTCGCACCCGCCGCGGCCCGAGCCGCGTGTTCCGGCGTGGGGCCCAGCGTCACGCGCGCCGTGGCGCGGCGAGCCGGCCCGCGAGTCCGCGCCGCCCGTGTCACTCGCCCGCGCGCCGCCCGCGCTCGCATCCCAGCCTGCCCCTGCACCTGCACCCGCCGCGACCTGGGGGCCCCTGGCGCAGCGGCACTCGACGCTCACCGGCAAGCCGGTTCCCAAAATCGAGCCATCGGCGCCTGTGGTGCCCACCAAGGAGCGCGCGGCCGAAGTGGCCGCGGAGCAGCATGACGAAATGGCCACCGCCGCGGAGCGCGCGCGCAAGCGCCGCGAGCAGGACGAACAGGCGCGCGAGGCCGAGCGTGCGCGTGCGCGCCAGAAAGCCGCGCAGATTGAAGAGCAGCTGCGCGAGGCCGAACGCGCGAAGCGCGAGGCCCGTGAGCGCGAGCTAGAGGCGCAGCGTGAACGTCTGCGCGAGCGTCTGCGGGCGCAGCAGGAAGCGCGCGAAGAGCATGCGCGCCAGCGCCTAGAGCGTGAGAAGAGGGAGCGCGAGCAGCGCGAGAAGAGGGAGCGTGAGCAGCGCGAACAGCGGCGCCTGGCCAAGGAAGAGGCACGGCGCGCTAAGGAGGAGCCCGCGAGCTGGCGGCGCTCATCGCTGCCAGCCAGCAGCCCCGGCACGAGCACCGCTCGCACCGCGACCCAGGCCCCCGCGACCGTGCTGATCCCCGTCGAGCCGCCCGTGACGTGTGAGCCGCTGCCAGCCGAGGAGGCCCCCGTGTGGCGCCAGTATACCGTGCGTATGCCGCGTGCGCCACACGACTTGCGCCGGCCCTCTGAGGCAGCTGTGCGCGCGCAACGGCCGCGCGATCCACCGGGCCTGCTGCAGAGCTGTGAGCCGCCGCTGGACTATGCGCGTGTCGATGCACGCGCGACGGTCGTGGACATCCTGTTTCCTCCGCGCCGCGCGCGTGTGCACCTGCCGCAGCGGCGCATTGAGCCGGCGGCGCCACAACCGCATGCCCCACTGCGTCCGATGGACGAGGCGCGCTGGCTCGAGCAGCTGCTGGGCCATGTTGAGCAGCACCCCAGCAGCGCGCTCTTTGCGGACGAGGCGCCTTCTCACGCGGGCGCGCGGCCCCGCCGGAAGCGTGCGCCGCGCGTCAAACTCCCGCGTGCGCTTTCTTGGCGGCGGCCCTCGCTCAAGGCGCTGCGCCTGCCGTACGGCGGCCTCCTCGACGATCCATTCACGTCACCGGCGCCCGAGGTGCCGCTGCTGGACACGCAGAGTCAGAGCACGTGGGGCGCCACGCTCGCCCTGCCGCTCGTGAGCACCGCGCAGCCCGACCCGGCGGAGCATTCGCGCCTCAAGAGCATGTGGGCCAACTCGTCCAAGGACACGGAGTCGCGCCCGAAGAACTCGCTGCGCGATATCGCCACGGACGATGTGCTGCCGACACCGCTGCCACTTAGTATGCATGAGCTGCGTGAGGCACCGCCGAGCAAGCTAGACGTGCTTGCCATGCCGTTTCGCCCGAGTCAGTCGGCAGAGTCTGCGCCATGGAGCTACCCCCGCGACCGGGCGGCGCCAGCCAGCGCAGCGTACTACATACCGATGGGGGGATACGCGCCACGGCGCACAGGCGCAGAGGCAGATGCGTACGTGAATCCGTCCGACTACTCGGACTTTGTGCTATCTGACTCATGGTAGCCGCCCTCGGGCAAAGTGGGTGGCGGGGCCTAGGCCGCGCGATATAGGCACTGAGTTAGTGACGTCACGTACCGTGCACACGCCCGCCGGCACCGCGCTCACGTAGCACCGTCGCCGGCCGCGTCGCACCGCTGCGCCGTCGCCGGCGCGCCGCGCCTGTCTGGTAAAATTCACCGCCCTTCTCGAACGCCGGGTCGTGGAGGCCCAGGGGATCGTCGCGATCGGGCCGCGGGGTGGGCGCCGCTTTGGACGCGCGTGGCGGCCCGAGCACAGAGGCACGCACGTCCTTCGCGCGCAGGCCCAGCTTGCGCTTCTTATAGGCGCGCTCGCGCGCCGCCGCGCGCGGCCGTTGCACACCGAGCGCTTCGTACGACAGAGGTGCATCGGCGTCGTCGGAAAGCGACGGCGCATCGGCGTCGTCTAGAGTGCGCACAATTGTACGCTCGCCACGTAGGCGCGTCATAGGACGCCCATCCAGACCGCGTGCAGGTGCAGCGCGGCGGGCGGCGGGCGGCGCTGTGGCGCGCTCGCCTCGTAGGACTTCGCGCGCGGCGGCGTCGCCTGTATGTGCAAAGGCAGCGGCAAATAGTGCCGGATCGAGACGATCAGGTACCGCTTCTTCTTCCTCGTCCTGCTCTTCTGGCGTTGACTCGTCCAGCTGCGCGCGCTGCTGCCGTGCACGGCGCGAAAGCTTAGCGGGCTGGGCGCGTTGACGCGCCTGGGCCGCCGCACTACGGGCCGTCTTGTCGCTAAAGTTAGTCAAACAACATACCGGTTGCGCTGCTCGATCTTCGCAGCGGCCTGTTGCCGCGCAAGGGCGCGAGAGGCCGACATAGTTAGCTCCTCGACCTCCGAGTCTGAGTCGGTCTCGGACGAGGATTCCTCTCCCTCTGGGTCATCTGCTTCCGGGGCGATGGGTATATCCACTTCGCTTTCTTCGTCGTCCTCAAACGTCTGGTGCATCTTGGGTGCGGGCGCCACCGGCGCCGCCTGGCCACGTCTACTCCGGGCGCCCTTCATCGTGGCGACAGAAAAATCGATGAATTTCATGTGGAGGAGACCCCGCCAGGCCGCGGCCGTCCTGCGTCATGCCGCCAGGGGAGGGCAGTTTGGTCGACACGTTTACGACGTACCGAGATGAAATCGATGCCTTTCACGACCGCCGCGAGCGGCTCATTAAGACGTCACGGGATGTAACTGCCCTATCGAAGAAGCTCATATTCCACCTGCATCGCTACGCATGCACGGACGCGCCGGACGCTTATGCGTCGGCGCACACAAAGCTGCAGGAAATTTCGCTCCTGCTGCATAGATGCGGCAAGGATGAAGAGCTGGCTGTGCCGAATGGGGCGCCGCATGATACGATGAACCGTTTCGAGCGCTTTCTAGGCCCCTCGCTGGAGGAATGGGTACGTGCTTGTCACTCACACAGATCGAAGCCGCGTCGTTCTTGCACTTTCTCGAGCAGGATGCGCTGATCAGCTACGAGGACGTACAGGCCCTGCTCGTTGTTGACGGGCTCCAGTGCGTGTATGTGACACCAATGCGGTACCTCCTGGGGCTCTCTGACCTGACGGGCGAGCTCATGCGCTACGCCATCAACGCGATCGCCAGCCACAATCCACTCGCGAAGATCGAGCGCGTGCTGCAGATGCAGTATACTATCTACAGCGGTACGTTACAGCGACTCACGCAGCGCTCGAGCCGCTGGCCGCCACCTCAGGAGAGCTCCGCAAAAAGCAACAAGTTACGCTTTCCTCAATTCGCAAAGTGGAAGACGGTATGTTCACTATCCTGACAGACTCAGCTGCCTATACCATACGCGTACGCAGCGCCGAGTTTTCCAACGACCCGGCGACGTTGCAAGAGGTGGTCCGCCGCGCGCTCGCGGCAGGCGAGGAATGTGACGTCACGTAGCTCTTAGAAGGTAGGCGCCAGGATCCAACCAGCCCTGCGCACAAACATGATGCCCAGCGCAAAGAAGCCCACGCTCCACACCACAGTCATGTTGCCCCAGAACTTGGCAGGGTGCATCACTTCCTCAACCCAGAAGCGCTGCATCCACGTAGGCTGTACACCCGCACGGCGGCCGTGTCCAGGTGCATTCAGAAATCCAGGCTGCGCAGACCTAGGGGTTAGCCGCCTCTGTGCACGTACAGGTAAGATGATCCCTTGTTCGCCATGACAGTCGGTCTGGTCCTTCTTGGAGGTCGTGGCGACGGCCCTGCTTTTACATCACGTGATAAACCGTCCGCCTGGCGTGTGCGCGACGAGCGCCGCCAAGCTCGCACGATGCAGGGCCTCGAGTACACGGTTGCTGAGCTGCAGCAGCATGCGGACCGGTTGCGCGAGTACCTGCAGCCGCCATCTACGGGTCATGCACAGCTTCTCGCAGCGACGGATGCAGACTTGCGCCTCGTGTCGCTGCTCAGCGGCCGTCTCGACGGTGAGCCATGGAACACCCTCGACGCAGCCATCCAGCGCGAGAACAACGAGACTATATCCGATATCCAACACAGCGAATCACGCCTACGTGAAGTAATTTCAGATACTCTCGCACGACAGGGCATCGTGCTGGACGACGACGAAGACGTTGCCGAGTCCTTGGAGCGCCTCGTTGCGCTAGTGCCGCGCCCCGATTCCATCAGCCCGGGAAACACTCCTGCGACCAATGAGACGGACGAGCTTTATGAATGGCGTGCTGCGCGTGCATGCACACAGATTCTGGCGGATGCCGAGGACGCACAGGCCCAAGCGCACCAAGCTACCCACCATCCGGTGGACCAAATCGCCACGCTCCGGCGCTTGGCGACTTTGGTGGATGAGGCGCCCTATCGTGCGCCCAGCTCTCCCATGCTTGTGCGGACTATCGCTTTGTTGACGGACATGCGCGACCAACTACATCAGAACCTGGAGACTCAGTACAAGGCACAGCTTCGCAAAGTCTTGAACGACTTGCACTGGCCCCCACCCGAGTACCAAAACCCAGAAAAATGGTCCCAAAACGAGTCAAGAGACTCCTACCGCATCGCTGGAACTCCTGAATTGGAGCAGGCATGGGCCGACCTCATGGAGCTCCAGCTCACGGCCGCCTTACTAGGCCTCCGTCCACCGCCCACCTGCATCCACACACCTCCCTCGGTCTCTGGCATCGATGAGCAAAAAGTATCGCTGGCTGCTCCTGGATCAGATGGCTATGTCTCGCTCTTACCTGTCGACGTACTCATGGAGCCAATCTTGCTACGGTTCCGTTACCACTTTGATGGAGCGCGGCCTACCAACCGCCTCGACAAGCCAGAGTGGTTCCTTACGCACATCCTGGCCCTTGTTCGAATGAATGCTCATTTGTTCGAGCCTGCACCTGATGCTTGGACACGAGGCGGCGACGTGGCCGAACTGACCCGCTGTCGCCGTGGCGCGACAGCTGATGGCCCGATGCGCCAGCGCTACGTGGCGGTCGACGCCCCATCCGAGCTACTGCATGCCTTGTTGCATCCATTGCGCCTTAAAATCCAGGCATCCATGCCACGGCTTGTGAACGAGCGTGCCCTTCTTGCCCATATGATTTTCCAGCTCATTACCTTCGACGCGGAGCTCCGTGACACGTATCCACCAGCCGTGCTGGTCCACGGCGGACTGGGTGCTTGGAGTCTGGCAGATGAAGTGCTGGGCAATAATGTCTGGTTCCAGGCTTGGCTCGACGGCGAGCGCTCTTTTACCGAATCCAAGTTCGACTCCGTATTCGAAGAGCCAGGCGCTTGGGCACTCGTCCAGGCCGATACCATGGATGGCGAAGACGAAGACGTTGTTGAAGATCCCGGCGCTTCAGACTCAGCTACGACAACCCGATGTGCATGCACACTCATGAACGTATTGGCAGGCGTCACGGAACGATACCAACCGTTGCACTTATTAGAGCAAAAGTGTGCCTTTATTATTCAAGTCCAGCGCCCTCTCCTGGACCAGCTACTGACGCGTCTCACTCGCCATTTAGATGCGTTCGAGAACATGAGTTCGGCCTTTGCCAGAACCCTGCCCGGCGAAATTGCTTCGCTCTCGACAGGGCCTGGCAATGATATGGTCAGGGGTGTCAATGGTGTTACTCGGGTGGCCAAGGCCCTCTTGTCTGCTGAATATGTCAAACAGCAGCTCGAAGAATGGTCCGAGTCGTCCTTTTTCCTTCATATGGCTCATGAACTCCATCATATCGACACAGCATCGCCCCTATATCGGCTTATGTCACCCAAGAGCACGGCAGAACGGCTCGACTCTGCTAGTCTCATGTCCTTGCTCCACCGTGGTATCCAGCGTGGTGCATCAGCAGCAGCATCATTTCGCCCATTATCTCTCACGACTAATCCAAATCCTGAATTATCCTTGTCTGCGGAGAGAAGCGACATTTCATTTGGTGTGTGGGACCAATATATCGACAAATTCGCTCAAGTAAGCTCCCGCTCTGCCCAAGCTCTCGAAAAATTAACCGTGGCCGAAGTTCTCGATGCTATGAGACCCTATGTGCTGCGCCCCTGGAACCGGGATCCCGAAGGAACCAGCGAAGAGAGCGAGGCAACCGCTTCGATCCCATCTCCTGAACTGGTCCCAGCCCTGGCCAAACTAACGACCCTGTTGCAGCAAATTGTACAGGTGCTTCCGCCATCGCTTCTTCTTCCTACATACAGGCACATTGCAGCTTCCCTCTCGAATGCTGTGGTAGAGCGTATTCTCATGCCAAATGCACGCATCACACAGCGATTTACCCCGGCCCAAGCGGAACGATTCCGTCAAGATGTGGACCAAGGTTGGCTGCATGTGGCAAGAGAGCTGACAGAACACCCGAAAATTTCAGCACGCCTGCGCAATGGTATGTCCACTGGATTGGGTCGAAATCCTGAAATGGCTTGGCGATTACTCGTAGATGCTATTCAGCAGCTTTCGTGATGTAATGCACAGTTAAAAAAAGCTTCCGCGCCGGGAATTGAACCCGGGTCTGGGCCGTGGCTGTCTCAATGACAAGGCCCCGTCATAGCCACTAAACTACGCAGAACTAGTGGTCAATTCCAACGAGGAAGAGTTATATATACCAATCGCATATCATGTGAACGCTGGATTAGGATCCATTGTCAAGCTCGATACTTTTATGCACTCCTCACGCAAAAGTCTTGTAAAATTATATCTCAATATGGTGCCACGAATGTTTGGTTCCATAGACTCATCATGTATGTGCCATCCATCCTTAAGGGTCTATGCAATGATACATTCGCAGAAGCTGTCGTGAAACTCCCTTGACTTTGATATAACCTACTAAGCAAATAAGTAATCTGGTAAATACTTCAGTAAGCAACAGCTCGGTGGTGCAGTGGATAGCATGTGGGGCTCATATACAATATGCGGCACCCCAAGGTCGACGGATCGAAACCGTCCTGAGCTACATTTTTTGTCAGCAACCTATACGAGCTTCAACGCTGGCATCTACCTCATTTTTGCCTTTATTTCTACCTCTGCTTTTATGTGGGTCCTATACACGGGTATCTATAATCGCCAAAAATGAGTTTTCGGCTTAAATTATACAATCGTTCATCTTCTTCAAATTCTTCACGAGTTAGAAATGTTTCCTCCTTGAGAAGCTGACTTTGTACCGTAGTATATTGAGAATGAATATCCCTGGACAAAGGTGTTTCCTCATCAATCTTTGTCACTCGCTCATCCACCCAGTACTTTGAGCGCCCGCCATGGGCGTATCGGAGTCCAGCCCGGCTTCTGCGAGTATATGCTGATGCATGATGAACGACGTTGTCATTATTGGGTTCATACCTTTGGTACGAATATTCAGTTCCATGAATCGTCGACATTGTATCCGAGAAAATATCCCCTGTGCCGAAACTGTCCCGAAATGCATACAAAAACGGCATGCGTCCGGCCAAGCGCTTCGGCGATTCGACATAGTCTTTGAATGAGAATGCATACATATGTGCCATCGCGAATAGAGGCATCTCCATGCAAATCAAGGTGTCTTGCAACGCAGCAGATAGGTGGCTGTCATCCACCACACCTCCAACTAAGGTATCAGCTTCGACGGAAACTTACTTTTCGTGATCAATCCCGTTGCCACTAGAATAGAAATCGTTAATCCCTGCCAAAAGCTGAAAAAGATAACACCTTTGACACAAATAAATTTCGCTCCAACATGGAATGGTGCTAGTTCTTGGTTTAAACAAATCCAGAACATAGTCAAAGCATACAATGCCACAAATACAGAAACATCTAGTAACTGGTTAATATTTTGAGTGCGTACTGTAGAGCATTGCAATCCACGTATAGCCGTTACTGACATGGAGGCGTCCATCTTGGTATTTACCGTACATCTTCAGTAGCACTGTAGCCACAGCTAGAACCGGCTTAATCTGGACGTATTCTTAATGTTAAAAAGGAATACTAACGCAAAATACCTCGCTTCAAAGTCAGGAATGTGTATGGATCGCTGAGGTCCATCGGTGGAAAAATCAGGTTAATAGGGAAGATATGGGGCGTCGGAGGTCTTCCCCTTAGCATGTTCAAGATTGCACTTTCTCCCGACAAATATTCCACTAACAAGCTGAAAAAACAGTAGATAACAAATGCCTATCGGTCAGAGCATTGCATTCATGACGCACCTCGTACAAATCTCGCATCAAGTCAATCATCTCTGCCAGTTGCAATGAAAATAAGGATATCGTGGAAGACACCGCATATAGCAAGGGCCTGAAAGGGGTAAGATTACCAATACTAACATGATTAAGATCCGTACCACATAGCGTTGTAGACGCGGCTTGAAGTAATGCTTTAATTGCAACCAAACAGAATACGACGATACGACGGTCGTGAATAATGTGGCCAAAGTGCATAGCAAGAGCAACGCTGGTGGCAATGACCTACCAGAACCCCAATCCTCTGGAGGTTCTCGAATGTGGGGACCGTAGTTACCTACACCTATAAGGGTGAAGGCCTTTTCGTCCCACATTCTCTAAGCGGAACGAACTAAGTTTAATGGATGTGCGAACACTCCACCTCCCATCATCCGAAGTCCTATATGCGCCTCATCCCCAATTGCATTTACAAAACTCTCACTTTATTCTAAAGCAACAGCTCGCAATTCCCTGCTTTGGAGGGGGAAAGGTAAGGCAAACAGTACACAGACATATAAACTTAGTCAGAACCAAATGAGGGTAACATCATTGTAGGTAGTTAGGAATAATTCTACTTCTTCACGACCTTCATGGTGTCCCAGGCTGCGCGCTCATCATCCGCCGCCTGGACTTCCTCTAACAGCGGGGTCACGTAGTTGTTATCCTGTCATGTTAATCGACTCACAAGGGATCAACACATACCTCCTCGGGCTTAGTCCATTGCTCTTGGGGCAGGTCACGCTGGAGAATCGAGCATTGCACCGCACGGCGGAAGCGGTAAGCACGGTCATAAGACTCGGCAGTAGACAGACGTGACAGAGCCTAGGTATGTTAGTCCAGTCCCCTACAACCAAAGAAGTGGCACACTGCCGTGCGCCAATCGGTGACACATACCTTCTGCATCTGCTGGTTCTCCTCAACGATCAAATCCTCGTACTTGAGACCCATCTGGCGGTAGCCGGCGGCGTTCGCGTAAGCGTTCGCAACAGGCTGAACGAGCTTAAGGAGGCTCGGTGAAGACTTGATAAAGTTCGCAAGAGAAATCGACTTCTAATGTGTGTTAGCATATGTTCTTGGGGGGGAGAACTCGTTAGACTATACATACCGACGCCATGGTGACTTCTCCGCCAACAACCGATGGATCGTAGGAAGGCAGAAAATGATGCACACACCGTGCCTCCATCCGTTCCGTCCCGCGCCGGTGATTTCTCATCAGATTCCACGTGACTCTCCACACCCTAGGGAGGTGGCGTGCACGCACCATGCTGAAGTTGTTACATGATGGTGCCTGCCAAAACTGTGGCTGTTCTAGGGGGCGGGATCACAGGTCTTTCGGCAGCATATACACTAGCAAGAAATCTACCCAGAGATTCTTTTAGGATTGTCTTGATAGATGCACAGAATCGTTTGGGTGGGTGGATCAGCAGTTGCCGGATACCAGTTTTTCCGAACCACCCGGATAGTGACACAGCGCTTTTAGAGGGTGGACCTCGAAGTATCCGTCCAGTGGGCTACAAAGGTCTTCGGACAATTGAACTTGTATGTCTTTTTGATTGCTTATCCAGCTCGATCAACTAGAACTTACCGATCGTATGATATTGGTCCCTCGTACCTCAGCATCCGCACAGAACCGTTTTCTATATTACAATGGGACTCTAAACCGACTACCGTCTTCCCCTTGGTCAGCTCTCACTTCTATTTTTCGGACTCCTTTTCTTCGTTCGGCAGCCCAAGGCGTGCTCCGAGAATGGAGCGTACCACGGTCCGATTCTCTCTCTGATGTTATGGTCGATGAATCTGTGCACAGTTTCATTTCACGCCGCCTGGGCGAGAATGTGGCGGAAACACTTGTTTCTGCTGTGATACACGGAATTTATGCGGGCGATTCTCGCGAACTTAGCGTCAAAAGTATTATGCCCTATCTCGTGAATCTTGAGCAGACTCACGGAGGCTTACTGCGAGCCTTATTACCCAAATCACTCAATCATTTATATGATGCAACACCTTTAAAATACCAGGAAGAAACATCTCAGAAATTGCAGGCTATCAAGGCAAGGATGAATCCGCAAAGGCTAAAACAGCTCAGGGATACCAGTATATATTCTTTCCCCAATGGCTTAGGCGAACTGATTTCATCTATTGAGGATCGACTTATGGCCATGCCCAACGTCGAAGTCTGGAAAGACGCTCCTTGCGAATCTATTCGTAGGGGCGACAAGTGGCTTATTTCAACGCGCTTTTCTTCCGAGCCTTTGGAATCGGATCGACTTGTCGCTACGATACCATCCCATCAACTTGCAGGCCTGTTGCCTGAATTACCTCATCTACGCCACAACCCTGCTGCTCATTTGGGCGTTGTCGACGTCGTCCTTGCCCCACCTCGTGGTGAAAACTACTCCTTACCTATCAAAGGCTTCGGATACTTGGTGCCTCGCAACGCCGCAGAAAATCACGATGAAATTCTAGGCACAGTGCTTGACAGTGATGCTGTGCCAAACCAGGGTCCGACCCGGTCAGATGGCTCTTCTTCATTTTATAAAGTTACAGTCATGATGGGCGGTCCTTATTGGCGTCATCGGTCGACGTTCCCATCCACTGAGGAGGTGAAGGAGAGAGCAATGCGTGCTCTTGAGTTTCAACTTGGTATCCCCTCTCATGTACTGGCCAGATACACACAACTTGTTCATGCACGCATTCTAACAAACACCATTCCCCAGTATCTCGTGGGTCATCAATATCGGATGAAACAGTTACATGAAATGCTGCAACAGGATCCTTGCTTGCGCAATCATTTGTCGCTATTGGGAAACAGCTATGGTGGTGTTGGCGTGAATGACTGTATAGCAACAGCCATGGACACTTGCGAGGCCATTGCTCAACACGAGCTGGGTCAACAAAACGAGCTCACAACTCAAAAAAGTACCGGTTTATACGAAATCGCACACAGTGTATAATGTAGTTCTATGAGTGATTTATTGCTGGTAAAAGGAAAGCAGATCCTGGACATCGTCCTTTGAGCCAAGGAAAATTGGCACACGCTCGTGAATGTTCTTAGGCTCGACATCCAGCACACGCTTTTCACCCGTTGTGGCCACACCACCAGCTTGCTCAGCGAGGTACGCCATAGGGAAGCCCTCATACAAGAGGCGAAGCTTACCGTCCTTCGATTTTTTGTCGGCAGGGTAACAGAAAATGCCACCGTAGAGCAAAGTGCGGTGCACATCAGCCACCATGGAGCCAATGTAGCGGGCCGAGTAAGGCTTACTACCATCCTTCGGATATTTCACGGAGTCCAGATACTTGAGTACAGGCTCGTGATAATACATTGAGTTACCCTCATTAATAGAGTAGATCTTTCCGCGGGCCGGGATTTGGATGTTCGGATGTGTCAAAATAAATTCACCAACAGAATTGTCCAATGTGAAGCCATTTACCCCATTGCCTGTAGAAAGCACAATGTTGGCAGACGAACCGTACATGCAGTAACCAGCCGCGACCATTTCACGACCGGGACGCAGAACATCTTCGAGTGAGCCCTGCGAGCCTTCGCGCACGCGATAGATACCGAAAATAGTACCGATGTTCACGCCTGCATCAATATTGCTCGAGCCATCGAGAGGGTCGAAGACAATGCAGTACTTGCCGGAGTGGCCGCCGTGTTCTGACACAATGATCACGTTCTCTTCTTCCTCCGAGACGAGAAGGGCGGCCTGACCAGAAGCAATCAAGGCCTTGACCATAATCTCATTCGTAAGTACATCAAGCTTCTTTTGGTCTTCTCCCTGCACATTTTGTTGACCAGCAACGCCAATAAGGTCGTTCAAGCGTGCCTTGCGGACAAGGTTTTCGATGAATTTGCAAATCGTTTGGAGCGAGTTTAAAAGCAAAGTCATTTCACCAGTAACAGTGGGATCATTTTTGTAACTTTTGATACCCTCAGTGAGGACGTGACGCTCGAGTGTGATGATATTAATCTGGTTCTGCTGCCCGAAATCCATAACTGGAGGTTGAGTTAGAAGCTTCATCGCGGTAATCCACGTACCGGTACAATCCGCTCATTGCCACGTGCGAATTGTAGATACAGCCTATTGTACGCACGCGTCATTATAATGCACGGTCCAACCTACAAAAAGTATTCGGAACTATTGCATTATAGGTCGCTCCATAAAGCGATTCTCTTGGGAGATCATCTATATTCGGGTCAAAGTATAAGCTTTACTCAGTCTTCAGACCGCTCTTCACAAGCTTTTGCAGCTCAGGCACCGTCGTCTCACCAAGATAGTTCTGAACCTTTGCTGCGCGCTCCTGAATAGCCACATTCGAATCAAACGCCACACCTGACAGATCCTTGTATGTCTTGCTAAGCAGTTCCATCAAAGGTTCCATGCGCTTTTGGCCTTCAGCGGGCAGGTTCTTTGCAAACTTCTGGAGACCTTCCACCTCCGACATTAGGTTGCTAACCAGACTTTGCGCCGCCTTCTCACCATCGGCTGCTTCTGACTTCGTCTTCTCCGCATATTCCTGTGACACCTTGGAAAACTTGTCCTGTAAAGAAGAAATAGTTGAGCTTGTCTTCTGAAGGTATTGCTGTTCATTCTGCTGAAGCTGCTCCACTGCTTGTCCTGTTTTCTCATAAATGTTCTTCACAGTACCCTTCACATGTGTATCGTACATCTCGCGCGACTTGCTGCAGTAATCGTTTGCCAGCTTCTGGCCCTGTTCGATTGGCGCCCTGCTTTGCGCATACAGGTCTTCCCACTTTACCTCAAAGGGGTAAGGAACCTTGCTTTTAGCGAAGGTCAGGACCTTCAAGGTTGTATGGTCAAGGATATGAAGCGGCTGACTGAAGATCGACACTATCGGCTGAGAGATGGAAAGTGCCTTAACGGTCACGGTCTCAGCAAGGTCATAGGCCTTTTGAAGGAGAGAGTGTGACTTGACAATGGACAGAGCATAGTCCACAGCACCTGACACCAGAGGGACGGCAGCGATGAAATCAACAGTTTCACTTTGGATTACAGGTGCTTGACTGCTGGTTGAGGTAGCCATAGTAAGTTTGGTAGTACTCGATTGTGGACTACAGCGCCACTTAAGGGTCCCATGAGCCCTGATCATAATCTATGAAAGTTTCCATCCCCTGCCTTCCTGATTGGTCTATCTCAACCTATGACGTTCCCATCCCAATTGGGAGAGAATCCAGGGCGTCAGTTCCACCAATGCGAGCAGTGTGTTTCTGCAAACCTCCACGTGCCATGACCACACTCCAATGTTGCGGGGCAAACTCGACGGGCCATGTGCATATCGCCCGCATTCCAAATGCTATCAGGGCATCGCCGGAAACTTGAAACTACAAATCAGACCTAAATTCATAAAGTAATTGGTTGTCGCTCTCGCCGGGGTTCTCTAAGTCGGGAGATTCATGAAGTCCATTCGCATCACTGCTTCGATATTTTTGTTCTAGTTTGTATGAGATGTACAACCCGATTGAACCACCTAGCAGATTCGCGATGACGTCTCCAAACTGAAACATTTTATACTCATCGTTAGGTTTGCGCACACTTACCGGTAACAGACTCTGAATATATTCGGAGCCAATACATCCGATAACAATGCAAAACAGGATGGTCAGACTCAATGGCGCATAGTTCCAAAATGCGGTATAATACGCGGACTGTTTCTTGTCAGATGTTTGTACTACACACCGTGTCGAGACTCCAGATCCAGTAGCATATAAAGGTGGTCTTATGGTTATATATATTGCGATGCACTTACGATCATAAAGCCAACGAAATGAAGTACCTTATCATTAATTTGAACATAATCCTGCGCAGATGGATGAAATCTACAATGTAAATTGAATTTAAGAACTTACCCAAGGAATGCCATCAGTAACAGGTCAAGTAAAAATAAAAGCATAATCCAAGGCCGGAAGCACAAGGGTACATCAATTTTGTATCCCCACTTTTCGGATATGGACGATATGCATGTCGATTTCAACAATTGTTTTATGCTTGACTTCACGAAAGGATGACATTTTGCTATTTGCTTTGCGCATTCACGCAAGAGCCCGCGCATGGGACTTCAGCAGTGCACTTGTTGGTGTGCCTGGTTGAAGAACCCGAGCCTTCTGCGACATGTGGAGGTCGAAGTTATCTTGCGATGGGGGATCTATAAGCGAAGTACCATCTCTTTGCCTCGAGGCAGTGAGAAGAGAAAAGGAATATCTACATACAGTCTGACAGGTTGCCAATGACAAGCAGAGTGGACAATAATAGTGTAAGAGCTAAAGGACCTGCCTTCACTCCGAAAGATGGCCCCGAACGTAGATATTCCGGCAGTAAGGAAAGCCTGTCTCGTATGGAGAAGGGTATGGAGCTTTGCATCATTACGAACAACCCCAATCATCCACATAAGAGGAGATTCGAGATTATTGTGTGTAGTTCTGTGCGCGAAGAGTCATTCGGGAGTTATTACGACGCAATCCACCAGGGATCACGTTGCCCAAGTAGCGCTGCATGCCGTCTCTGACGGACTTCGCATTGCGAACCGGGGTGCTTTCAAGCGTTCGCGATTCATTAAAGCTCTGAGACTTGTCTCCAGCGTGCACATACGATGTAGGCGTGTAGCACGAACGACTAGGTGACACTTGTTGCTCGATTGTAGAGACCATGGCAGCAGATCCGGATCGAGGCAGACCCGGATTTATCCTGGTGCTTTCAACAAGTCGGATAGAAGACATGCTCCTGTCATCTTCATATTCCTTAGCCTCATCAGGCGAAGAAGTTGCAGAACCGTTATCATCCGTAAGCTCGGCTTCAGATATAGAAGAGTTCGAGCGGGTTGTTTCAGAGTTGCGCACGTGCTTCGAAAGCGACTTGAGAGTGGCAGTGGGTGTGAGCATAGGGACAGCCTGCCGTTTAATGTCAGGCTTGGGGGGAACCACTCGCTTAGGGGTACTGGGTGCGCTTCTAGGTTGACTGTTCCAGCAGGGCACCTGGGAGGGGGGAAGGTTTCGAAGCGCAATACGGCGTTCCGACGCGCGAGCGTAACGTTCGCACTCGCGTCCCGCCTCACAGCCACGCAGGAACATCTCACGACGACCTGCGTCAGCACGAGATTCGAAGCGGCGGAAGAAAGGACTGAAATGGTACATAATTTCATCTTCTTCGATGCGTAGATCATAGTCAAGCAGATAAAGCAGTTGCTTTTCCATCAAATTCACTTCAGCTTGCGAGAAGAAAACGCAGTATCGTGTCCAATGCTTGTTTTTGGGAGAAGAGTCATTCAAATTCTTCGCAGCCACAATAAGTGTGGCTAAAAACACACGATGACGTGTACAGGGCATACCCTTCGCGACGCGAGGAAGACGATGCTTCAAGCGATCGAGGTAAACCAGCGTGCTAAGCAGAGTCGGCACCTGTACGTTGCTCTTTTCGACCAGCATCATGATAAAAGTTTCCAAGTTCGGGAGGCCCTGAATCTTAGGTGCACTACCATCATTCTTATTTTCGGTCGAGCACTGGATCACATCCGTGGCTTGCTTCGCAATATAGGCAACCATATCACGAGAGACAGGGTAACGGATCAAGTCAGTAAGGGAGGGGTTGTGCACGATGCGTGGCAAAAGACTCGCAGGGTGCCGACGTAGCGCGCTACTAGTATGAGCCACGCTGCTGGAAGACATTTTTGGAATCTCAAGGAAAGGGGATCAAGCAAGGTAATATATCAGGCGGTCAACGCTCAGATAATGACTTTCCAACGCGAACCAGCGGGTTGGAGGAGGATGTGAATGTGCAGTGAAGGCGTGAGGTGAGAGGAGACCTGGTGGGGACCTGCTATGCTGTCAATGTTAGCCCTGTCACTTGACCCGACGCCGAAGCTGTGGCTATGCACGTACCGATCCAGCCAAGTAGGGCGAAGTCTGTAATCGTGCATTAGTTCTGCTCTTGCATCGGGCACCATGTAGCGACATACCTGACCGTTCGTCGAGCAGTGTATTAACTGCGAGGGGTACTGCTTCTAACCCTTAATGCTAAGGGTGCGCCGTCGACGTAAGGTGAGAGGAGGCGAAGCTCGGTTGCTTGCCATTTGACTGGCCTAGCCTCTACGCGCACTGTAAGGAACCCGCCCCCACAGATTCCAACCAAGCCGGATTCTGTCTGGTTGCACATCAATTAACATCAGGTATTCTACACCTTGCATTATCCTACATAATTCAACATCGATATGCCCGACTAAGCCCTGTAAGGGTCTGATCACGTGAAACAAATTTGGGTTACTACCCCATGTGCAACTCACAGGTCCAAACCACAGGTGGATTAATCACTCATGCTTCGATAAGAATCTTAGGTATGTATCAAATTTCTCCAATTGATTTGTAAGAAAGGCATGTCGTCTCTCCCAGTTGGTGGTCGCTTTCGCCAGCGTATGTGGTAGACCCTTCCACAATTGTATCATAGGGTCTCGTAGCATTTCATGTACTTGTAATTCTTGTTGTAAATACTTGATATATTGATCCATCTTGACTGACTGACCCTCCCTTGGCGTACTCGAAGGCTCTAACGACATTGGAGGTGGATGCCATTCATGCAGATTAACTTCCTCTGTTGGAGAAGCCTGACGATCTCCTAGCCATTTGCTCCACCAACTTTTTTGAGGGGTTGTAGGACAGTTAGAGTTCATTGGCGTGGTAGATGTAAGATGCTGTTGTTGGACTTGCAACCAGCCATAATCGCAGTTAGACGCCCCCTCAAGCATAGGGACACGAGTGAACGTAGCTGCTGCTTCATTACAAGCTGACACCCAAGTTTGCGCGAGTAAGGTGTTCATGTATAGAATATGAATCGTGCCATCATGGAGGGTGACTGACACGTATGATTGATCAGAACCAATATGACTTTTGGTCAAAGAATGGACCATCAAAAGCTTGTGCAAAGCATTGCCTATATCCTTTGTCGATAATTCTCGACGAAGGACAAGATGTTCCTTCTCAAGGACAGCGACGTACATACTTTGGGGCTTTTGCAACTTGCGTACCGACTCGGGCTCATTCACGCTCAAATATTGGACATTTGCACTCAAATTCTTCCCTCCATAAACTGATAATGATGATTTAACTGGAACAGAATTGCAACGCTGATTCTTAAGTGACATTCTCAACAACGAGCCTTGGCGCTGGGGCTTCAAAAGAACATCACCTTGCATAAATGCCGGAAAGTAACCATCTTCACGACCCAGTGAAAGTGCACGCTGCATTGAAGGTCTTTTAGGTGCAGCACTCAAAGCCTGTTCTAACCTTGGAGGTACCTCGAGCATTTTAGAAAGGATAGAACAATACATCTCTTGCAATGCACTGATGATTTTTTCGTCCGTCTGAATTGACATAGGCTTCAAATTCTGGCACGTATTCAGTACGAATTCAGCTTGGTTCATTTTCGTATCCAGCTCAGCGACATGAAGATCAGTGTTCAACAAGAACAATGCAAACAAAACATTGTTGACGTTTTCTTCTGTCTGAAATATTGTGGTTGGGTTCACTTTCATGTATTCCACACCAAGCGCTTGTAATAAGTTGTCGATCCGATTGGTTTCAGCGTTCATGTAGAGCTGCGAAGACAGAAGACGCAGCGCATCAAGAGGACTGCAATGGCGGAGGTCAAAGCCCTCCATAAAAATCTTTCGGGCCTGTGCGGCCACGGAATCATCATTACCCAGGTGCATAGCCATTTGCTTCATATCGAGGAATCTTGTATCTTGCTTCCAACACTTCGTAGCTAGCTCCTCTGCCGCAGCCTGGGTTGTAGAGAGTGCTGGTATATCCTCTTCTTTAGGGCTCTCTAAGAAAAACCTTTCTTTTGGTCGATACAACTCATTCTTAGGCATTGGAAGGATAGGACTGCTCAGCATAGGGAGATCTTCTGGGCTAAAAGACAAACGTGCTGCTGGCTGTCCCCCCTGTGATGCAGGTCCAATGCTTGACCCCGTTGCATCCAATCCCATGGATACAGGTGAAAAAGGATCCATAGGAAAATAAGGGGTATTCGAATGACCAGATCCTGACCCTGGCAAACCCCCGTTTGGTCCCCACGATACAGGCGATTGTGAAGCGATTGCATCGTCAAAGAAGGAGTTTCTAGGATCAGCTGTAAGCTGAGGTGATATGTAAGGCCTGAACATCGGTGTATTTTGTCCCCGAAGAGAGCTTTCTCCAACAGAAGATTTTGCATCTAGTGTGGGGGAAGATCGATGCTGAAAATCAACGACCGGCCCCATTGATGCCGCGCGCTCTTCGCCCGGGCGAGTCGTATTCCGTTGCTTTGGTTTTTCAATCATCCATGGGATCATATCCATGGACCATGAAATTGACATGCGAGGGGCTCGGTGTCTCTGTGACTGCATTGCGATCGGTGTTGCAATGCTGGAGTCTTGAGCCAACGCAGGTGTTGCAATCAACCGGCGGGTTCCACCGTGAAGCAGCGCTTCCTCGAACCTCGACTCGTTTCCCAATCGCCTTTGATTAGGCGAGGTCATGGCACTAGGGCAATGCCACAGCCGCCACAAGGGTCAGGCCTGTACGTGGGAAACCAATTTCACAGAAGGGGGGGGGGGATTATCGCTGGCTTATGCTGCTGACAAAGCACAAAAAAAGTCGCCATACCTTGTTCCATCTGAGCGACACCATGAAGTCGTCGTTTCAGTTTGCGAATGTATGTGGTACGGTGTACCAGCAAGGGAATATACATTTCGCAGGAGATGGAAATTCACTCTATTCCCCTGTTGGGAATCGACTGTCTGTTTTCAATCTCGTGCAGAATACTTCATATACGCTACCTTTTGAGACTCGCAAGCCCATTGCTCGCGTGGCCGTGTCGCCATCTAACTTGAACCTGGTGCTTGTTGCCGACGAAGACGGCCACGCACTTCTGATCAATGTGGCACGCCGAGCACTGCTTGCGCACATGAATTTTAAGCTGCCTGTGCGTGATGCCCAATTTTCTCCGAATGGTCAGTTTTTGGCCGTCACACACGGTAACCAAGTGCAAGTATGGCGCACACCTAGTATTTTTGTGCGCGAGTTCGCTCCTTTTGTACTCCATCGCACATATGTGGGTCACTTTGATGATGTATTAAGTATTACCTGGTCACGGAAGGGCCGCTTTTTCCTGACGACGTCCAAGGACATGAGTGCTCATCTCTTCAGCCTCGACCCGATAGACGGTTTTCGGCCCAAAACGTTCACTGGTCACCGTGATTCTGTACTGCGTGCATTCTTCTCGCTGGACGAAAAGACTATATACACAGTGTCCCGTGACGGTGCCTGTCTTGTGTGGCAAGGGAAAGACGACGAGGAGCATGCATGGGGCGAGGGCGTCGCTGAAGACCCAGACAATACTGTCGGATTCACGCGATGGGGCGTCGCATCGCGCCACTATTTCCACCAACTCAATACACAAGTCACTTGTGCGGACTTTAATCCGGGAACATCGCGTCTCGTGGTGGGTTTCTCATCGGGACTGTTTTCTCTGCGCGACATGCCTGACTTTACAGAGGTACACGCACTCAGTATCAGCCAGGAAAAGATAACGAGCGTGGCTATCAATCCTACGGGTGAATGGATTGGCTTTGGTGCCCAGCGTCTGGGCCAATTGCTCGTATGGGAATGGGCCAGTGAATCTTACATTCTAAAGCAACAAGGCCATTTCTATGACATGAACGCTGTCGCATTTGCTCATGATGGTCAAATGGCTGTAACAGGCGGCGATGACGGAAAGGTGAAAATCTGGAACACCAATTCGGGTTTCTGCACCGTGACCTTCACCGATCATTCTGCGCCGGTCACCTGTGTGGAGTTTGCCAAGCAAGGCCAAGTCCTCTTCAGTGCCTCGATGGACGGCACTGTACGTGCGTATGACCTGATCCGGTACCGTAATTTCCGCACATTTACCAGTCCCAATCCTGTCCAATTTATAAGTTTGGCGGTGGAGCCAAGCGGCGAAGTGGTGTGTGCCGGCAGCTCCGACGCGTTTGATACCTACATGTGGAGTGTCCAGACAGGCAAACTCCTGGAAATTTTGTCAGGGCACGAGGCACCTGTGACAGGCTTGGCCTTTGACCCCAGTGGGAGTGGTCTTCTTGCGAGCACCAGCTGGGACCGAAGTGTACGGCTGTGGGAGGTATTCCGTCGCAGCCAGAACACGGAGTCGATGCCGCTTTCCTCCGAGGGCCTGACGCTGGCTTTCCGACCAGATGGACTGGAGGTCTGTGTGGCCACCCTGGACGGCCAGTTGAGCTTTTTTGACACAAAGCACGGACGCCACACGGGTGTGATAGACTGTCGCCGCGATATCGCCGGTGGGCGACGCCTGGACGACAAGGTTCAACGGCGCAACAACGCGGCAGGATCAGCTTTCACGAGTGTTTGCTACAGTGCAGATGGCTCGTGCGTGTTGGCCGGTGGCAATGCGAACTATGTCTGCCTCTATGACGTGCGTGAGCGCGTACTTCTCAGGCGCTGGACACTGAGTCTCAACCTTTCTTTGGATGGTACACAGGACCGTCTAGACTCGCGCCAAGTCACTGAAGCTGGAAACGTGGAGCTCCTGGATGACAGATCCGACGAAGATGAGCTCACACTGGCGGAGCGTGCGGACAAAAGCCTACCGGGTGTGCAACGCGGCGATCTCAGTAAGCGATCTACACGGCCGCAGGCGCGCTCCAAATGTGTGCGTTTTTCGCCGACAGGTCGGAGCTGGGCGGCGGCCTCGACCAGTGGCCTGCTCATCTACAGTCTCGATGAATATGCCACCTTTGATCCGAGCGATCTCGATCTGGAACTGACGCCCCAAGCGGTCCGTGCTGCATCACTCCAGGGCCATGCTCTGGTAGCCCTTCTGGGCGCGCTTCGACTGAACGATCCAGTCCTGGAGGCCGAGGTGTATGAGCGGACGAAGGTGCATGAAGTGCCCCTGGTAGTGAAACAGCTGCCACCGATGTATTTGCCGCGTGTACTCGGTCTCGTCGCTGCGCGGCTGCATCCCAGCAGTCAGAGCCCACACGTTGAGTTCCATCTTGCGTGGCTCACATCCTTGTTCCAGCTGCATGGCGAGACTATTCGGGCGCATAGCGCCACTACCTATGCGCCTGTGTTGCGGGCTGTCCAAATGGCACTGAATGAATTGCGCGCCAATGTCAAGACGACGACAGACCAGAACACGGCGTCCATCTTATACATTTGGAATGCCTTCTCGCATCGGCAGATCTCTGATGCGATATAGATACCAATCGTATGCTACAAGCTCGTTCGGTGATTGGCTTACCGACTCCATTGCTGGCCTCCCTGGCGCTTTTGCGGGCGGTATTTGGCCGCCTTGTCTTCGCGACCCGCTGCACCATAGGAGCGACGATCCACACGCTGGCGCTTGCCCTGCGGCTCGTCGCTGTCCTCATCGTCATTGCCCGTCCGCTCCTTGCGTGCCTTAAGACCAGTGCCGATCGTCACATTGACCTTCGGAGGCACCGCAAATCCAAATGCCTTGGCGACTTTGGCAAGGTCCAAGGCGTGGATGTCGTAGATGCGCTTGAGGGAATAGGAGCCATACGCCTGGATATACGAGCGGTATCCTTCTTTGGCCGACTGGTGCAAGTAGTAGTTCTTCGAGATAAGCTTCTCCAACTGGTTTTGCACATTGGCGATCTTATTGGGGGGGAACGTGTATTCGTTCAGTGGCACCTTGGCCACCTTGAGGAAGCGTAGGAAGCCAAGCTCACTCGGCAGCAGGAACAGCAGTGAGCGGCCGCCCTTGCCGCCACGCGCGGTACGGCCGACCCGGTGGATATAGTCGCGCGGGTCGTCTGGTGGATCGTACTGGATAATCCAGTCGACGGCGGGAATGTCAAGGCCACGCGCGGCCACGTCTGTGCACAGTAAAATGCCGCTCTTTGCGTTGCAGAACTCAAAGAACGTGGTGCTACGCTTCTGCTGCTTTTGCTTCCCGTGCAGATCAAGCACAGGCACATCAATGTAGTTAAGCAGCTCCCCATGGTACTTGACACTGTTGCAACTGCTCATAAAGACAATAATCTTCTTGCCTGCGTTGCGCTTAAGGAATGTGAAGAGCAGCAGAAAGCGTTTGTCACTGTCACACACGACATAGCCCTGCTCGAGCTTCGACACCGTCGAGGCTGCCATCTGCTCATGCACATTGATGTACAGGGGACCGGGACGCAGAGAAATGCGTGCAAGGTCCTGCACTTTGGTCGTCTGCGTCGCCGAGAACAGCATCGACTGACGATTCTCGCTCGGCAACAGCTTGATAATTTCGCGCATCTCGTCCTCGAAACCAATCTCCAGAATTCGATCCGCCTCGTCAATGATGAGCGACTTGAGATTTGTGAACACGAATCCCTTCGTGTTCTGCAGATGATCCAGGAGTCGACCCGGCGTAGCCACAATCAGGTTAACACCCTTCTGCAGCTTGTCCGCCTCGGCTTTGCGGTTCGCACCGCCCATTACAATGCCCAGTGTCTGGCTCTGGTTCGCCATCAATTCCTTGGCAACTCCAAAAATCTGCAGCGCAAGCTCGCGCGTAGGCGAAATGATAATAGCGCCGGTGCCGTTGCGTGGCTTGAAGCGGAGACGCTGGAGCATTTCCACGGCAGGAATCAAGAAGGCCAGCGTCTTGCCACTGCCCGTCTGCGCTGCACCAAGCACATCCTTGCCTGCAAGGAGCGGAGGAATACAGCGCGCCTGCACCTCCGTCATGGTCGTAAAGCCCATGCGCTCTAGTGCCTGCGCCGTGCCGGGAGTGAGGTCCAGTTCAGAAAATGGCCGGCGCTCGGCGGGCCCTTCGCTCCTCTTTTCTGCTTCATTTACATCATTCTGAAGCTCGCGTTCGAGTTTGGTCTCCTCAGCATCCGCACCCGTGTGTTTCGCCACCATGGCCGCCAGGGTCGTCGTTGAAGGGCTGCTTCCGAAAATTTCGTCGCAGCGGAAAATCTGCTTAGTCATGGAGTTTTTTGACAAACGCCTCAGCGGTCGGGTGAGCGTCGTCCTCCATGGCTGCGATCGCGCCGCGAGAAAAGCGCGTGCGTGCGGCCGGCGCACAGGAGGCTGAGTCTCATGCGGTGGAACGCCGTAGGGATGTGCTCTATGCGCCGTTCCGTGCGCTAGGCTACATTACGAATGGCATCCCCTTTATCTTGCAGGTTCGCTTCGGTGGAAAGGATGCACAGACCCCTGATGTGAACGTCGTGACTTGTCTGGGCGACACCTGGGCGATGTGGAATGCGGAGCGAATGACACTCTTGTTTGTGGGACCACCGCTGGCTCATCCCATTAGTGCGATGGCTCATGCCACCTCGCCAGACAGCCTGGTCGTTGCAGCAGGCCCCTCCGTCCACCGTTTTGTGCGTGGCCACGAAGTGGCGTCCTACTCGACGGCCATTCCCGAGGAGGGCGTGAGTGAGACTTTTCTGTCCGCGCTGCTTGTCTTTGGAGACTATATTTGCGCACTCGCTGCTGACGGGTCGTGCTTGTTTGTGTGGTCGCTCACCACCACGGAGCTCATGCAAAAGATCGTGTTTGCCGATGGCTTTATTGCGTCGCAGTTTGTGCACCCGGCGACGTACCTAAATAAGGTCGTTGTCGGTGCGGCCGATGGTTCCCTACAGTTATGGAACGTGCGCACGGCTTCTTTGATTCACACCTTCTCTGCGGTCGACGTGCGCGGCGGCCAAGCCTCGTCGACTCACGCGGGTGTCGTATGCATGGAACAGAGCCCTGCGATGGATGTGCTCGCCGTGGCCTATGCGGATGGCATGGTTGCCTTGTACGATATACGCGTCGGCGAGGCGCTCTTCTCTGTGCGAGTTGAAGGCGGCTTGGGCGCGCGGTGCTTGGCATTCCGTACGGACAATGTGGCTCACACGCTTGCTATTGCGACGCGCGCAGGCGCGCTCTCTCTCTTTGACTTGGACGCCGCCCACGCCGATGGGCCTGTAAGCGGTGCGCCGCGGCTTCTGCACTCGATGCAGCATGCCCACGACAGTGCCATTGGCGCTATCGAGTTTGTGCCGGGCCAGCCACTGCTGATATCCACGGGCGCTGACAATGCGCTGAAACAGTGGTTCTTCGAGTCGCCTACGCTCCCGCCGCGCCTACTCAAGTCACGCAGTGGGCACGCGCTGCCCCCGCATCTCATACGATACTATGGCGACGATGGCCGAGCCATGCTGTCGGCTTCGCGGGACCGCAGCGTGCGGTGCCTGAGCGTCGTGCGCGACAGCCGCTCGTTTGAGCTGAGCCAGGGCTCGATCGAGCGCCAGTCGCACAAGCTGGCCGTGGAGGCGAGCTCGCTCAAGCTACGGCCTGTCTCGTCGCTCTCGTACAGCACGATGCGCTCGCGCGACTGGGACGATGTGCTGACGACGCACGCCGGCGACACCTACGCTCATACTTGGACAGTGCGAGACAAGCACATGAACAAGGCGCTCCTGAGCGTGTCGCGCTCGAAGAGGGACACTGCGGTGGCGACGGCGAGCTGCGTAAGTGCGTGTGGCAACTTTGCGCTCGTCGGCACGAGCGATGGGCGCGTCGAGATGTTCAATATGCAGAGCCACATGCACCGGCGCACCTTCCAGACAGACAGCGCGTCGCCCATCTCGGATGTGGTCACAGACGCTGTCAACCAGCTGTGCCTCGCAAGCTCGCAGGATGGCCAGCTGCACTACTTTGACTTCCACACGGCGAACAAGCTGGCGTCCATGCCCCTGTCGTCGGGCATCAGCGGCCTGCGCCTCCACCGCGCCTCGCAATTGCTCGCGGTCCTGAGCGACGACCTGGTGCTGGCTGTCGTGGATATCGAGACGCGCCGCGTCGCGCGTCGGTTCCGCGGCTTTCGTGGACGCATTCTCGATGCCACCTTTTCTGCCGATGGGCGCTGGCTCGTGGCGTGCAGCACGGACAGTGTGATTCGCACGTTTGATCTGGCAACGGCGCAGCTCATCGACGCGTTCCGCCCCTCGAGCATGGCGACTAGTGTGACCTTCTCGCCGGCCGGCGACTTTCTCGCGACGGCACATGTCGACAGTGTCGGTGTGCATCTGTGGGTCAACCGTGCGCAGTTCACCTCTGTGGCGCTACGTGCGCTGGATATGGGCGGTGTCGTGCCTGAGCGCGAGACCGCTGTGCCCACCGTGCAGGGCGCCGCGCTCGAGACGAGCGCGCCGTCGGACCTGGACGTGGGCGAGCCTGAGCTGCAGCGCACGTACACGAGCCCGCCCCAGCTGAGCGACGCGGACGGGCCGCTCCTGACGCTCAGCACCATGCCGCGCAGCCGGTGGATGACGCTCCTCCACCTCGATACCATCCAGCGGCGCAACAAGCCACAGGAGCCTCCGAAGAAGCCAGAAAAGGCGCCGTTCTTTTTGGATGCTGCGCCAGTCGCAGCGCCTGCCGAGCCTGCGCCTGCCGACACGCCGCCGAGGCCCAGGGAGGCGCCGCATCTCGCGTTCGAGTCGGACATGGAGCGCCGCCTGCGTGTGGCGGTGCAAGCCGCCGATGTGGGGCCGCTGTTCACGTACTTGCACACGCTCTCTGCGTCGCAGCTGGACACTGAGATCCGAGGACTCGAGTCGGTCGCGCAGCAGACCCTCTTCTTGCAAGCGCTGGCGCTGCGCCTCCGCAGCAAGCTCGACTGGGAGGCGGTGCAGGCGATGCTCCATGTGTTTCTCACGTGCCATGCTGAGGTGCTCCAAGCGGAAGGCGTGCACCCCGAGCATGCCGCCGACGCGGACGCCGAGGGGCAGGCGCTGGCCCTGGCCTTGCGCGAGGTGCTCCAGGAGCAGCGCAGCGAGGGCGCGCGCCTGGTCGACTCGCTGGACTACTGCCTCGGCACGCTGAGTTTCCTGCGGAACGTGCCGCTATCGTCGGTGTAAGCTACCTATCTAAGCATCGCGGATACGCTCGGCCCACTGGCGCAGCGTTGTCGCGAGGACATGCGGTAGGGACTGGACGTCCCGCACAATGACATAGTATTCAAAGGGGAACGTGTCGATGTAGCGCTTCATGTCGAGCTGCAGCTTGCCGGCCGCATCCGTGTGGTAGCTGACCTGGTTCATCTCGAGGATCGAGCTGCGGGGCGCCTCGCCCGCGCCAGGCGCCGTGCCGTCGGCGCCCGCGTCGACCACGACGAACACCATCATGATGCGCTCCTCCGTCGCACGGCGCAGAAGCGCCTTGAGACGCGCGTGGTCCTGGCACACACCGTCGGAGATGACAATCGCCAGCTGCCAGAGGTCCGCCGCAGAGACAGACGCGTGCCGCTGCCGGGCGTCGCGCAGGACATCCATGCTCTGCGTAAGCAGCGCCTGCATATCCGTGCTCGTCTGCTGGAACTGCAGCTGGCTCAGGATGTGGCCGCCGTGCTGGTCGCTGAAGCTCGACGACCCGAACTCGTGCAGCATCTCCATCGACGCGCCAAAGCGGCAGATGCCAATGTCGCCGATTTCCAGTCGCGTCAGCGCCCCCGCGACCAGCGCCAGTGTCTGGTACGCCAGGTGAATGTTCCGGCTGTCGGCCATACTCTTACTGTCGTCGATCGCGAGCAGCACCTGGTACTCGCGCGCGGAGGGCTTCGTGCGGCGCAGCCAGATCTTGTCCTTGGCAAAGTCGGACGCAATAAACGGAATGATCTTGCGCATGTTCAGGCGCTTGCCCGTGCGGTAGTCTCCGTTCAGACGCGTCGCGAGCGTCGGCGCCAAGATCAGCCGCAGCTGCTCACACAGCCCGAACGCGAGGTCCATAGTCAGCGCCGAGTACGAGCGCCACAGCTCCGCAGCTCGCGCCACATCAGCATCCGAGGCACGGAACGCCTCGAGGGCATGCAGCACGGCCGTCTCGGCGTGCGCACGCGTCTCATCATCGAGCCGCTCGACCTCTTCGTCCCGCACGGGGCCGGAGGCCTCGGCGTCCGCGTCCTCCCGCACGTCCGCCGCCGCGAGCGCGCCCTCGCGCGTGCTGTGCGCGTGGGTGCCCAGCGCCTCTGCCTCCTCCGTCGCAGCGGGCGCACGCGGCTCCTCGGGCATGGGCTCGTTCTCAGGCGCGTCGGGCAGCATCGTCGTCTCGCCCTGCTCGGCATCCGCGACGCTCAGGTTCTTCATCGCTTGCGCTTGCTGCTCGTCGGCCGTGCCGAGCGCCTGCGTGTCGGCCTCGTCGTCCGGCGCCACATGCTCCATCTCGCTCGCTTCCGGCACACCATCGTCGCGGGTCGGCGGCGCCTCGTCGTGCTGCGATGCCTCGCGAATCTGCTCGACGTCGCGGCGGAACTGCTCAAGCGCATCGCCCAAGCTCTGCACGGGATTCGGGCGTGCCTCGTCGTCGGCACCCGAGGCACCAGCCTCCGGCGCCGACTGCGGCGCGCCACCGCCTTGCGCGGCAGAGGAGCCGTCGAGATCGTCCGAATCGCCTATCGCCCGTTCCTGCGCGCCGGCCGCGCCGCCCGCATCATCGCCGCCGCCCTCGTGCGTCGCATCGTACTCCATCGCATCGTCCGCGACATCCCCGAGCGTCCGCGGCATGGCAGGCGGCGCAGGCACGTCGCGGGGACCGGCCGCGTCGTCGCCGCCCCGCTCCGCCTCGGGCTGGTCCGTGCCGGGCTCGGCGTCCTCCTGCGCTTCCATGCCGGGCTCGGCGTCCTCCTGCACGTCCGTGTCAGGCCCCGCGTCCTCGTCCATGTCCTTGTCCGCCTCGTCGGCCTTATCGCCATCCTCAGCCTGGTCCTGATCCATGCCCTGCTCAGCCGCCGGATCCACAGAGTCGGCCTCGGGGGCCTGGACCCCACCGTCGAGGTCCTCGTTGGGGGTATCTTCAGGTGCCGCATCCTCCTCTTCCTCGTCTAGCGACACGTCGTCGTCACCCGGCTCCTCGTCGCCCTCGGGCATATCTAGCTCGCCCAGCTGCATTTCCTCCTCGTGCGCTTCCTGGTCGAGCTCGCGGCCCAGCCCGTCGTTGCGGTCGGGCATGTCCTCCAGCTCCGGCTGTGCTTCGCCGTCGTCGGCGTCGTCGGCGTCACCGGCGTCGTCACCAGCATCTGGGCGCTCTGCATCGGCCTCCTGGCGCTCGCCGGCCTGCTCGCGGTCGTCGCCCGCGGTGCCCTGCGCCTCCGACTCGCCTTGCGTCTCCTGCTCCGGCTCGGCACCCCACATCTTCTCGTCGACGGCATCGGGGTCCAGTGGATCGACATCGCCGACCTCGTCCTCGACCTCCTTCTCCTGCGCCTCTTCGCCATCGCTCTGCCCCGCCTCCTGCTCGCCGTCGACGCTGTGGACATCCCCGTCCATATCGTCCGTCTCGCGCGCCTTGTCTTCGCCTTGGCTCTCGCCACGGTCGTCGTTCTCGTTCTCGCCGTTCTGTAGCTCCTCCATCTGCTCGTCGTCTTGCAGCGTATCACTCACATCCTTGGCGCCGGTGCCGTCGCCCAGGCCGGTGCCGCCCTCGAGCGCCTCACCGCCCTCGCCGCTCGCATCGCTGCCCTCGGCCTCGTCCTCGTCCGGCGGCTGGCAGAAGCCTTTCTGCGCGAGCGTCGTCATGATCACGCTCAGAACAACACACAGCCGCATGAGCGCGCGGAACCACAGCGACGTCGCCGCCAGGTGCGTGCCAAGCAGCTCGGCATACGGCGCGACGAAGCGCGCCATGTCGCCGACGCACGCCGACGTCACGTCGCCACTGCCTGCGAGAGCGAGCGCCTCGCACATGGCGTCCGCCACCTGGTTCGGCCGGAGCGTGCGGTCCAGCGCATGGATCCGCTCAGCCTCCGCAAGCAGCTGGCACGGCTCGTCGTCGGCCGCGGGCGGCTCCTGGCCCTGCAGCTCTTGCACAATGACCAGCACCGACGAGCACACGCGGTCCGACGCCGCTTGCAAGGCGCCCGAGGCCGGCGCATCGGACAGCGCCAGCGGCTCGCATGCCGGGCCCAGCCACGCACACAGCGGCGCCGTCAGCACTTGCACGCCCGGCACCTCGCGGCCCAGCGCGGCCAGCGCGCCGTGGACATCGAGCAGCACCTGCGTGCTGTCCTGCACGACCGCGACCTCCGACGCCGTCAAGAGGCCAAGCGAGCTCGTCGCCCACGTCGCGCACACCGCCGCGAGTCGCGCGTGCGCGCTCTGCACGCGCGCGCCCCACTCCTCGATACGCGCGAGCGGCACGTCCCCGCCCAGGGGCGACGCTCGCACCGCGTCGGGCGCCTCCCGCGCAAGCTGCGTGAGCGCCTCCGCCGCGCGCGCGAGCGTGTCGGCGCGGCACTCGATAGCGAGGCGCTCCGTCGGCGACACGGACTGCAGGGGGCCCGCAAGCGCACACAGACGCTGGGCCATGGCCCACACGCGCGTGGCGCCCTGCAAGGCGGCCCCGAGACGCTCGCGCACCTGCAGCGCGAGAAACACGGCATGCTCGACGAACGCGACGCCGCGCGGCAGCTCCGGCACATCGCCCGCCGGCGTCTGCACCGCGAGGCGCAGGCGCGCGAGGCACGCGAGCATCGCCGCGTGGTACGCATGCATCGCATCGGTGCCGAGCGCCTCGTGGGGCGGCAGCGCACAGACGCCGTACACCCGCGCGGGATCGTGATTGTGCGCATGCCGCTCCGGCGTCAGAAACGGCGACAGCCCCATCCGCCGCAGCGCCTGGAGCAGCTCGGCCCATGCGCGGCGCTTCTGCGAGGCCAGGCTCTTGAGCCGCTTCGCATTCGCCTCGGTCGCCAGCGCGGGCGTCTGCTGCGCCAGGTCGTCCGCGGTCTCGAGCACCGTCGTGCCGAACTCGACCACGGCCTCGTACGCCGTCGACGCGAGCGGCGGCTGCAGCGTGTCCGCACACAGCGCGCGCAGCCGCGCGACGGTGCGCTCGGCCGCCTGCATGTGGGGCGCGCGCGACGCATCCGCGCTCGGCGCCACGGCGCCTCGGGGCTGCATGCCACGCAGCACGTCCACGCGCCTCGACGCCGCGCCCACCAGCGGGCGGACGGCGACGCTCGGCCGCGCCTCGGCATGCAGCGCAAGCAGCGGATCCGCCGGCTGCTGCAGCACCTCGCGGAACTGCCGCAGCGTCTTGTGCAGGTACGCGTGCGTCTTTTGCGCGCTCTGCTTGAGCGCATACACATTCACGTCGCGCCACGACGCGAGCCGCACATAGTCCGCCATCTGGCGCTCCAGGCGCGTGCGCTGCGCGGCCACCTGCGCCTCCACGGCCGGCACGAACTGCGCAAAGTACGCGGCCATGTGGTGCAGGAGGCGGCTCGTGCCGGGGTCGTCGGACGCGAGGTGCACACTGAGCGTGTCGAGCAGGCGCAGGCGCGCACTGAGCTGCCCGGCGCTGCTCTCCCGCACGTAGCTGTCGAGCAGCGCCACGAGCTCGCCACGCAGCGCCGCCGTGCCGGCCCGCGTCGTCGCCTCGTACAGCGTAAAGAGCCACGGGGCGACACGCGCCTCCTCGCGCGCCGCCTCGTCGTCGAGGAGCGACGACCACCCGTGCAGCTCCTGACGCCGCCACTCGACCACAAGCGCGGTGAGCTCGGCGGCGTGCGCACGCAGCGACAGCGCCGACGACGCGTACGTCTCCCAGTCGTCGACGTGCGTGAGCAGCTGCTCAATCGCCGCTAGCGCCTTCGCCACGGGACTCGCACAGTCCAGCGCCGCGACGCGCTCCACACGCTCCGCGAGCTGCTGCAGCTGCACCTGCTCAGGCATCGCGCCGAGCAGCGCGCCCACACGCTCACGGAGACGCGCGAGGAGCGGCGCCATGCGCGCGAGCTCCGCCGGCTGCGCATCGTGGTAAAAGTTGCGGGCACCGTCCGCAGCGGCGCCGCGCTGCAGCCGCGCGAGCATGTACGCCGCCGCGCCGTCCAGCGCAGCCGGCAGCGGCGCGCCCGTCGCCATGCAGCGCACGAGCTCGTCACACTGCCGCGTCAGGATCTCCGCGGCGCTCGGCCGCGCACGCACGGTCGGCAGCGGCAGCGTGCCGGGATGCAGGAGCGTGTGCAGGTCGTACACGAGCCGCACCGTCGCCTCGTCCATGCGCGGCGCCGCGCGGCGCGCGCGCGGCGCGTCGCCCGGCTCAAGCACGTCGTCGTACACGGGGAACAGCGCGCGCATCTCGGCGTCGAGACGCGCCTGCTCGTCGGAGGCGTCCTCGCCCTGGAAGACAAACAGCTGCGCGGCCTTCTCCGCGTCCTGGCGCTCCGCCTCGCGCTGCTGCGCCCACAGGACAAGGAGCGCGTCGTAGATCGGGCGCAGCGTCGCCGCACGCACCGGCCGCGCCGTCGCG